TTTTATTTCCTGGTTGTCGCCCGAAAGTAAAATAGTCAACCATATATGCTCTTTCTTGAATCTTTCTGAAACTTTTCGATATGCTTGAAAATAATTTTTTTAAGGCTTATAAACAACCGCTCTGTTGCATGCAGGGAGATATTTAGAATTTTTAGGATTTTATTTCCATTATGTGTGCAAGAGGCAAGTGTTTATTTGAGGCTAAGCGCCTGTAAAAGGAATATGATGATTTTATTTTGGGTATTATTTTGGTTGTAGATCGTTTGCATGAACCTATTCTTGGTTTCAGCTTACTTATAAGAAGAATGATGCATTCAATCATGCCTTGATCGAATAAATCAATGGTCTTAAACCTTTAGTTGCCGTTACGCGAAATCGTTATTGTGGAGTCGCCGAATATTTGTAGTGTCAGGTTTTGATACGTCGTCGTTTTTGTTCAAGTTTATTGCCGCCGTTTGGATATCGAATAGAAATTTTGAACATTCTTTGTTGTCCTTCTTTCTTCTACGTTTATCTGTAAAACCTTATAGTTTTACAGTATGCATAGTAAGTAAGGGTTCAAGGTCTCGTCAGTCCTTTATTGAAATTGGTTTCATTCTCTGTCCACTTTTTTGTGTCCGTTTTGCTACATGGCTTGCCCATTTGCCACTCATATTTTTCTAAGTTGATTTGCATGGAAGTGAGCATTGATGCAGCGAAAAGTTACAAATGTAAGTCAGACAAAATAACAAACGTTCAGATCTTTGCATGTTTGCATGACAATGACGCAAGCAAAACTGTGAATGCATAGAATTTTCCCGCGAATTTTATTACCTCCCTTTGATGTAGTGCAAGAAAATCAAAGAGTCAGATATTTACATTTAACGATGCGACAAAATAAGTAACTTTCATGACTTGACACAAAGCAGTGATGGTTTTTAAAACAAATTTTTAAAAAGGGCACTTGCTGGTGGGGGCACTTGCTAGTGGGGGTACTTGCTTGTGGGGGCACTTGCTAGTGGGGGCATTTGCTAGTGGGGACTCATGACACAACTAGTGGGGAAATTTGAGGGCCTGTTGGGGAAATTTCCCACTAGTTTGTATGTTAAAAGATCCCTCGATGTGATTCTATTTTTTCAAGTTATCGCAAAACTAATGGACCAAAATATACACCTCTTTGGACAAAAAACTATATACTGTGGAGGAGCTTGACCCAGACCTCTCCAAAGAGTAGGTGGAGTTGTGCTTCTTGACGAGTCCATTTCCTCTTCTTGTTGATGAAAAGGAGGAAACTGTAGGTGATACCTGTAAATAATTCTTTCTTGCTCTTCTAAAATCTTGATAGGCATATAATTCATTTGAAACATGGCTGAAAGTGAGGACATTCCTGAAATTGATAATGACGAACCCGAGGAAACTCCTGGATACAAAGCACCAGCACCGAAGTCAGTGAAGGAAATCGAAGAACTAGATCAAGACGACGAGTCCCTTGTAAAATATAAGCAAACTCTTCTAGCTGGAATGGAGGAAGGAGCTGGTAAATATTGCAAATCTTGTATTTTATAATAGTCTGATTTTTGTGTTCCCTGGCGTTCCAAATCCTAACCGTTTATGAAGGCCTGTCGTTTCGCATTGTTCAGGAAACCCTGCCGGTTCTATCAAGTATAAAGGGATGATGTTTAGTGTGTAGCACAAGATGAAATTTGCCGACATTTTCATTGCAAAATACTCAAAATGCTAAGCTGGTTTTTGTCTACTTGTCTTGTCACAAAATTGTGAACCATTAAAGGGCAAATTTCTTGCTTTCAAAACGGCCTCAACCTCACCTGATCCACCCTTTTCATCTGCCTGCTGATTAATTTCGTCTTCTCGCAGCGCCATAAACGTGCTTGTTTTATAAGCACGAAAATGTCACGAGTTATGTAGTCTGCTATCTCAGGATAAGCTAATTCTGATGCTTTAACTGTTTCTCGGATGTTTTTAACAAATTCAGTTCCTGTTTTGCAGTTTATAACATCTCTAAACAAAGTAGGTGTACTAATTAGAGAGAGCTGAATCTAGGAGTGGTTTGGAAAGGACACAGAAAAGGGGAACAGCTATTTTTATTGAAGATAAAATATTATTTGGCCATAAAACCTTAACCAAGTTGTCAAGTGACTTTGCAAGATCCTTTTTAAATGAATATTTTGAGATTTAATATAATGAGATTAATGAATATAATGAGATTAAAGAGTTTCCTTATTTCAAGATATTAGCATCTGCAGATTTTTTGCTAGTAATGTATATCATTTGACAAAAATGAGTGTATTTCTTCTGTCCATTGCATTGTTTGTTTAGACCAAACCAATTCTCACATTTTAGCTCCAAAAGATGATCAAAGGAGAGTTGTTGTACAGAAGATGATCTTCATGTCAGATGGACAGACTGATATTGAGAAAGACCTAACAGGCAATTCATTTTTAAATTTTATCAACAATACTTCTGCTATTCCAATTCATGGTTATCACATAGGTCAATATCACTATTTATGCACTTCCTCCCCTTTATAATTAACTGCAGTTTTGACTTTAATCTTCTTTTGTTTCTAAGTTTTGAAACTAAGAAAATGCTGAGACTAAAAGGATGCAACATTTAAAGATATATCTCCACTAGACAAAAAAATTCTTTGTTTGCACTGGCAAAAAGCAAGAACTATCTGCACCAAGCTCCAGCTCACAGTTCCAAGTTTCATTGAAGTTTTTTCCAAGCCTCAATTTTCTTCTTTTTAACCTTATAAGGGCTTGATTTTGTGTTCCATAGATCGCTTTGTTAGAGGCTTTTAATTGGAGGTAGAAATGAGATGTTTGTGAATCATTCTTTTTGTGAATTTTATCACATCTAGCCAAAATTTTATCATTTCCTCATCCAAAACAAAGCTATGTACAATGGTTAACATATAAAAAATAAAGTCAAAATTTGTTGGTAGTAAAGAAACAAGTACAAACAGTTTCAAATTTTAATGTGGATGCAGTGAGTTTCTTAGAAAACAAAAACATTCAAATACACATGTTTGTAACTCTCACTGGGGCAAAAATGAAGAAATTTCACCAAATGGAGACCTACAATACCTGCATTAAAACATCCAACATTGTATGACTTGGGTCAAGATTGCTTTAGTTTCACCCTCCATGTTAATTTAAGATGGAACAAAGAACAATCTCCCCCAACAATATTAGAAGAATTTATAACATGTAGCCAGGCAGACTGCCTGAACCACTGTTTACTTGTTATTTTAAGAAATGGTTTGTTGTTTTAAGCATACAGTGGAACCTCCATATAACGGACACCAGTGGCACCAATGTTATTGTCCATTGTAGAGAGGTGTCCGCTGTATGGAGGTGTCATCTTATACAAAGAAATGACCATGTGGAATTTTTGGAATCAAATATCTGTCTGTTGTTTGGAGGTTTCCGTTGTATAGAGGTGTCCGTTGATGGAGGTTCCACTGTAAATGGAACAGGCTGCTAACCCATGATTTGTTGATAGTAAGACATATGTTTTAAAATTTATTCTGGAGCTTTTATGATTTTCAAATTATATTTATAGAAGCTATGCCAAGACTGTCAAATGACTTCTGGTAGTAATATGTTTAAGAAGCTGTATAAAATAGTAAACCCAGAGAAAAGTTAGCAGACAAATAATTTCCATAATCATTTACATGCAAATTTTTGCTCAGTTTTTAGAAGGTATTGTAAAGTCCTCTGTCATTGTTATGGCTAAAGCTGAAAGTTGACATTACAAAGTGCTTTAAGACCACCTGTAACTTGCAATGCTTTCACTTTTTCAACAACCTAAACTCAAATTTTTTTTTTAATGTAGGGAATTTGGAGGCTTTGAAAAAACAGGTTATAACAATAAAGGAGGGTGTTGAATATCGTTTGAAGATCATCTTCAAGGTAAGGTTATAGTCTGATATTTATGATAAATAGATCACATGACTTTGCTGTTAATGCCCTTCTAGGTTTAGCCAAAATTCTTGCCCTGTAATGTACTTGCTCCAGTCTCTCTAGAAAAAACTAAAGCTTGTGTTGTTGTGTTATTTCCTCTCGTCCTTGTACCCATTTTTGCCTTGTCAACAAGAAAGATTCTTGCAGCAAAGGAAATTTCTATTCTGACACCCAAAAGGGCTTTAAGACATTCAAACACAATAGGGCTTTGGATGGAGTATTTCATGCTTTTTTCATCACTCATCTTACTTGTGCTCTTTATTATTCAGTCACTGAAAACCAATGGACATTATTTATTTCAATTTTGGTTTCAAAATCTCATATAAACAATATGGTGAATTTATTACAAAAGCAACTATTTTTGATCTCTAGGTGCAACATGAAATAGTGGCTGGCTTGAAATACCATCATGTTATCTCAAGGAAAGGAGTTAGAGGTAGTTCATTTTAGTTTATAAGGATGTACACAATTGGCATTTAAAAGTGATTTCTAGATTATATGGAGTGGCAGATTCCTTCTTAGCTTATTTAGAAAGCTTAAATTCAGTTTAAAGGCTAATAAAAATATTTCAGAAATTTGTTTGAAAGAAATTTAATTCCATTTCCATTGCCATTTGAATTTCCATTGGTTAGACTAAGCAAAGATCTCTTGTTACGTACCCAATTGGTATTGAAGGCTAATCCTCGGATGTTTTCTCTATCATTAATACATCTCCCGTAAAGTGATTTACACACTAAACATTACAAAACATGTATCACTTTCTGCATGTATTACTTTCTGCATGTATTAAGCCTTTACCATGGACAATTCAAAACCCAGTCTTCTTGTATAGGTTATATTTATTTGATTGTAAACTGTGTTTACTGCAGAGTTTTTCAAAAAACAGTTCTTGTGTATCATACAAATCAGGCCTTGCCTGGAAGGCATATGAAGGCCTACTTAAAAAGAGCTATGGGTTGAGTGAACTGAAAGCGTAAAAGGATGTCGCCAAAGCATATATTGCTTTAGAATAATATTGATCATGAGTTTATACCACTTATCTTTTGATGACGTTTTAAAATCAATTTTATATCTTGATTCTGGTAAGGTCTACAAGAACACATTTTGGAATGGAAACATTTTTTGTGTGCATCAAGAATGCAAACAACGTAAAAACAATTTAAGAATTGAATCTTTTAGAAATGCAATTACATTTGCAATATGCGTCATTTTCGTCCAGTTGCAAACATTTTGAAAATCTGTGTGTAAATATGGCCTTAGACCTGTTCACATGATACTGTATACAAATAAGTGCAACACAATTTCATACCCAAGACCAAGGGGATGTAGTGTTATTGAAGCTCATTCATATTATCAATGCCAAAAGGAGCCAGTTTCTACTGATGCTACTTTTGTGAACCATTTTCAAATCAATTTTATTCAGGAAGTGGAATAGAAAGCCTTTCGTTTCTTAGGAGCTTGTTTTATGGAGCACCTTCATTTTCTAAGAGCAAGGGCTGATAAATACCATTGTACTTCATTGATTGCTAGAATTTTCTTTGATGTTTAGCAGCTTAGTCAGAGTATTCATTCAAGCCTGTGATAATGATATTCCTCTTTGCAGTTGCAAAGCAGAACTATATGGTGGGGAGCTATGGCCCAAAGGCAGATCCACATTCATATACCACCCCTGTTGATGAGGCCCCAAAGGGTATGCTTGCCAGAGGATCGTACAAGGTGAAGAGCAAGTTTTTAGATGATGATAAAAATGTCCATCTTGAGTGGGATTGGTCATTTGACATAAAAAAAGACTGGGATTAAACTTTTCACTATTTTTAAGACTGGTATCTCTTAGCATGGTGAAATTGTATTGTTTAAACTTTAATGTCCTCAACATGAAAACTTGAAGAGTATCAAAATGTGATCCTTAGAAAAACAATCATGCACATTTGATGAATTCCAAGTTTTAGTAACAGAACAATTAAAAATTTTGTTACACCTTTTTATGGAGATGATTTATGTTAAGAATCAATAAACTTGAATTTGTAAAGTGACCCTTTTCTACAGTTTTTCTGTCAGATATTAATTGTCCATTTACAAAACATTAACTTATTTCACTTTTGTTATTTAAATTCTTTCTCCTAAACTTATTCAAGTCAGTAGCGGCACCCCAGTTCTCAGCAGAATCGAATTTGTATTTTGTGTAAGTTCGATGAGAGAATGTTGGGGGAGGGTTAATACTTTGACACCATACTTTTTGTGATGTAATCCTATGATTTTCAAACTGCCAATTTTCAAACAAAAGTTAGTCATAGGCGTTCCCTTTGGATAAAATTGGCATTCCTTGTTGGTAAAAGGGCGTTTTCTGGTGGTTAAAAGGGTGTGGCTTAAACTTTTTTGGTTTGTCTCCCCCAGAGCTTAGTGGCTGGTGTGCCATTGATTCAAGCCTTTCATTTGCTGCATTTTGAGATCCGTTATAAGTGTGAAGGAGAAAAGAATTTTTTTCATGTTGTGTAAGATGGTTTGGCAAGTCTTGAATTTTGCAGTCAAGCAGTGAAAGTCATATACTTTTGAGGTTGGCAATAATGGGAGAAGATCAGTATCATACCATCAGTTGATAAATGTAAAATGATGCATATCATATGTCACAACAGTCTTCGTAGTTAATTTATCAAGATATTTTGAACCTCCAACATGATATCGAATTCCTAAACAAAAGAGAGTTCTTTATTGTGGTGAAAACCTGTGGAATTAGATACCTTTGGATGTAAGGAATTTCCCGTCAGTTTCTGAATTTAAAAAGAAACTTGAGGACTCCCTACTTCACTGGCAACACCCCTGAAGTAGGATTCACACGAAGATGGCAATATTCCACATATCTTTAGATTAGCAGTTTGTTGTGATTTTTTCTTGTAGTGTTTTGTAAATTAAATTGCTTGCTAGGATTTGATTTTGCGGAAATGTACCAATCATTTTTCAGATTCTCTTATCCTAAAGTCCCCCCTGCCCTTTGGTCTTCCAGGTCGCCTTGTTGATAAAAACAAACGAATGACCTCACAACGTAGATTTTCACAGACATCGTAACCATGGCGTCATGCGTCAAATCTGAGTTGTTGTGAGCAACGTTAGTGCGCAGGTTGAAAACTGCGTTTGTGGTCTCAGGCTAGGCATTTGCATTTAGCAATGTGACAGATGATGATCACAAAATAAGTTTTATCTGCTTTGCTTTATGGCGTGTCTTATCTTTCGAAGTCCAGCAAGGCAAATCTCAAAATTTAAAACAAAAAGGTCAAGGAACGTCTTAGAAGTAGACTACAATGGTATCTTAAGATTTATCTCTGTGGACACCGTGAAAGGGCAGAGCTGCATGTCTTTTGAAAATTAAAAACTCGTGAGCGCTTTTGTAGAACTCTTAAAGTCTGCATAACCAAAGGATGTAAGAACCCTCCTTTGTGACGGTTTGTTTCAATGGCCTGTAGGAAATGGGGGATGGGCTGCCTTGCCAAATATTTTGTTATTTTCCCGTTCCCAAAATTTGTTTAATGTTGTTCTGATAAACCATCATTATGCTCTTATAAGTGGAAAAAAGATGGATTCTAGCCAGTGCTCCACATTCTTTTCAGGTTGGTTGTCTGCCACCTACCCATGCCATTCCACTTTACGCAGATAATACCGTCTTTACGTTTAAAGGCATCTTGTAAACACTCTCTGTCCCAGGCCCCTTTATGCTTTAACTGATGCAGTAAAAGCATTTTCGAAACGAACAGCCTGTTTAATCTGATCGTTGCAGCAAAGACAGGTTCCAATAAAGTTGCAAATGTGAATCCCTCAAAATATGCATGTCTTAGATAGAAACTGAATCAGTTATGATGCTGGTGAAAATAATTATAAAAATTCAAGCGATATTGACTTTTGTAGCAATAATTGATATCCAAATAAAGAGGTAAGTCGTGCCAAATCTAGTGCTAGCAACTAATATTTTTGAGAAGACCTGTCTTTAAAAATGCAACTGGAGTTATCAAAGCGAAACTCCCCAGAAACTCTCACCCAACGCGAGGAGAATCCGCGTGGTCCATGAGGGACAAAGCCAGCGTGGCCCCTTTAATGTAAACTCGCTGTAGCCCCTCAGAGTGCCAAGGGTCGAAAAAGGTTTCAAGCAAAGGAACTATGAAGTCACCCAGAGCCTTCAAGAAGTTGAATAACCCTTGACAGTAAACATTTACTTTTTATGCGGGACTCGAAAGGAGGTAAAGAAGAAATGAGGTTTCTTTTGCACTTTAGCTGATATATCAATGTTATCTCTAACGCTTATGTTTTGTTTATGGTGGAACAAGTTTTTCTAGCTATTTGATTTCTCAGTGAACGAGAAAATAAGAGAAGTTTTGTTTGTAAACAAACAATCAAGTAAGTGCTGCGATTTTTCAGACTGAAGGTGTGGAAGAAGCTTTTTGACATTCAATATCACGATAAAGTACCATCAGGGTTTATTATAACCTGCAGTGATAACCCATCTGTGCAGTGATGAATCTTAATTGTGCAGTGGTAAACCCGCATTTGTCCAGTGATGAAGCTAAAATTTAGCGATTTGGTGTTTAGAAAGCAGGAAATTCCACAAGTTCTAGCATAAACATAAAACTCACTAATCAACAAAAATTGTCAAATTTTATTCAGTCTCTCTAAAAATTATCCAATATGTAGAAGCTACACTCGACTAGTTTGTTTCGATTTTTTATTTTCTTTGACGTCATTATTTTTGAAACCAAGTTAAAAAAGACGCCTATCAGCTAGTATTTGAACAATATCTTTCCTAACTCATGGTTTTTTCAATGACGTTCATAAGTTCATAGGCTAACTGATCATGGATGATTAAACCAATTTAGAGCTCATCAAATTCCTCTACGAGGGAGATAGAATTGAATTTCTTTAGATAACATTAAATAGTTGCATTTCTGGCTAGAAATACAGAAAAAACAAGGTCCAACTTTTTCTATTATTTCTGTAAGATTTTGCACTTTCACTCATTTTTGTTATAAGAAGCGAAGCTCAATACTCATTGTTTCTTAAGAGTTTCTTAATTATGATGTCATGAATGATGTTATGAAATGTTTGTGACCGTTTTTATCACGTCAAGAGATTCGCTTCCGTTTAGATGTGGGAAGTATATTTTTATCCCTTGTGTCTTAAGTTCTAGGCCAACAGGGCAATCTTGTTCTTCGATTTTACAAAATTTCGTTGTTCTCAGTTTATCACGATTTAATAGTTTCTTAATATTTTTGCTTCGAGTACTGAAGTTTTCTTCATTTTCTCTGATTGTCCAGTCTGCCTTTAAATTGTTTCAAATGTTAGTCACTGCTTCATACACTTTTCTGCCAATAAGACTGCTTATCTTAGTGCACAAAATTTCTTATTTCCGATACATTTCAGTGGATTCAATGAAAAAGAACAATATTTCCTGTAAAACATTTCTATGAAAGTTTAGGCGAAAGATAACTCGAAAATTTATCTTAAGAAAGCGTGTCAAAGGCATTTTACGTCATTTCAAGGAAGGTAATGATGAAAGTTTTTAAGTCAACGCCCAAGTTATAAACCATGCTTTACAAAACATTTAATCGAGATGAGCCAATGGGACCGTATTGATTCCAGTGAGCAGGTCAAGCCAGTTAAATCTGTCGCGACCTGACTAAAACGAAACATTAGTTTGGCTTGCTTTATGGCCACAGCTCAGCCAGTATCGGTTTGTCACCTGTATGACTATTTAATGAAATAATTTCAGGATGTATTATCCAAAATTAAACTTTGAAGACGTAATGTTTATGACGTCATCATTTGACCGCTTTTTTATAAACAGGGGTGCAAATAAAATAATTTTTCTTTAGTGGTGTCATGACAAATTTGAACGACTCGGTACAAAATTGACTGACTCTCCAAAAAGAGTACGTTTGAGGGTGCCAAGAAGAGACCTCTGCGCTGTTGTAAAAAGAGGTGATTCATTCTCTTTTCAACTATGGTGGTCATTTGGTACTCTGGAGGGGAATCTGGCTACACCAGATGAAATATTTACCGTTGTACCTGCCTGGTGGAAATAAATAAACCAAAATAAACTTTTGATTTTGTAGGCGTCTGTTTTGGCTCTGCTGGTCTCTTAGAGACCTAATAACCAGACAATTTATCTCATGGCACTTCTATCATAGTTGACTCTTCCTACCTACAATAGCTTTACTTCCATGAATTGGCAGTCTTAGGCGCATTAGATAACAAGAAATGATGCAAGAGCTGAAACTAAATAAAATGAGCTCCTTATATGTTCTACAAGAAGTATAATTTAGAAAGATGACGGTAAATACTACAAAACATTGGACTGAATACCTCTAATGAGAAGATATTCTGGCCGTCTATTTCAAGGTGCTTACATTGACTTTGAAAAAAATGTTGGAATAGGCCCAATTCTCTCAACGGTTGCGCCTTCATTGTCTTTCCAAAATATTTTCGTTTGTATCAAATTTTATATCTGTAGTCATTTTTTAATTCTACAAATATGCTTAATAAAAACGATACTAAGAGGAAAAAATATATATCATATTTTTATCTGCATAAATTAGATTATAAGTACACTGCTGCTCTTCCTATGGATCATGCTTTACGGTGAAAAGTAGTAGGTAGTGCTTAAGTTTCATTTCATATTCCAAAACTGTTGGGCTATTTCTTTATATGCAAATGTATATAATTTTTACAGTTTCACACCGGATTAGAATGATCATTTCTTGAAAATCCTAGATTTTGTTTTGGGATATCAATTCTTCTATCCTAGGTGCCAGAGCCTCAGAGAAATAATGCAGCGAGAAAAAGTGAGTCGATAAGTGCCTGTTTCACGGGGGCTCTGGTACCCTACTAAACTCAAAAATAAAATTTTCTGGCCCTATGAGAGGTTGGCTACTTGCCCCCACTTTTCAGCATAGTGTAAAAGGACAGAATTTCGTTAAGGAAACTTTTGCTTGTTTGCTGTTTGAATTTCATTTGCGTGCTTGACTTTTGTTAGCACCTTGGCCAATTTCCATGTAACAGCCTGTCTTGTGATCAGCTCCTTTGTTCTGTTTTGTATAACTGTCCTAATTATCTTAATTGCTGTTGAGTAAAATATTTGTTGGCTTTTGTGAGTAATTCAGTCGTTTAATTTAGTCGCTAAGGTTGAGCCGTGATTTCAGATGTTCGGATAGCCGTTGTTATTTCAAGAAGTTTGAAGCATACCAGTTTTGCCGAAGTGACCCGTTTAGTGGTTGTCGAATTAGATGAAACTATAGGAACCGTTGAGCCAAGAAATCAGAACACGCTTATTGAATTTTGTACTTTCTTTTACTGCCGAATCTGCGAACACAAGCCTGTAAAACCCTCGTAAACTCAGTGATTTTACATTGGTGACCACGACGTGACGGGAGAAATTGGTAAAAAAGAAAGCTGGTATTTTAGAAGAAAAATGTCGAATTTTAATCGTAGAAATGACTTGCTATATTTGCGTGCAACAGACGGTCGTCCTGTCTGCAACTACTGTAAAATGGTTGGACATGTTGTCAAGTACTGTCGCAGTCGCCCGTTTATTCATCCACCAAAAGCTTATCGCACGAATGGATTTCCTCGTTGGTTTTCTACAAAATTTAGCCGATATAACGACGCACAATTTGAGGAAGAATTCCAGCACATCTGCAAACTAATTGAAAACTTGAAATGTATTTTACGTCAAGTAGAAGAGATAATGCACAGAAAAAGGGAAAATGTTGCGAGACAAGATAGGGGACAAAAAAGGTTTGAATTTGAAAATAATGAAATCGCACCCAATGAACAGGAAGATTGTGTCATGCCAGAACAGTCGATTTATAAAGGAGATGCAAATAGGGGAGGCAGCTATTACCAAAGAGCAGGGGAAGCAAACAAGTTTGTCAGGAAACATAGCACGCCAAGCGGTACCAAACAATTTTGGAATGGAGTCACTTGAAGCAAGCGAGGACGCTTGTCCTTGAAGGGGAGAGTTATGTAAAAGGACAGAATTTCGTTAAGGAAACTTTTGCTTGTTTGCTGTTTGAATTTCATTTGCGTGCTTGACTTTTGTTAGCACCTTGGCCAATTTCCATGTAACAGCCTGTCTTGTGATCAGCTCCTTTGTTCTGTTTTGTATAACTGTCCTAATTATCTTAATTGCTGTTGAGTAAAATATTTGTTGGCTTTTGTGAGTAATTCAGTCGTTTAATTTAGTCGCTAAGGTTTAGACGTGATTTCAGATGTTCGGATAGCCGTTGTTATTTCAAGAAGTTTGAAGCATACCAGTTTTGCCGAAGTGACCCGTTTAGTCGTTGTTGAATTAGATGAAACTATAGGAACCGTCGAGCCAAGAAATCAGAACACGCTTATTGAATTTTGTACTTTCTTTTACTGCCGAATCTGCGAACACAAGCCTGTAAAACCCTCGTAAACTCAGTGGTTTTACAATAGGGCCCAAGCCACTGTGGGAAGAGGTGGAGGGGCCATGACATCCATTTTTATAGCAAAAAAATATTTCCAAAGAAGCATTGTTTTGAAGCATTAGATTCAAGTTCGACTTATCGAACTTGGCCCCACCACCTTGATATTCGTGGCGTGGACCCTGAGCAACAGAGGCAAAGTACCTATTTGTAGATTATGGATGTGCCCTTTTTACTACACGTGCTCCCCACTTATGAAAAATGCTTCCTTCCTTTGGCTTTCGGTCTTCTCGATTTTAAAGATAAGAATATCTTCGAGGAAAGTCGTTCCACACTATATCTCTAGGTGTTTGACTGACTACCAGGACGAATTTCGCGCATCATATCAATGAACTGGCATTTGCTTTTCGCTTTGATGCTCTCGCCAAGTCCCGCAGCGGTAACAAAGGACCAAATTTTTGCAACTATTGCTTAGTTTTGGACCGACTAGGTGAAAACATAGAGAGTGGCATCGGGGGAGGGTTACTCCAATTATGGCAACAGGGGGGTCCAATTAGGGTCAACGAGGGCTAAAGCTAGAATGTTAAAAATTACCTTCAAATGGTAGTATTTTTTGACAATAACCCTCAAATGGTAGCATAAAGATGGAAATAATGTCATTGGTAGCTCTTTTACAAATTTCTTCGCCACTGACTGTTGTTGATTCAGGAAAGATAAGACCTTGTTCATTGTCTATAATAAATCGCAAGCTAAACTAAGTCATTATGTTATTTTCGAAACTGGGTCATTTGGTAAAACCCTCAAATCGGCTGGACACCCCTGTCAAGCCTTAATGGGAGTACCTCCCCCCTGGGGAGTGACACCTCCAGCACACCGACCCTAATTTGCGTCTCGGCACTGCACCCCGCCTAGGGCGAGGGCATGTTGCCAGTGGCATGTTGTATGCTGCAACGAAGGAGACAATAATCAACTTTCAAGTATATTTCTACGAAGTCGAGAAAATTGGAGCTGGGTTGTTGCCCGCCAGAGGAAGATCTCTTTGCTTACATATCATTCAAGCTGACAGATCCGTAAAGGTGACAATTGAATTTCACTCCTATTTACTTATGCAGTTATTCTTGTTGACATATTCATCGATTAATTGGCAAAAAATGAATAGCCAACCTTGACTGTGGCTAGGCCCAGTAGGAGCGCATCTCAGTTCCAGCAGGGCAATATTGTTAACTGTCGGAGTTTCCCCGAGGCCCCAGTTTGCGTTTTTGATTTCTAAGGTGAAGTAATATTTCCATATTTTCAGATGTACCTGAAACAAGAGTATGTTTGCAGCCATTTTCGCGGGGTCAAATTGTCGTCAATCAAACCCTGTCATTTATTCCGTGTGCGTGTTGTCCAATAAATAAACAAATATACTGCATGTGATGAACAAATGAATTTGGTACAACCACGTGTGTTTAGCAGTTTCTTGATCTTTCCTCTGTTTTTTTATATTTTGAATCAACTAGAAAAATCTTGAACAATTCACAAGCATCATGTGACACATGCTTTGCCTGGATCAAATTAATATTGTTGTAGGGAAAATACCTCTTGCAGCTATAAAGAGAGTTAATGGAGTTGACCGTACTATAGAGAGTTGAATAAGAAACCTATAAGGAAGATTTTTTATATTTAGTGCGTTTATTAGCTTATTGATCAAGTTATTAGTCAGGTCCAAAAAGGTTTTTCCAAAAACCTCGTTGCTTGCAAGAAATAAATGGCATATCTCCCTGCAATATTGTTAACATCTGCAGAATTTCATTTAGCGCTTTTGATTCCCAAAGTTTTTGATATTTGGTCCTTCTTTTTCATTGTAATGGACTTGCTATCATTTGTTGACATTTTGCACTTTTGATTAATTGTTTATATATTGCTGTTTATGTTAAAACTGCTTTAAAAGTTGGATAAGCTTTTCTTTAAAATTATTGTTTTCTAAAAGAAATTATTGCATTCTAAAAAGCCTACATGAGACTATTTGCAGGGACAATAGAGTCACAGTTTTTATGAATTTTTGTATTTCTGACTTACGTATATATAAAAACATAGGCAGGATTTAACGATATAACCTTGAATTTTAAATATAATTGTTTGTAAGAGGAACAACCCAATTATATTAACGGTGTTTCGAGCAAATGATCAAGCCTTTGAATGTTCCTAACCTTCACAACAGCAACAAGAAAGGAAAGAGAACTTTCAGGAAACTTATTTTATGATCTTAGACATTTCATGCAAAAGAAAAGAAAAAAAAACATTGAGAAATGAACATAAACAAAATGTGATGGTTTACTTAAACAATGCAGATTGTTTTATCATCAGAAACTATATAGGAATGAACCATTTCAAACCTCACAAGGCTTTACATGAGTTTTGGTAGGCCTGGCTGTTTGTATTTTGAAGATGAGCTGTGAATCGCTCGCCTTATTTGAGGCGAGATGTATCAAGGAAAAAAAATAAAATACATATAAAATGGCCTAGAATTTGAGCAAAATCAATACAGCATTAAAATAAAATCATGGATATAAAGTCCCCTTTAACCTCTGATGTTGATAATCCTGTTTGGGCCTCTTTTCAAGATACATATAAACAGAAACCTGCAAATGAATGGAACTTCATAAAGATAAATTTTTCCTCTGTGTTCAATTTTGAAGAGTGATTCACAGCTTCCCTCAGCTTCTGTGGGGAGTATGGAGGGGAGCCAGAGCTATTGCTTGCCTCAAATGGTAAGCTTTAGTTTTGGCTATTGCCCCAGTTTCTGACTGAGGCGTGTATTTAAGGTTAACTGAATGCATGTTCCTGGCAATTTTTTACATAAAAACTTAATTTTTGCATTGTATCTCATCATATTCATGTTAACATTTCTCATTTCTAGTTTACTTAATGGAAAATGAAGTGAATCACTAAGGTATATTTTGGATCAAGCAAAGAAAATTGGAGATAATCCAGCCATGTTGAAATGTCAAATGAAAATTTCCCTTTGAACCAATTGAGGTCAAGGTCACCTTCTGCACAAAGTATGTCTTCTGAAAGGACCCCACTGGTTGGCGCTAGAGCCCATAACAATGAGGTAAAGAGACTTTGAAACATTTATCCTTATTACTTACATGATAATTGAGTTTTTAGTCCTATTAGCCAGGCCTAAACAAGTTTGTGGTTATTGTCTTTATATTAAAGTGCTTTTTTGCTAAATTCTTAACTTCACCTTATCCAGACATTTATAAAATCAAACAAGAAGAGGCTTGTGAACTAGCAAAAGATAGACTTTCCTGGCAAGAACCTTTCAACCAAAAACTTGTGTTACACAAAGTAAATCTATTTGCAAAAAAGTGTTTTATAATATAATATTTAGATATAATATATCATCTGTCTCTCTCTTTAGAATCACAATAGATCTTTCATTGGCTTTTGCAATGTTTGTTTATAAGTAATTGATTATGTGAACTGGTTCCACTGCTTTAACAAACCAGTGCAGAAGTTACCCTGTTTCAGGTATATATTTTATATTCAGGTGTTATGATTCATTTCATGCAATTCTTGTTCTTATCTTGGGAATCCTTATATAGTTGTTCCTTTTTTTACACAGTCACGATCAAGCACCCCATATTCTGGTATTGCTAATGCTTCTTACTCGCTGAACAGGGACAAAACTGACACTGAATATAGTGGCTTGTCTGACATTGCTGTAAGTTTCCAATGATTTCCTACAGACAAAGCTTTTTTACATTTCTTGCAGTCAACATCTGATAATTCAACTTGTTGATGATTAATGTTTTTCGTAATAGGAAAATATGTTTTCTTCCCATTGTGATTCCATTGCAGACCAAATTTTGCTATTCTTAGCATTCAGGAAATAAAACAATGGTTAGTCCCCCCTGAAAGAATAATTTATCAGATGATGACTGTCTGTGATAACTAACATTTACTTAACAGAACCAATTTAAAGAAAAGCTGAAAGGAGGGACTTAGTGATTGATATCTGTATTTTTTATTCATTGATTGAGCCATCTTCATCATTCTTACCATCAATCATAATCAAGCACCAACTTCAACAACATGCACACTATGTTATACATTTTACATCTTCCTTCATTCAAAGCTAGCTCATGTCTTGATTTGTCTCTAGAATATCTGGGATAAAGTTTTGAAAAGTATTCCCCCACCTTGCAGCTTTTGAGAGTTTATTTTAGCTAGGAAGAAGTGAGCTCTTGTTTGTGTCTGACAGTTTTTGAATATCAGCTACAGCACCTTTGTAATAAATGTTTGGCTTAAAGATAAGTCTTGCTTGATTTGAGTGAGCAATATATTTTTTCAAAATCTACTTACAACTAAAAATACTTAAACATATGTGCCAGTCCTAATGGTGAAAGACACAGAGTCATCCAGTCTCCACTTTTAGTAACTTTAACGGTTTTCAAATAAAACTACATATGAACATAAAAAGTAAGCAAAAAAGAGGACAAATTTGTTCTGATCCTCTTCACAGAAAATTTTAAACATTTATCAGAATTTTTAACAAACAGGTGCTCTATTTTCTGTAATACCAATTCCCAATTTAGGTGTCAGTAACATACTGCCAGACATTTTTGATCAAGCTATTTTATGGCAGTTTATCCTGTAGAAAGATTTTTTATAAATAAGAGTTCAGAAGATCCTTAGATTAAACAAACCAGCTACTAAAATAAAATCGGGAGAAGCATTAAGAGTGTTGTTGGTGTACATTGTCTAATTTGTATGTAGGAACAAAATGATCACACTGAACTTCCAATGTATAACACATAACTACTATGGCGTAAAAATATGAATTTAAAAGCAAGAGCGCAAGGATGGAAACAAATTTTCTTGCTGGGACCCCTGTTGAACAAATATTTTCTGTGCCACAAAATAGTGTTATAGACAACTGCCATACATGATTTAAGCCTATTGAGCATTTGACTACTGTAAACAATATTACTTTCCTTTGACTTTTACAAAAATGCATTCTGCAGTAAGCTACTGCTGCTATATAGTATGTTGATTTGGTTTACAATGCTGCCAAATTGGTTATTTGACTGTGTTTCCCAATTCTCACTGATTCAACACATTAATAACCCAATTATGCAGCAACTTTTTACTTGATATCAGAAGTCTTTTAAGTTAAATACAAAACATCACACACCCATTCAAGATATTTCTACATTTTTTGATATTATGATTGGTTGATGCTATGTTCATTTTCTTTTTCTCATGTAAATTCTCCTTTTTGATTTTTTTTCTAGGGCTCAATATATTCTTCTACCAATGGTCTTTGGTCTTATACTTTTTCCATCCCTGCAAGAGCGGTGAGGCATTCTAATACATGTTTTTCTGTTTAGAATCATTTAGAAGTCTCTGGGAATGAAGAACAAGATCAAGAGCAAGTTATCTCAACAAAGTTTGAGGTATGAGGTTTCAACAACTCTGTTTTTAGTAATGGGAACTGTTGGGTTTTTTAATTATGAAAACAGTCGAGTTGCATGGAACAATTCCTTGCTGCTGATGACTGTGATCCGGCATTTGGAATTTGTTTATTTCACCTCAATTTATGTATAATATTAGAAAGGTGAAAGCTTTTCTAGTTAAACAACGTTTTGAAAAGACATCTTCTTGATCAAATCATTTAAAAAGACCTTCAATTTCAGATGTTGCAGTTGTATTTTTCCTTGACACAACCAAAAACGTCTCTATTAAATGTTGCTATTTATAATTTTGTTTTGTTTCAGAGTTTAGATTACGATGTCCCGGAAAGCACATTGATGAAAAAGGAAGAGAAATCAAAGAATCCGGAGGTACTTATATCGTGGTTGTCAGATAGCTAAATTTTTATCTTTAATTAGAGTTATTTGAAATCTACCACATTTGGGTTAGATAAGAAGGTCTGTTTTTACATCTGGTCCTGTTTAAATTTTGTTTGAATTTTTTCTTAAGATATTTCTTTTCACAGTTATGGATGAGTGGTAACTGTCAAAAAAATTACTTGCAAGATATTTCTTAAAAGATATATTATATGATAGTAAATTTTTAAGCACTCACTTTGGCAGGATGGTTTCTATCAAGCACCCTCTCAACCAAATAGCTTTCCCCCCCTGATCAGGTAGATAGAGACATTTTGTCCAGGTTTAAAATCCTATGCATTGAAAAAAACTTGTACCAACTTATCAACGCTTGAATTTAAAAGGGGTGTTTACATTCTCTTTCAGTATATGATAAAGATGAACCTTTATCGCTGGTTCATAATGTGCATGATTGGAGTCTTAACCGCGATGATAGCAGTTTCAATAGACATTTCAATCGAGAAGTTAGCTGACTGGAAGTACAGCCTCATCAAATTGTGTATCTTTTCAAGCTATCTTCCGTGTCGACAGCTGTTTAATCTACTTCATGTTTCCTTCTTGTGCATGAAAGGTCTCTACCTATGCAGAAACAATTTGTCTGCTTCTAAACATGCAAAATCATATGTTTAAATTGCCTGAGATATTATCAGTGAAAGAAATGAGATCTGCTAATGGATTACTGTTGCTTTGGCCTGGTTCATACGTGTTAGAATCATAGAGGTTAGAACCAAGGTAAGAAACAGTGAATTGATGGTGAAAAAGCACGTGCTTATGTGGCAATATACCACTGGATTTGCATCAGATTCGACTTTTTTGCATTTTTGGAATTATTTCGTGTTGTTCTTCAGGATATGGAGCCAGAATTCTAAAATTCTAACAATAGATTTTTGTGACATCATCACTGACGTTATCACAGGGAAACATTTGCTCCTGTTTTTCGAAACTCTAAAATAGATGTAGCGTAAAATAGAATAGGTTAATGCGATTTATGGATAAATAGAAAACTACTGAAGAGGTTCGATCAACAACGATTTTATGTATATATGTCCTGGCAGACCTTTTCAACAATTCTAGTTTTGCGTAGCTTTCCCAGGTTTCCTCCCCAGTTAAGGTTTTTTTCATATAAAAATATAATATTTACTACTTTCGTTGATGAATCCTGATTTACCTTGACGAATTATTTAGATCTCGACAAGTGCATGCGAGAGGGTTGCTTTGCTCTTCCGTATGCGCTGTGGGTCGGCATCGACATGGGCCTAGTTCTTATTGCCGCAGTATTGGTCGTTTATTTTGAGGTTTGTTTCAGCTTTTGCCTTCATAAATTTACCATTCTCCCTCTAGAATCTTTTATCATTTGTGTATTCCTGACATATTTTTCCATAATTGTATTTTTAATCCTCCACAACAGCCTTAAGCAGATTGATGAATTGCGGCAAGCAGCAATGTGATGCTTAAAATAATTTGTTCTGTCTGACACTCTGTAGAATACAGTTAATCTGCTTACAGAAGCACCTTGTGTTCGGAAATAAATTTCTGCCCGAAAATCCTAAGGCTTTATTTATAAAGATGCCTCATGAAACATCTTTTGTTACGAAGTATTGCCAGGCATTACAAACAAACTAAACTCATTACAAAAATGCACCTTTTGGATAAGAAGGTTATAAAAATGTTGACCCTGCAACTCCTGTATGCACTTTTAAAACGTGACCTAAAAAGAGTCTTACTTTTTAAAAACTAATTTCTCCTTTGCGCGTATTTACTGTATCAAACGTCAGAGTGATGATTGCAGTTGAAATACCTCTATATTATTTATTTCACTGTGTTTGAAATCCCATTGAAATATGTTAATTAGAAATGTTTCTAGACGTTAGGATAAAGACGATGATAAAGATGATTATTAAACTCACGCGATGTCTTATTGATTTCTTGTTTACCAAAGCCTTATGCTTTGTTTATCAAAGCACAGAAACTGTTCATTTTGGTTTTGATTGAGCTACTATACTTCCACCACGAATGTAATTGGACTGTTTCGAATTTATTTGCGAATGTGTTGTGAGAAAAGTTTATTTACAAATTTTAAAAGCAATTGGTATGAATTTCCTCCAAAATTTTCTTACACTCACAAGTGCAAAGCTTTTCGTAGTAGAGGAAACCGAGACAAATACAGATATATCTGTTCTCGTTACATCAGCAACGAAAACGAACCATTTTGCGATTTCTATAAGGTTTCCGGTATCAAGGCTTTGGAGTTATTCAATGCCGTCCTGTCACAAACACAAATTTTAGATTTCATAGTTTATTTGCTTCACAAAACCTTTGATGCATAAAATTTCGACTTTGTTAATTTTGTGTTGAATTTTTCTTCAGCCTGTTGCTGCTGGTAGTGGCATCCCGCAAATCAAATGTTACTTGAACGGCGTCAAAATACCTCACGTCGTGAGGATCAAGGTACTACTATTGTAAATAATGTTTTCAATGTTTTGAATTTCGAGAAGCAGAGATATTGTGTAACTAGGTAACTAGGTTATCTATGTTTCCAAGGATGTTTCGTCAGAGCCATTACGAGCAACGCAGCTACATGTGTAATAGCAATTTATAAACAAAGAAATATAATGTAGAATGAGGAAAGATGACATTGCTTTATTTTTAAAGAGTAGGTGACAGGTGACTGCCGTAAAGGCACAGGGAATGAAATAAGGTCAAGTCTTTTAGATTCTCGATTTTTTCTCTTGAATTTTATGTCCATTTTCCCGCAAGAGCTGGCCTAGTTTTGCCGCATTGATCTCTCTGTAGGATAACAGTTGATCATTTGAAAGTTAGGTGCCCTTTCTTAAACTTACGGTTGGCTATGGCGAAGAGAGGGCTCGAATTCCGAACCACTCGACTCCCAGTCCAGCGCTTTACCAACTTAGATTACGGCTATAAATTGTTTATAGTTAACTTTAATCTCTACAAACTCCATTTTTTCTAGACCCTAGTTGCCAAAGTAGTCGGAGTGGTGTTCTCCGTCGCTGGTGGCCTTGCATGTGGCAAAGAGGGCCCCATGATCCACTCTGGTGCCATTATTGCTGCGGGTGTGTCTCAAGGAAGATCGACTACATTCAACCGAGATTTCCACATCTTTGAAATGTTCCGCAGCGATCACGAGAAGAGGGACTTTGTTGCTGGTGGCGCTGCGGCTGGTGTCGCAGCTGCCTTCGGTTCTCCAGTTGGTAGGTTTTTAAACAGACGTAATCCCTGTTAGCTAGCAAGTGCCATATTTGTTGAATTGACAGCTTGCTTTACTTGCGGTATCACTTTTTTATGGCCCTATCTCGACTAACTTTCCAAAAATAGTTTTTTAATGGTATTCTACGTAGCTGGCTAAAAAAGATTAGGTATTTGAAATAAAAAGATAGTTACAGTACTGTTACAGTTTTACAGTTTTAAGGACCATTGTCAAGCTAGCCAAACACCAAATTTTCGAAGTAGTTTATACCTGCTATGAAGTAAGCAAATAAAAATGAAAAATTAAACTCCACAAGTTGATGTTTATTGTAGAAACTTTTTCATGGCAGACTAAGCTAAGAAAGTTATTTGCTTTCAAATCTGACGATTGTTTTTTAAAAGCAAGCTATGTGACTTTCGTGTTATCCCTAATGTAAAGACCTTGCATTTAAGTTTTATTTGAAGTTCTGAAAATATATAACTGACCGTCTTAAATTGCCTATAAGTTGAGCAGAGGGATCTTCCTATTTGTGAAACTTGATAACTTTCATTTTAAATGACTTTGAAAAAAGCAAACATTTAGTAAACTAAAGCTTTTCGTCTGACAATCTTCAGAGTTTAAAACGTCAGAACATAGAACTTTCATTTTGATGAAGTGAAATGATGTTACTTTTGTTTCTGCGACCGTTTTTTTCTATTTTTGATGATCCAGTCCCCCTTTTTTAACCAATCCTTAACATATTTTTTAAATCAAATCACAAATAAGTTGAATAGCTGTTTTGAAATTTTGGAATGTTATCATAAATGTCTTGAGGGACGTATTATGGTCAGCCATCTAAAAGGGGTCCAGCATTCATAAGAAAGTTGAGAGAAAATAGCTACAGAACTTCTCTTTGCTCCTCTCTTCCTCATACAAATAATACTGCTGTTGTAGCATTGGTACAGAATTATAGATCACAGCTTCTTTGTGAATTTTTTCTCAGATTTGTGATATATCCCCTCTCAAAGGCAAAATATTTATTAGATTTTTCGTTTGGCAGGTGGAGTGCTTTTCAGTTTGGAAGAAGGTGCAAGTTTTTGGAACCAGGCCCTGACATGGAGAATGTTTTTTGCCTCCATGGTTTCCACATTTACTCTCAACGTTCTGCTGTCTATCTACCATGGCCATCCAGGAGATCTTGGTTTTCCTGGTCTTATAAATTTTGGTGTCTTTAGCGTAAGTTAACAGTTTTTGTTGGTTACTAAGCTTTGACTGTTCTGTTGTGATATGCTCTAGCAAAGTTTTTCCCTAATGTAACGAGAAACATTGCATAGAAACAGCTGGAACATTTATTCATCAACTTTCTGGATTGGATTAATCCACCAAGCTTGATGGAAATATATTGACACAAGCAATGTGTTCAAGAGATTTTTTAGAGACTTAATCTCTTGTACATAAATCGAAATAGAAAAAGGAAAAGTTTATAAACCAGTCTACAGGATCTGATTTCCCTCCATAGTATGGAACGTTTAATCATAACAAAAGTACGAGAGAGTCTCTATCATGATGTGGATAGGAATACCCCAGTAGGAAATATGAGCCATTACAGATTATGTATGCTTTGGAAAAATCCATACAGAGGACGCCTCTGTTGGTTATAGGAACATTTCTGTTTTCCTGAGGTTCATAATTCTTCAGACTCAGGAAAGAAGTCCTGGTAAAAATTATTTGTTTGCTGTTTCAACGTGTCTGTTATTTGGATAAGTCTTTTGTGGACATTTTACTTATACAAATTGCGTAATTCTATCTTGGGAATATTTTTTCGAAATTTCATCATCTATTGTGTATACTACGAAAGTTTTAGTGCTTTTCCTATCTCAGAGATTTTATTATTTCTTAAAATGTATTTCTGTGACTAGTTTTTCACATAATGTTTATTTCTATACAGGGTGCCTATTATGGATACGAAATTCCATTATTCATGGTCATGGGGATAATAGGCAAGTCTTATTTCGTTTTTTCATTTATTTTTAGGTCAATCATAAATTATTTTTACGTCAAGTTGTCTTCTATATAATTGTCCTATACTGACTTTGTTCAAGAAAATAGCATTTTAGTGTCTTGCCTTTATATCACATTGCCTTGTGTGTATTGAAAAGTTTTCATTGAAGTCTAGTTTCTAGGCATGAACACCAATAACAAGTCCTTCACAAAACAAATCTCCCACTACTCCATTGTGCACAGAAACCGGTAACTTGGCTGTTTCCCAAGTATTAAAAACATACGTCTCATCAAAAGATATTTAAGCGCTTTTTAAACCTGAATAATTCTGCCTAGCGGAGGGCAGTGCTGTTTTGATTCAAAAACAATCAAGGAGCATTTCATCTACCCAAGCAGAATTTAATGGCTACGTTCAAGTCAGGTATAATTAACTGCGTAAGTCAAAAGTAAATCTTAACCCCGTCTATATGAAACTTCACCTCTATTTGTAACTAAGCTGTTTAAATCTGTTCTCTCATAGTCTGTAAGTAATTCAATTAATTTTTGTTTTGAATCAGGAGGCCTTCTTGGAGCCATTTTCAACGCAATAAATCACCATCTGTCGATATTCAGAACCAGGTTTGAATTCCTTTTTTCTCACAAATAATTTCTGAGTTACAATAAAGAATACATTGATTTTTGCTACAACCTTATCCCCACGTATGTTACAGCCTTATCCCCAAGCAACAGCCCTATGAGTCAGCCCTATATAACCCCTTTCTTTGCGTTTATTATCCGCCAGGTTCGTGAAGCAGAAGCCTCTACGTGTAATCGAGGCTATCATCGTTGGAATGATATCGTCAGTCGTCGCATTTAATTTGATTTACTTCAAGCCGGATTGTGCTCCAATCGGAACTGTTAATACTACAGAAGCACTACAGGTAAATAAGCATTCGTAAAAACCTTCTTATCAGAGTGTCAATATACTTTTTGATGTGATGTTTTTCGATTGCCCCAGAAACAAATAAACAATTTTTTACTTGTTGCAGTGGAAATGAGGCATAAGATGTCATGTTTTCATTCTTTGCTTCCTTATTGGGAAAAAGGAAATCGGGGTAAGGAAAATTAGGGGGGAAAATTTATTCACATCAACGCAAAAAGTTGTTAATTGCAAAAGCTCTGCACGTGCTAATGTTGATCAATATACAAGCATGTAAAACTGCTCGTTTTGGAGTCCCTGTAATATTTTTTATGTTCAATTACCAAGGAACATCATTTTTGACCTAATGCTGTGTAATCGAATGATAAAATTGTTTCCACAAGCTGACCTTATTAAGATGCATAAAAACAATGGCAAGGTTGCTGGCTTTTCTCAATCTCAAAGCAAGAACTTCTTAAGTAGAAATACAATGTCAAGTCAAAGAGAAGCTTAGTAACAGCGACTGAGAAGCATCTTGCCTTGATGACTTCATCATGAATTATAATCTGACTTGGCAAGAATGCTTTTCAAAATTCAGAGTCCATGAAATTGTCTGACCTTTGCTGTAGCTATAAGTTTAAGCTTTGAACCTATTTTCGAGAAACAAAGAAAGCAAGGTGTGTTTCGATTGGGTATCTCGATTTCTTTTGTTTTCATCTGCGTTCTCACAATTTTCAGCCATTTTGCCGCGTTTTTAGGCCGTATCAAAGTCCTCAGAACATCTCATTTCCAAAAATGACCCCGTATCAGTAATTTAGAAAAACAATGGATTGTTTTTAAAGACGACTGTAGTGAATGTTTAACTTGATTATCCTTCTAGTTTCTCTGCCAAGATGGCGAATCTAGCTCAATGGGGTCGCTAGCTTTCAGCACGCCAGAGCACTCAGTTAAAAGTCTGTTTCATTCTCCAAGAGGTTAGTAATAAGTCGACGAATGCATTTAAATCTGTACAGTTTGCAAGTTTTACACAACAACAAACCGCGGCTACAGTGCCTTCTAGGACAGTACATACAGTATTTTCAATTCAAGCCATTCATGGTTCCCATTAAATTTTATTAAATTGTTGCTTTGGTAAAACGAAGCAACAGCAATACAATCTAATGAAAGTAGATTTATAAGCAGATGCCTTGGGATGCATCAGATTCAAATCAAAATATGTCAGTCAAGCTAATCGTGCCCGATGAACAAAGATTCCACCTCAAGACCCGATTTGATCTTTGCATCTCAAGATGCTCCTTTATTTTGTTTTACGCATTTGCACATGGGAGAAGCTTATTTTCCCAGAATTCCGTGCGAGAATTTCCCGTCTGGGTGGCCTATATAGTCAGCCTTGTTTTGAACAGCCATTCTCGTCTTTTCGAACTAAGCATTGGTATCATCAAATAAATAACGATATCTTGCTATCACCGAAATGATGAGAAAACCACTCGGCTACTACCCCACTCTATATACCGATGTAACATGCCCTCCTTAACGTTTGTATTGAGTTACCTGTTATGTACGTGTTCTTATTTAATGACAGCAAACGTTTATTTTAGGGAACTACAACACCGTGACGGTTCTCTTGTTCGCTATTTGCTATTTCTTTCTCGCTACCTGGACATATGGATTGTATGTGCCAAGCGGGTTGTTTGTTCCTGTCATCCTTTGCGGGGCAGCTTGGGGAAGGATGTTTGGTGACTGTGTTTACAAAATATTCCCCCAAGGAAAGTGGTCAGAGCCGGGAATCTATGCGTTAATAGGGTCAGCATCCATGTTAGGTGAGGGCTTTGATTTTAATGTTTGATTCACATCCCTACACAGTTGATTCTCTATTAGATGCCCAACATGAAGTAAAATTTTTGGCACCGCAACACAGATTCCGTTTCTCAGCATTGAGAACCTATAAGAAAATGCTGAAAATCTGTACTTTCCATTTTATCATCTATTTTCTATTTACCGTTTGATTTTGTATATATATGTATTGACATTGCTTAAAATCTTTTAATAATACCAGTTTATGTTCGTTTGTAAGATTACGTCGTAGCGTGAGAGAGTGGGAATGTAGGGTGCCATAACCACCTATGTTTGGTCTAGCAGAAATTGTCTCTTAGTCGTCTTTTCCTTAAAAGGCCATCTCCATAACGCTCAAAATATCTACTTTAAGAAGAAAATAAGTCTAATGTTTGCTGATATCGTATCTTTGAGTATCAAGATGCCTGCATTTAATGCTAGCTGCTTTTTATGCAGGCGGTGTGATGCGGATGACCATCAGCCTTTGCGTTATTGTCATGGAAGCAACTGGTGACATCACCTATGGCCTCCCTCTGATGTTAGCTATCCTCATTGCCAAATGGGTTGGAGACTTTTTTAATGAGGTGAATTATAAGCTATTTGTTTCCTTTTGTATCAGTTTCATCTTTTTAAATTGCATCGTATCCCATTAGTTTTGCTCTATTTGGTTTAAATACTTAGTATGAACAATAATTAAAGTTTGGCTGAAGAAAAACCTTGGCTCCCTTGTTGGGATGAAAAAGAGAGTTAAAACGCAGACAGCGAAGACATATTTTATTTTCCTTGAGCAGAACATAAAGTATTATTCAAGATGAAATGCTTAAAACTTTTCGTTTTCCATTTGTCGCTGAAACAGTTCGACGTATTAGCTCTTTCAGAAAACATGAAACTTGATACCTTGATTTGTGATAAGGCCTCGGCCATCTTGCCAGACCCTTTCTGCTTAAGATTTGCATGTTTATTTAGCGTCTGTAACATAATAAATAATGGTAGGTCTTGTATGTCTAGATGAAAGGAAAACCTGATACTGCCTAAAGGTTTTTAATCCCTGTTATTATAAAAGATCCCTTCAAAGTTTCTCATACTTGTCGTGAAAGGAACTAAAAAGCATCCTCCAAAGCTTCTCATATCTCATACTTGTTGTGAAAGGAACTAAAAAGCATTATAATGGTTTGATTAAATATTTATTATTATTAATATTATTAAATCCACACATGTATGTCCAATTTACCAAAATGGGTTTTCCTTTCTAGGGTATTTATGATATTCATATAAAACTTGCTGGTGTCCCCTTTTTGGATTGGGAAACACCCCAGATGGCATCGCAGATTCCTATTCGGTGGGTCATTGCAATTCATTCTTAGTTATTGTGTTGTTCTCTGATAATGTTTTTGATCTCGGATTCTTCGAATATTCCTTTTCATATTGTTTCTAGGAGCTTTTAAATATCTTATTACACGACGATAAGTGATGTAACGATTCTGCAATAGTATTATAGAGTACCAAAGTGTGACGTCATCAAAAATCTTTTTTAGAATTTCTTAAGTTTGAGCAAATAATCTGAAAGAACAGCATAAAATACCTCTCAATATGCAAAATCAGTTAGATATGTTCAAAATTGGGCGAAATATGGCCAATGAAAGATTTTAAGTTTGCTAATAGATCACTGATGTTCTGGCCTGGTTCATAAAGTTAGGGAAAGTTACAGAAGTTTGATGGGGTAAAGTGCCTGTGCTCAAGTGGGCATTTCTCAGCCAATTCGTAATACCTTTAACTGATTTTGCAGATTTAGAGGTATTTCATGATGCTCTTCCAGGTTCCGGGATCAAAATTAAAAAATTCTAAAAAAGATTTTTATGACGTCATCACTTCGGTATTCTATATCTGGTCGTAAGTGGCTCGCGGCAGACAAAAATTACCCTTTATTTATCGTCAGTTTTCTTTATTAATGATACAACCATCTTTTGCTTTTCGAATCACTTTTGCAAATGTTCATGATCTTCCAAATTATCCACGTTCATGATTCACGAGTTTCAATTTAACAAAACAATGTTTAATCAGCAATTGGCTATATAATTCTCAAGAGGAGACTAACATTGTAGCCAGCGCGTTTCCCTCGAACCACATTTGTTGCCTTCTGTCTCCTTTTCAATGTTTTACCAAAGGAGTAGGCAATTGACAAGAGAATGTTGGTAAAAACGCGTACGTTGCCCATAGGATCAGAACTAATCGTCGCCAATCATTTTATTTTTAATGAAAAGGGGAAATGATTATTTTCCAACTAAGCCATTCAGTGACCTTTCCCAACCCCCGCAGAATGGACTCGTGGTCTAAAATAAAAATCTACGAAAATAATTTAACTTTTCAAAAGGTCTTCAATATAGTCTCGAACATAGTCTTCAATATAGTCTCATAAATTCTATTTCAAAATAAGCCAAGAATATGAAGTAGAATTCTAGTCTGGTGCAATTTTTGTCCTTAATTTTTGTCTAAACACCCACCGTTCTAAAAAGTTTATAAAATTGAAATGAAACGGTAATTTTGCTCAACGGACAAACATTGTAAGTGTGAGGGGTTGCAGTCAGACTCACCTAGTGGGACAAGAGGACAATTGCCTTGGTGCTACGGGACAATTTTCTCTGCAGTAAGGGGACAATTTCCCCTGCAGTAAGGGAACAATTTCCCCTGCGGTATGGGGGCCATTGCCCTGGGTCCTGGGCCCAACAGTTGGCCTGTAAAGAAATTGCAAGAAATTTTTTTTGTCATGTTAAACTATGATCAAAATTTTTATACAGAAAAGGAAAATACTGATATTCTCATCCGAGTGTAGTTTTTTCAGTCCCACAGAGAGAGTCCCGCAGAGGCGCCACTCTCGGATTTCAAAATATACAACAGAGTTGTCCAGGGGGCCCATTTAATCTTCTGGCAGACCTGGTTATAGCTATTGAGTTTGCTACCATTCTCTAAAGTTTCTTTAACATTTTGTGTTTTTATGTTTTCAGAGATGTAATGCGAAAGCCTGTTGTTTGCTTTCATACTGAAGAAAGGGTAAGTAGTATCAAGATTTTGCTGCTTTGTCAACCTTCAGATTTAGGTCCAAGCATTAATAATCTTGATTATTTAAATTTTTCGTGTTGCATTTTCCAATCATGAAGAATGGAAAAGAGTATAATTGCAAAGGACTTTGAAAGAGTTATAATTGAAGCTTGGAAATTTGTTTCCAGGCAAGGCTGTATTGTATTGAAGTTTTACAGTGGAATTGCTGTTGCTTTCGCCTTGTTCATAGATTTTAGAACGAAGGCCATGTTATAGTGATTTGGTGGGGAAAGAGCTTGTGGTCATGTGCTCATTTCTCAGTCAATTTGTAGCACATTTATCTGATTTTGCACATTTAGATTCTGCATATTTCACAATGCTCCTTCAGGATACGTGAATCCTTGTTTAAATATTTTCAAGGTAGATTTTATGTCTGTCATCAGTTCATATGGTTTGGCTGTCATCAGTTCTGAACTCGACTGAGGCATTGCTTTATTTTTTTATCAAATTGCTGTATTTCCATCTCGCTTTATTGTTAATAATAGCCGTACAAAGGCTTTTAAAAGAATTCTTCAAATATTTTCCTAAATTTGTCTATCTTTTTGTTCTTTTGAAGCTACTAGGTTTGAAATAACACCCTGTTACCTCCGAGAAACTTTATTGCTCGTTGCAATGATCAACGATATTTTTATCATTTGATTGTTTAATTGGTAAAAAAATATACATTTGCCCCCCTTGACTATCTGTGTTTGGATAAACACGTATCAAAATAGCTCTTTTCCTTCATAAATGACGGTTTCACGAACAAACATGTTTGATGTCTTGCATTTCTTTTAACTTATTCTCTATTTATAGTATCCACAGGGTAGTTTAATCCAATTAAACGCGTGGTATGTCAGGTAAATTTTAGTTAGAAATAATGACAGTTACCAGATGGTCAACTGGATTTTTCTTCCAAGAATTGAATAGCTTTGTCTTACTCTCACACTTAGGTCGGCCGCATTGTTGACGTGCTAAAGAACACTGCCTCGCATCATAATGGTTTCCCAGTGGTTGACAATGTTCCTCAAACGCAGGTTATTGTCCACAATTTATTAAATCATTTTATCATTTAGTATGCCATACATTCTAGCTCAAATTCTTAAAATTGAAGATATCATCCTAATAATCTCCATCATTCATCGTCATCAATTAATTACCAGCATTTCTTCGTTATCTTTAATGGTCACTATCAATCGTCAGTCATCCTCGTTACCATTATCATTATCGAGGTCCTTTATACAACCAATTTAAAAATAATGTACTGACCAACCCCGCATCTATATTAGCAATTTTTGCCAGTCACTAGAACGGGTTACAGTGCACAATTTCAAAATATAAAGCTGAGCATGAGTGTACAAGCATGAACTTTTCTTGATTCACAGGCAGGTGACAGGGCAACCTATGGTACATTCAGAGGCATCATTCTGAGGTCACAGCTCATTATTCTCTTGAAGCAAAAGGTGTGCATTTTCAAGCTATAACTAACAGCAACTGTAGCGCTATTTAAGCTTTTGAACGCTAGCTGTGAGTGAGTAAAAGGATGATTATAAAGATTTAGTGATATAAAGAATGTGGAAAGTGTAAATATGAATTATATATGCAAGATGAGTTAAGGCACACATAAAGTGGCATGATCCACAGAATGCTGTTTTGTGAATTTTGTACAATTAGTAGAATAATTTGTATATCATCGAATCGGTTTCTGGTTTTTTTAATCTTCATGTTTCAAAGCCTTTTCACTTGGATTTTTTATCAAAATTTTCTTGCTTGATTAGGTTTTCTATGAAAGAAGTCAACTACGGAGACACAAGCTGAAGTTAAAAGATTTCCGAGATGCGTACCCAAGGTTCCCTCCAATAAGAGTGAGTTGCTGCAACTATTCAGTTTTGAAAAGCACGATAAAATACCATCTTAAAGAGCCTCCGAAAGTGGTTTCAGTCACAAATTATTCTCCAAATAGTATTGTTTCCTTGACATTATCTTTTCTGGCCTCTTCTTAAGACCTTCCCTCTAACTTAAACTTAAACGGACCTCTTTCTGCCAAATAAGGATCTCAAGATAACTGGAATACACTCATTCGAGTAGAAAACGCTCTGTAAAGGAGTGCAGAACAGAACCAGTGGGTTGGATTCCTACCCTAGTCATGTCGCTCACTGACATTTTCTCTCAGTATATTTTCAGCTAAGGCTGAAAAATGTAAGCACCTTGAACTGATCAATTTTAGCTATTTAACTTAAATTTTGCCAGTCTGGTCGATTAACGCTAGTTTTTTGCAGTTTACACGATAACGCTAAACTGAAATAACGCCAGTTTCTTGCAGTTTACACGATCATTTTTTGTTGAAAATGATCCTCTTTTTCGGCCTTAATAACCGCTTAAACTTGCTTAGTATGTAGGTAGTGGCTTTGCCAAATGCAGAGGAGGTATATGGGGATTCTACACCTTGTCAAAAATGTTAGGATTATGCACATTTATTACACTTTTTGGATAGTTAAGACTTTGTCGAATAGACCGTCTCAACCATAGACCATATCGACTATTTCGACCTTCAGGGTGCAATGATGCAAGTGGGGCAAAAGCCGCAATAAATTCAACGATGGTCTATATCATCAAAATTTTTAATTCTTCTGAAGCTCAAACAAGGTCCATTGCTAGTCAATGAAGTTCAGATTTTCATTTTTTTAAGTATTTTCCTCTTTTCTAAGAAAGTTTTACGGCAAAAAATAAAGGACAGCTTTTATCTACCATGAATTTTTGCTAGTTTGTCCCATCTGAGCAATTTGAACTAGCTATAAAATAATTGAATTCTATCATGGCGTCACAAACTGTGCGATGGGTTTTTGTGCATTCTACACATAAAGACTGTCAGAAGACATCAGACTACTCTGATAATCAATCATATTTTGGAAGCTCAGCTGTCTATCCCTTAGTTACCTGCACACCATTTCTATTTATCATGCTTATTGTGGCTGAGCCATAACTAAAGTTGTCCTGAAGTTTAACAGGCGTTCTCGAAACTTCATTGTAAAATAGAAACTGCAGTTTTTTGTGAAGGCACGATCTAGTAAACTAATTTCTGGCTTTGAGCTATGAACATTTTATTGTACTCATCAAACCGAAAAGTCTGACATTTTCTAGACTGTAACATGTTTTCATATCTCTCTTAACATCTCTTATGGATCTCAATTTACTGTATTATATGTTTTATTTGATATAATTTCAGAATATTAATATATCACAAAGAGAAAGAGAGTGTTATATGGATCTGCGACCGTTCATGAATCCAGCTCCATACACTGTGATGGAGGTAAGCATGCAGTATCAGTTCTAAAGCATTAGTTATTTGTTTAGAATATCTTTTGCCAAGCTTTTTTTATAATATGCTTTAGCAGCAAGGCCAAAAGGAAGTTCTGTATAGGAGGAGACGTAGTGACACAAGTAGCGAATAATGGCACAAATTTTTTTGGGGGGTGATTACCCACTTTTGTCAAAACATGGCTGATCTTAAAATGGATAGCAATTTATTGTGATGGGGTTGGCTATATTCTTTTAACAATTCCCTCAGTTTGTTGAAGACTGAAACCACAATATGTTATTCAAGCTTGTCAAAAACCTTGCTTGGTGAAAACCTTCTGTAGACATTTGTTTCTTCTTCTAAACCGTAAGAATTTTTTAAATGCTTTGCTTTTTAAACAGATAAACCATAAGTGTTCCGATTTATGGTCGCATTTTTCACCAAATCAAGCTATGAAGCTATTAGCTATTTTCTATAAAAACTTATAGTGAAACAGTTTAAGTCAGTGCCTGTCCATAGGGCCATTTCACTTGACCCAAAACATTTTTAAACACCAATTGCCTTCATTTTTATATACCATTGAAGAGTGCACTTGGTTTATCAAAAAAATTTCCCAGAACAATCTTTTTCAGACTTTTCAGAACTTGATACTCGCTATGAAACTTTCCAGACCTTCTCGTTGCGAGCACACATCCTCTCAAAGTTTACCGAATAATTTTTGGGTTTTCCTATATCCATACTGAACTAAGAGTTTCCAGCTTGCAACACATGGTTATGACTTTATGTCTGGGAATCTTGCCACAGAACATCAACACACCTCTAGTCCCAACCCAGGCCCAGAATGTTTTCTTTTCTCCCAAAACTCTTCATGCTTTTCCACTTGTAAGTAACTACTGTTTGCTAACTGTTTCTGAAATTTGCTGTACAACAGCTATATCTTATAGTAAAGAAAAAAGTCTGTATATAAAAAAATTATCATCGCTGACACATTTAGGGGCAAGAAAACACAAAGGATGACACTATTTTGTAGCAATTCTGACTGAACTGTTTGGAAGGAGCCAAGACAAGTTCTGTGTGGCCCTTTTTATTTCAAGTCAATTTATTAATATTTTTTTTTCCTTTTTCGAGGCTCTTTGCTCTTGTTTATTTTATACAAACTATACTAGTGATAAAACGCATCCTATATAAAGGCTTGTTGAGACAGTAAGTCAGTCAGTTTGTACTTTGATAATCAAGAAGCGGACTTTTAGCAAAAAAACTTCATTCACAATGTCATGATCTTGCAGTAAAGATGCCAGGCTCTATCTCTGTCAGACAATAGTTCTGAGTCCTGGCTATCTGCCAATCAAGAATAATTAATTGCTAAATTGAAAGCAAACCAAAATTTTCTATATTTATATGGCAAGCAAATTTGTCCTTTATAATAAACCACAGAAAAAGAACAAAAGAAATTGGCATATGGAATATATATACACAATATATGTTTTTTTCTCACTGATTACCTCCTTTTTAATTCAGATTTCTTTGATTCAAATTGTTGAATTTGCATAATAATGATTCGCAAGAAGAGCTTGTTTTCGTTGTTTTGAAATTTTTTAATGTATTTTTTGCAGAATTCTTCATTGAACAGAGGATTTAAATTATTTAGAGCTCTCGGTTTGAGGCATTTGGTTGTAACTGATGAAAGTAATCAGGTAAATGTTCTGTTTCCTTTTAAGAATTTGTCCATGCAAGGGTGTCCAGTACATGTCTTTTTCAATAGTGTTCGAAAGACATCACTGTCTTGATATGCAGAGTGAAGAATTGCCTTGTACCAAAGTCACTGCAATCCATGTCTAAAAGACTGATCACAGACACAACTTACGAAAATCAGACTTTAAGCTACCAAAATATAAAAGAGGTCCAATTGGCTCCTTATTATTGCCCGCAACTCGCGCGCGATAGCGCGCGAGTGAAGGGCTTATAGTCTGCCCCGCGTATAAGTAGCATATGGAAGCTTCAGTTCATGTTGTCAGCACTTTTTCAGCAGATTTTGTCACTTTTCTGCTGCCATGACAACTGTCAATCAATTTCATTGTCAATCAATCGGCTTTGTCGAGGAGGTCGTTAACCGCCACCTCTTTGTGCGGAAGGGAATTATCTTCGGAGCGTTGCTCTGCCAAGACTCTGTTAAAGGCCTTCGGTTTTATGGCACGAAAACGGTGCTGCATCACAGCTCTGTTCTCCGCAATGGATGGAAGTTTTGATTCGAAGTTTTGGGAATCAAAACCAGTCGAATGCCACACTTTTCTCCCAAAAACTCGAGACCGTACGAGCAAAAGTTATGATTGTTGGCACGAAAACGGTGCTGCATCACAGCTCTGTTCTCCGCAATGGATGGAAGTTTTGATTCGAAGTTTTGGGAATCAAAACCAGTCGAATGCCACACTTTTCTCCCAAAAACTCGAGACCGTACGAGCAAAAGTTATGATTGTCGTGATTATCGAAAAATAAATGTCAAACCCTCGAAAAATTTCATGATTTTCAAAAGGGCGTTGGACTTAAATCAAAGGCAAACTGAACACCAAAAATTCTTGATAAAAAGAATAGTTTAGCATCAACTAGAGCAGCTGTTTTTATAGAATTGTGAAAACCCAAGATGGTGTCTTCTTCGAATATCCTGACCTACATTTTCAAAACAATCATTATCAAGGAACTAATTGTTTGCGGGCAGTACTAGCAAGAGCTATTTCTAGTTAACTTTTTACTGCCACGTTCGTAGATAAAAAGTAATTTTAATGCTGAATTCAAGTTTATAAGAATATACATTAAGTACCAAAAATTTCAATGGAATTTATTTTTGGTGAAGCACAGCAACCGAATATTAATCCCACCCAATCATTTTGAAAAAGAAATTTTTTCTTACAGAGATTTTCAAATGCTAGAAAAGTCTCGTTTTCCACCAATGGACTTTCAAAATAACAAAAACAATTCTTCCTTGACATTGTTTTAGCATTACTATACATCCAGTACATATAAATTTCAAGTTTCTGGTTCCCTTTTTATCATCAACAAATAAGATATCTAGCTCATCTTCACTTTCTTCTCTTTCGCCTTCTATATTCAAGAAATTTGAGTTTTCTATGGGCTAAACGGCTTTTCTATTTAGCAATTAGGTACTTTTCTTTAAATCTGTTGGGGGTTCTTGGGATTTTAAAGTCTTGAGAAATTGCAGCCCATAGAACTGTTAGCTAAGGCATTAACATCAGTTATCATTCAAACAACTATTTGAATTTAATACCTGTTGTTTTCCTAGGTTGTTGGCATTGTCACTCGAAAAGATTTGGCTAAGTATAGAACGTGGGCACACAGGGGTCAAATGGAACTTAAAAAAGTTAAAGTTTTACAGCATTCTGATTAAGAGAGTAATTTTGTAGTTGAAAATGATTTTAAATTATTATTACCCTAATGCCGATGGGTAACTTTTTCTACTTTTATTTAGAAGGTTTAGAAATTCTTTTTAGATTTGCCCCGGAAAGAAAATTGGCAACAGATTCTTTGTCAAATATATATTTCTAGGGTTTGAAAACTACACAATATTTCTATAGTAAATTTTATTTTGAAATTGAATTTTTGTGCAGATAATAATCTTATTTTTATTTTTTTTCCAATTTTGCTGGATTAAAGGTTTAATTTGTAACATGGAACAGTTCACCTGCGCTCTTCACTAACCAATGTAAAAATAATTTTAAGGGCTGTTGCGTAACACTGTTTTGCAGTCGGCCCTTTTTCTGATGCTTTCTAGATAAATTTTCCTTATTTTACAAGATTTCAAACAGGGTATGTCTCCCAAACAGGACTAAAATTTTGAAGAAGGAAACAAAGTCAGTCGGAGCAAACAGCGGTGTTGTCATTCCACGATCCGCAGCTGAACGATTGTTCAATTTCAGTTATTTAATTGCACTGAAAATTGCCCCTTATGATAAAACATCTTTGCCCATGGTTAGTTTGTAGTACATCTATCATCTCCATTTTGACCAAGAACACTTAAAGTAGGATTATTCATACCACAATAACGATCAATATTTCAAGCAACTTCAGTAAGGTTACCCCATAGGTCAACAAAAATTATTTGGCCTAATACCATTTATTGTTATCCCATTCTTTCAGTTTTTGCTATGACCTTTGATATGCTGATGATATTAATAAATTATAGTACTAATGAGTACTATAGTTGATAAATTTCTACCTACTTTTGCCAGTTAGAATTTTTATCCCATTAGCAGAAATGCAGGAAAAAACTTAAGAAATTACACACAAATATATTCATATATTAAGTTCACTCTACATCCTGTATAATGTTAATACAGGTACTAAAAATTACTTTGATTATTATAACACTCACACACAACACACAACAGCAAAAATCTCAAAGTATGCAAAGGTTTAAGAAACTATTGTTTCTCCTTATTAAAGCATTCAATCTGAAGTAAGTTAATGTTGCAAAAGTTCTCATGTATATATTTAGTACTAATGAGTAATTTAGGCAAAATTGTATATTGAATTTCAATTAAGATCTTTTGATATGCTGATACTTGTGTTAGATTGTGTTGTTATAATGAATGCATACTCTTGCAGTTGTCTTGCTAGCAGTCTTAAATGAAAAAGCAATAAATATATATGAAAAAAATGTCATGACCTTGCAAATTCAGAAACTTTTTTAGTTTATAAAATGTAACTCAGTTTGTAATGCATGTTGTCAGTGGCATAAATATCAAAACTAAAAATTTATACATATTAAAATAAAAAGTGTGCATATTGTAACAATGTCTTGCACATTTGATAAGCAAGTGGACAGATAAATACCAAATGTTAAAAAACAGAGCATTCATGACATGAGGCCTAATCCATTGGAATGAATATTTTTGCAAGACTTGGTAAATGAGTGTTTCAATTGTTACTTTGGACTTATTATTCATTTGATGTTGTCTCTGGCTGAAAATCCTTTGACTCTTTTAGTTTTGCGAAAATTTCAACAAACAATTTTCGGAAATCAATGTGTTGCTCATGTCCTTGGTCGCTTCCAACACACACTGACTTTTCTTCACTGACATTCTCCTCATTCTCTTTTCGTTGGCCAAAATGCATATCTAAATTAGCAAAATCCCAAGACAATGTCTGAATAGCTCTCTGCACTTTCTCTGACCTCTTTAAACTACCAGGTGATGTTTCATGTTGATATTTCTTCAGCAAATTCTCATACTGCTTTACAAGACTGTGATACTGATTGTCCATCTCTGATAAAACTGACAGATCCCTTGATGGTTGGTTTATCTGTGTGACAGAAGATGACAAATACCTCTGTTTTGTCTCAAATAAATCTGTAGCTCCACAAAGCGGTGAATCATTCAAAACCTCATGTGAGAATGCTTTGCTTGATAAAGTCTTTTGAGTTTTGACATTTTTCTTGCTTTCTGTTGTCTTTAAATTATAACTTTGACTATATTTATCTGCAAGGAGCTTATACTTTTGTGCTTCTTCGCATACCACTTTCCACTCCTCGACCTCATTTTCAAGTAATAGCACTTGATGCTGTAACAGTTGATTTTCTGTTGAGATATCTTCAAGTTCTGCTTTCAGTTCTTCCTTTTCAATATTATCTATTCCTTGATGTACTCTGAAATCCTTTATTGTTTCTTGTAAATGTTCAATTTTCTCCTCCAATTCTAAAATCAATGAAAAACTAGACCTGTGCTCTTCATTTAAATTGGAGTCTTCTGTGGAATCTGATGACTGACCATTCACAGCAGTCTCTTTTCTTAATAGTTCATTCTTTTCTTCTTCTAAAGATTCAATTGTGCATTTGTATGTTTCACATTTCTTCTCAAGACTTTCAATTGTATCCCAAAATCTGTTGTTTTTATTGTTCAGGGTTTTATAATCAACCTGAAGTTGCATATATTTATCATTTAATTCTAAGATTTGATGCTCGTATTGCTCAGAAGCTTTGGCCTGATCTTCAATTGTTTCACGTAACAGTTCAACCTGGTTTTCCAAAAACTAGAAGATAAATTTGGAATATAGTGAGCGAAAGGTATGTTTTCCTACTTTGAAGAACCCTTATAAACTATATATTTTGCTCTTTGATACATTTCTTGTAAGTTAAATGCCATAAAAAATGTTTTGAGTGTCTGATAAATACACTCGTATACTAGTCTAGACTTAGAAGTATCCAAGAGGCTTTAGGAAACTGCGTCATTCCATTGAATTCTCTTTTCTGGTAGCCATTCAATTCAGTGTCATATTTTCTGGGTCACTGGGGGTTAACAGCCATGAAATAGGTGGATTGCAATCCAATTTACTGCAAAGGTACAAAACCTCTGGCTACAGAAAAAAATTGATCGCGTTGGGGGACATCACATCTTTTTCTAAACATTCATTAGAATAACAATTTTCTAAACTTCAAATATGTCATACACAGTTGGATCACACATTTAGTGCTGTTACAAACAGTAATTCTTAACAAATGAGTCAATTAACATTTCGGATTTGGCATCATCAGTTTTGCATCTCATTTTCTACAAACCAAGGTAAAAAATGAGCCTGAGATTTCAAATGATCATATTGAAACTAGTCTATACTAAAAACCTCATGCAGTTTGGATTGTTTGGTCACAATTTGAATGGAATTCGCTGTTGGTTTGAAATATTGCAGCAGCAAACTTTAGTGAAATGTAACAGAAAAGCAAAAAACAGCATAATTTGTGCCTGTCTGTCCAAACAATATGAAATTTTTGACACACAGTCTAATTTCAACATGAAGATTCAAATTCTATCATCCATTTTTGACAAATATGAAGATAAAAATTGAAAACATCTAAACTCAGTACAGAGATTGCTGAAACAAAATATCTTGCCAGCTTGGTTCACTTTTGAAGCAAACCTAGGATACTTATACCCTTTATGGAAATCTATCAATGCTGCATTTACCATTGAAGTCTACATTGAAGGGGAAAAATTACAATAAGTATGCAACGTAATGTTCCAAACCTGTGTTCTCAATAAATATTCTTCCTTGGATTCAAGTGTTGACCTGAACAAAAACTCAAGCTCCCTGTTCTTTTCAAGAAGTGCTTTTCCTATTTCAGCAGCAAGCTCCAAATCTACAATGAAGGATGGAAGGAAGAACTGTCATCTAAAAGTCTCTATCGATGTTCACGCCAACAACATAAGGTACTTAATAACACATAGATAAAAATTCTTATAATAATCTGGTTACATTATTAAAATACTTAATGAAAACTAGCAAATGATTAAGAAAATATCAAGAAATTTTTTACCATGTTTACCTGACAGGTGCTGTTAGTGTCTTTAGAAATAACTTTACAATACGTTGCAACCACAACTGGTCTGGTCTGGTTGGCCTCAGGGCAATTCGGTTGGAAAGTCAATACTGATCTGATTTTTAGAACTGCGGTTACCCCTTCTGTTTCATCAGTTCAGCTTTATGATTGTAATTATCTGTTTATGTTTGGTTGTACTTGCTTGAGGGCTGGTATAGGCTTATCAATGACAAGTAAATAATCAATCGACCTTAAAAAAAGCCGAGCCTTACCGAGATCGGTGATCTTTTCTCCCTTTTCAAAAATGTAAGTGTCACTCGATGTTTCATCTCCAGTATCTTTATTCTTCAGCTCATCGTGTATGAATACACGGGCCTCAACGTCACTCTTAAAATCCATTAAAAATTCTGTTTTCGTCCATCCCTTGGCATCTCCCCAATCCAACATTACCAGCTGTTCTCTTATTAGATCTCGGAGCTTAGTATCCCTGTTTGTGTTTACGTCACTATCGCCCACGCAGCGATTCATTCATCACTGTTCGGGTGATCATCATCATCATCACCGGCAAATCCTCGAGAAATAATTGTTCTTTTTTGCAACTACGTACGCGTTAACAAACACTGTTCACAATGCCAATAACTTGGCTTTATACAGTATTGCTAGGTAGATAGATCTTCATTATCGGCACCATGGGCGTTGCGGATAAAGGATACAAAATTTTAGGGGGGGGGGGGGGGGGGGGGGCTAAGTATGGATCTTACCCGAGTATTTTTTTTTCATTGAGATAGAGCTGCTCGGCTGGAGCCTGAAATGCGATAAATGTTGCTTGAGTACGGGGCTGTCAATCAATCAATCACCCACCCTATCAACATCCTCAATTAGTAACAAACACTTCAATCACAGAAGCTGGTCTAAGTACTCTTAAATGCCTTATAAATTGGTTAAATTGGTCTAAGTACTCTAAGATGCCTTATAAATATCTTCCACTCATTAATTTTAGTTTTTCTGAACCCCTGCTCTAGCAAGGACCCTCCTTAATTATTATTTTGTTGACCACTTACCTGGGAGATTGACAGCGAAAATATTTTCTCTTAAATCCTCCAGCCTGTCGAATTCTCTAGAGTTCTTTATTGTTTATTGATGTTCCCCCTTTTATTTTGCATTTAGAGAGTTTCCTTCGGGTATTTTTCCAGACTTCTCAACTTCCGTTTATCAAAAATCATAGATTATCAGATTTTTCTTGCAATTCCAAAACCAAACCCCCTCCCATTTTTTTGACCCCCACTTTTGTTTATTGAGCAAATTAGAGTACAACTCTCTAATCACTTGAATGTAATTCTTTGTCATGATCATAAATAATTACTAGAAATTTAAAAGAATGTCATTTCTTTCTTTGTCCTAAAAAATCCAGAAAATGTCTTTCATGCTGTTGAAATGATTGTGGAATCATGGCAAGGGCTCAGTGGAGACCTTGGCTCCCATCTGTTCTGGTATTTGATAGGCTTGTTTGTAAGAAATTTTTTCTCTCCAGTATATAGCTTGAGTAAAGATTTGAAATACTAAGGAGACTTAAAGCAGCTTGATGGTGGTTTAGAAAAGATGTTACTTTCCCACAAGTTCAGCTGTCCCTTTGAAAGCTACTGTTTGACGCCCTCTTAATTCTGGTTCATTTGAGGCATGGGTCTAGTGAAACACCTGACTGGAACAGGAGAGAGGTGCCAGGGGCACAGCAAAACAGGAAAAATTCTTAAGCTCCACTTTTTAGTTTTGAATAGATTACTTCTTTTTTAAAGCTACTTGGCAACACCCTGTACATATTTAAATAAATCATTTAAAACAACTGACCTGAGTATAGCTGTAAAGATACCACACAGGGGTGGAGGCTGATATGATGGCGCATGGAAGATCTTCCCTACACAACACTTCAATGAATGCATACTGGTGTTTTATCTACTTTATATTGTTTAAATGCTTATATTATAAAATTCCTGTACAAAATGCAAAAAAGACATCTTTCTAGAGAGAAACAACTATAAGGGTATGGATAACATTTCAGCATTAAATGATTAACAGTTAAAAAACAACATACATTTTTCATCATAAATATTGGTTGAAACATTCTTACAATTCACAAAAACTGAACAATTTAATCAATCCCTATTCATATATGCCCTTAGATTTCTTTCCCATTGTTTTGACTTTTTTTGGAATTTTTGTTTTTCTTTTTTAAAAAGATTTTTTCCATTTCTATATGTTGACTGTTGACTTCCTTTCACACTTTTAGCATCATTAGCCTTGAAATGGGTTACCCGCTTTCTCTTTTTATCCCGCAGTCCAAAACCAGATCTGTCGTTTTTCAAGATGGTTGCTATTGGGTACTGTTGTCCTCTTCCTTCGGGACCAAGTCCTTTATCCTCAGACCAGCCAGCTTCTTTCAACATTTTATACCCAATGTTACTACTTCCAATTTGATAAGATGTTGGTGTTTTTTCTTCTTTATACAAATTGAATAAATGGCTCAATGATGATTCGTGCTTTTTCAACTGGCTTGAAATTACTCTTATATTGCATATATTACAGAAGGCATTGTCTTCATTAATATTGTTACCTTGACCATTTGCACAATCTTCTTTGTTTTCATAGTATTTACACTCTCGTTTTACTCTCCTATCTGCAAAAAAGTCAATTATTTCTTGATGGTTGAATCGTATTGCAAGGTCCCAGGCATTATAGCCAGCTAAGTCCTTCTTTTCATAAATATCTACACCATTTTCTACAAAGTATTTCACAATTTTAAGATTGCCAGCAGCTACTGCACTCATAAGTGGGCTCCACCCATACTCGTCCTCAATATTAAGCAAGCTAGATCGAGATGATATGATTTCTTTAACCTTTTCTATGTTACCGACTGTAATTGCTTGGAAAAGGCTGTTTTTCGTTTGAAAGTGTCTCTCATTTTCTCTTCTCATCCTGAGCCTATGAATCTCTCCATTCTCTAAGCCTGATTTTTTGTCGTCTTCACTTCGCCGAGTGTCTGTGTGTGTTGCAGCAAATCGAGATTTGCCCTTTGAAAAACCTGAATGTAGTTTAACATCAGCTTGATTAAGTTTCTCTAAAGTAAGTTCGTCTTTTTTGTTTTCTGCCTCTCCTTCTGATACTAGATCTTCGTAAAATTTCCTTGCATCTAGGCCACTGCCAATAAATTTGCCATTTTCCTTCTGTTTGGGTCCATAAAAAGGAACATTCTTAGGTCTGACAAAATGTTCGAGGTATGTTGGCTTTTCGCGATTGTTCATCCCAGCCATCGATAGCAAACCAAACTATAATAAAGTCTGCAAAAAAGCTAGGATACAAAATGTCCGTCATCTGCAATAACAAGTGGTCTTTATCTCGTTTCGATTACGAGGCTTTGCATGGAAGCAACAAGCAAACCAAAGGGAAGTAACAGCATGAAAGTATGAGAAAAAACACGTTTTCTATTTATAAGAAACTGGTTTATAAGAATCTAGTACTAGGAGGGCCAAAAATTTAAGAAACGTTAGAAATAGGCTCAAGAAAAATTAAGAAACTGTAAAATGTCAATTTTTAAAGAAAGTATCCAAAAGTTTTTATTTTGTTGATTTTTCTTTGGACAAGATATCTTTTGTGAAGATCTGAAAATATATTCTTCCGAAAATGCTCAACCTTAAAACAAAAGGAAAATTTTATATCCCGAAAATAGGAAACAAACAATTTTAAGTACTAAAACTAGTGCTGATCCAATTTTGATAACAAAATGTGTATGGTCGAGAAAATGATTTTTAGATCCGTTTCGAAAAATTTTCTTTTTAAGGTATATAGTTTCCCGTTTTCCTTTTCGGTGGCAAGATTATTTATATAGTGCTGAATTGAACGCAGGGTATTTTTAAGAATTCGCTGCGCATTTTCAAAATTTTCGATAATTTGTGGTTGCCTTTCGAAAATATTTATTACCACACCTATTAAATTAACTGTATGTGAAATTATTGAATTACACCAGCTCTCACAAAAGCTTTACAGGAGATTCCGACGAGAAAAAGTCTAGGTTTAAACAAGTTTTCGAGATCAAAATCTCAAAGGAGAAATTGAAGAACAAAACAAACTAGATAGCTTCTAGATACTGAATTCGATAACATTTTAGAGAGATTTCATAGATTAGGATCATTGTACCTGTTATGTTCTCATTTCAATAACATTCTAATGTTATTTTATAAGGTTTATGTGCCCACTGGTAGTTGCTGCAATTTTACTTTTTCACAACAAAATCTTGTTTCAGCTTCATCACTGCACAAAATTTGGAGTTATCACTGCATAATTACGATTTATCACTGCACGCTAAATAAACCCTGATTAAACGTGTGGAATTTTGCGCGCAACAAGCTAGGCCTATTTCGAGATTAGTCATAGTCACGTGGATTCCATTTTCAGATAAGTAGATCTGAGTGGGTATTTCCTTCAGTTTCATTTTCTAACATAATTTTACTTTGCATTTCCTTTTACCTCCAGGGGCATATTTGCGAAAAGACGATAAGTTGATCCGCTTCCTCCAACTGCCTTTTTTAGTTCGACAAACATTTTACTGAGAAGCTTATCAGGGTAAATAGAACGAAGAGACAATTAGTTAGGGCTTTACTTGGAGATAATTTAGGCCAGATTTAATGGTTTAAGCGGATGTGGCAAATTTACTGGGTCAGACCATGGAAGCATATTTGCAACATATGGTTTGACAAACTGCGAGGCTACAAGAAATGGCTCGATTTTAAAGGTTTTTATTCTTCATCTCTGTTGTTTTGATATCTGAATTTGTGATAATAAAGAAGTATGAACGAAGATACAATCGCCTAGTCTCTTTATTTTCTTCAAGTGGAATTCTGGATTTGGACTGTCCAAAAATAGCCCCCAGAGAGACTAAAGGCATAAAAAAGCTGGAAAAGGAGCGGATCATATCACAACAAACAATTGTCACAATTTCCACAACGGATTGGGTCCCCCGTCAAAATATTTTGCAACAACGGCGGAATGGTTTGTATGCGAGCTCAATGGAGCATCGCTTCGCGTTTGTAAATATGTGATGCTGACCAGAAATAAATTTTGAAGTGCTAACAGTTCGGACAACAGAGTCTTGATAAAGTTATGTCAAATTCGCGAGAGAGCTTATTCAAAATGCTCACGGCATTCAGCTTCGACGAAATCGATCAGGATTTTGTTGACGTGAAGTTGTTTGAAAAGGTGAGCTTTCTAACCAAATTTTCTTATCAACGTAAAATTTGATAGGTTTTTGCTCAGTTCCTATTTAATTTTTATTTACACTGTGAAGATATGTAAACAACTCCTGTGTACTAATTCGATTCTCAATCTGAATGTTTGATTACTATTTACCGTGATTATTTTTGCAAAATATTTTGCATAGCCTTGTTTGTATATTCTGTCTTTATCAAAACAATGTATCACAGCATCTCAAAACTTGAAAATGGATTTTCTTTGGTACTAGAATTCTTTGTAAAAGCCCTCCCAAGCCAGCAAAAAGGGAAGCGGAAACTAGGAAACTGAGACTTTGTAGTTTGACACTCGAGAAGCAATTATCAAGGCACCAGAGAACAATATCGTTGAATTTTGAAGAACTTGCAACCAATTTTTTTCTAGATTGACAAGATCGTGAAAAGGCTTTCTGGCCATGGTGGAGTTAGAATGAAATCAGACCGAAAAAATCATGGTGCATCTAATTGTGAAACTTTCACAGGTTTGTCATGTTTTCAAGTTCATTTGACGACATTTTCTAGCAAGAACCAATTTTTACAGCCGTAGCAGAAAGAGCAGGAATATTTGTGCTAATTTAAAGAAGAGAATACGCTTCAATCAAATGCTTTTTAATCTCCATTGTGTATAACCACACTGTGGACGAATCGTCAGTTGTTGTGTTTCACCTCAAAACAGTGGTGGCATTTTGTCACAAATATGTTTATGGTGATATTTTGTTTAATTTCCTCACGATAGTTTTGGTAACACATTTTTTGTTTCTGCTTTTGAAAACGGTTACTGAAAGAGATGCTCCACCGTATTTTCCTTGTCAATGTATCGTCAGGCAGCCAAATTCCTGTGCAGCCACACTGAACTGCGCAAAAGTGATGGTAGTATTAAACTTACACTCAGATTGTACATAGTAAGAGAAAACTTATTCTCATATCATTATTGTTATTTTACTATATAGCAACCATTATTATATAATTATTATTATTTTACGTTATTAAAAAGTTTGAAAATTTGCCGACGGAGCACTGCTAGATGGAAAATACTCCTCATTTTTGCGGTTTTAACTAGGTTTATTTCCAGGCTAACCTTGGTATCAAAGTTTCTATAAATTTCAAGAGGGTTTCGCAAAGTCAAGGGGACCGTAAACTGCTATTGGATATTCTTTGACGTTTATTCAATAGGAGAATGTCACTAGCGGAATCTTATTTCGATTCCGAAAGGGGTTGGGGCGAGGAAATCCGGTTTGTTCAAAACCATCATGGCATTTTGAAGCCAGTACTTTTTATTCAGATCCAGATAACGTTTTTTGACTCCCTAAAATATGTTCATTTGACAGCGAGCTAGGGACCTATAGGAACCGTTTATTGATACAAAAAAGCTCTACATTAAGTACTTGTTTCAAACATTTAATACCGCTAGTCAATTTCTCTGTTTCTTAAGAATTTTAGTGTTCGTCGTCATTTTAGTGTCAACAATTTCAGCAACTGGCTTTTTCCTCCCTGTAATTTTTAATGCAGCGGATATGTTTTCAATCCAAACTTTAATACCTCATTTGTAAATATCAGTTATGATAAAGAAGAACTGCAAAAAGGCTACCCATTTTTTTTAAAAGAGTTGAAGGGCATATTTGTTTTTGAAGAGTCTTTTCTCATGGAATGTTTTTCTACAATAGGTGCTGACTTAGTTGTGGCTATCAAGAGTTTGTTCAATATATCAGATAATGGTGAGTGCAAACATGTTGTTTATGAACTCTTTTCCCGCAATTTGAGATGCTGTTACTTTTGCCGTCGACAAAGTTATTGACAGGTGGAGCAATTAGGAAGAGGACTTTTTGCACTATCTAGGTTTCTAGGTTTTCAAATCCTTGAAACACGAGGGGACAAATTTAAGCGATAATTGGGAATTCAAGCAAAACGAGGGACGTGGCCGTGAAAATCCGTACTAATGGTCAGACGAGACAAGGCAAATACAAAGCTGTTCCTTTCAGCCACTATTACTCCCACCTCAGGTATCCCTATTTTTATACGTCCTATGTAATGCTGAGGCTATGTTCTGAACGACATAGCATTACCCAAATCCTATTTGATAACTACTTTTTGACAGTACCCAACTTTGACAGAGTGAAGAGAAAAACGATGTTACCAAAACGAACTTAAGATTACACAGGCCCCAGAGGGACAGCAAACAGGCCATTAGTACTTTCTCCTCGCGGTGAAATTGTCACTATTACCACTTGCTTGTCACCCAGTTAATACACACATATTGGTGCTTTGGTTTAAGAACATTCTCAAGTTACCTTCCACGCTCTGTTGCCTCCCACGCTCTGTTGCCAAACAACCATGCTCCGCATAGCATTTGGCGGAGTATCGTGTAAAGCTTACGTGCATATGGAGGTATGCAGGTTCGTTGAAGCATATTCCAGAAGTAGACATATGTAACTGAAGTCCCAAAGCTCCATTTCCCTCTTCCCACAGTTCTTTTGAATTTTCGATAAATTTTAGCAAAAAATAGCTTGATGAAGAAGTTGTTGTCTGTTTTTCTGCGACAATGATTTCTTGCTGCTTGTCAATTTGCTTCATAGAGTGTGATAAGATAAGAATGACTTAAAATTGGCATCATCTGTAAAATTTCCCCGTTAGCATGGATTAATGGCATTTCATTATTTTCTTTAACAGCTGAAGCCATTAACCTTGCACATCTGCTGCTGCATTATGGGTACATTTATCCAGCAGATGGACAGAACAGTGCGCTGATAATGAAGGATGATGGGACTACTTACAAGTTTCAGGTGAGAATTTAGTTGTTTCCTCCATCTTGGCATGTCTGCATCTAACTTTATTGAACCTTTTTGTTCAAGAAAACCTTGAAAAAATCTTCTTTCTATTACGAAATCAGAGTTTTTCTCACAAAATATTTTTTTCTTATTCTTTTTTGCATACGTATGATATCATTCTGTAATAAATTTGTTTTGTTATTTAATGATGGAAAAACGAATTTTAAAATGCCATTCCTTAAATAAACATTGAATACCAACAGGGTCATTTTTCGACTGCTAAAAATGAAATTTGCAGTTTTATCTAACTGCGATCCATCTTAAATTCCAAACGTGAGCGCATGCCCAATCAAGTTTTGCTAAGTTAACGGCAGTTGGCAATTGTTGGTTGGAAGAATTTGGAATTTTACAAAACCTTTTGGATTCAGACAATTCTTTAGATATTTTCATCTTTGTTACAAGCTGCAATGTTTTCCAAAAATAAACTGACTTTATTAATTTCTATCTATAATAGATAGTGAAAATGAAGGTACTTGAGTTTAGGGTTCCTTGCAATTTTTTAAATGGGACTTTTCAGGTTTCTTCAATTATTCTTTATCGAACAAGCTGAAAAAGCCTTAATTAACATTTGCAGCCTGTAAACACCGGTTTTCTTATTGTAGGTAATTGCACTCTCACAAAATCGTTATCTCCGGGGCTAAATGTTTTCCAAGTTCCACCAACTTCCACCAAATTTAGTTTTCGTTCGACCAACGCCAGCCACGTATCTAAAAACGTTTTCAGGAGAAGTTTTCGCCCATCGCCAGGTTGCTTGTCTCCAAGAGTGGCTTGTGAAACTTGACATTCCAGGGATGGTCGGAAAATGGATCTAGACATTCACAATATCTAGATCTCTAGACACATGCAAGACCCTGGACAATATCCATAAGCTTTCTTCAAATATTTCCCAGGGCCGTTGCGAGGCAAACCTTGTTTCTGTTTACTACGAATTTGCCCGATTAAAAAAAATTACCTGGAATTCTTCACCATACTCCACATCACAGTTGGTCAATTCACAACATCTGTTTATACGTTATAAAATTTATGTTTTTTACAAGCCATCTTTATACAATCATATCAAACCATCCAACCCTTTGAATCTGTTTATCGGGACATGCCCAGGATAAAACCACAGTCCGAGGCGGCACTATGGTTGCCGAAAAAAATGGATTTTTTCCCTTCCAGTTTGCTGGCAAATGCACTTTTTGAAACAATTTTTAATAGTACAAGCTTACTCTTAAATGAATACTTACAGGCTGAAAGCTATTTGATAGTTTTAATCGATTTTCTGCTGTCGTTGTTATCCATTGTAGCTTATGCAACGTGTTTTTTTCATATTGGAACATAATCCCTCATTTTTTAATTCCTAGCATTCCTTAACATATCAGTAAATCAAAACTCCTTGCACCCTCCCAGTAATTTTATGAAGCGGTGCTCCCAATGATAAGTCGTTCACAATTACAGACAAACCGAAATCTTTCTTGAACTTTCACCGACCAGACCAAACTTATCGGTATCGGTGGATTCCTCAAAAACATCCCTACACCTCTTACCTCCACATGCCCCTGGTATTTTATTTAAGCAAAAATCATATAGATTTAGCTTGAGATTTTGAGATTCTGTATAGTCATTTTTGGGCACATTAAAGTTGGTAGGAAAGAAGAGGTGGTCTGTTGCAAGTTGATTCCTGCTCTGTTCGAAGCGATTTACCTTGGAGTGTATTGTCAGCTTTTGGTACTGTTGGGTTCTTTTAAGTAAATTTCCTTCCTTTGCTAACTGTTTGGCTAGGGCGCCTTCAGCACCCCTATAAGACCAAGGTTAATATTGGCGCCACTAATATTTCACCGGATTATTAGCGCAACTGCCCCCCTTGCCCCCCCCCCCCTGCCAGCACGCCACTGACACTCATAACTATTGTTTTCGTTGTAATTATTAACATTTAAATTACATTTTCAATCGATCTTGCAGAAAATATGAGTCCTGAAAGGCCAGGCTCTAAAATTTTTTAGCGGATTTGCTATTAACCATGAAGTGGCATTTTAAAAAAGCGTTCTGGGCATCTGAAAAGTGTGGTGCCAAAATTAAATCGTTTTCTAACACCACCTCCTTGCTTCGAAAATCCTTCCCTATTTCCGGTTCATATCTACATATTACCCGGTTGTGGTAGCATATTCATCTGCTTTGATTTCTGTTTACGAAAGAAAAAGGTTGGTTAACCTTGATTCCGGTTCATAACTATTTGTGACTATATCTTTCCTGGCTTCAGTTACACATCAACCTACTTTGATTTCTATTTACAAAAGAACTGATATGATAGGCCTTGTTCCCGTTTGATAACGAAATTTTTCTTAGCTCAGGTTACAGTTTCATTTTGTAGATATCGGTTTGTGTAGACTTTGCGGAGTTCACGTTATTCAATTCTCGCCTTTGTTTTGTAGAATTCTAAGTTTTGGCCATCCCACAAACCAAATGGAAGTGAAGAAGAATATGGTAATGCAAAAGTTCTTTTGTAAAACAAATTATGTGCATCTTATAACTTTCATTTATAATCAATAATTGTCAAGAAAAAAGCGAAAATTTTGCAGAAGCCTGAGCATCTACGAATTGTACACCTACTTTTACCATTTTCATTATTTACTTACATCTACTTTTATGCATTTATCTAGGCCTAAGGTCAAAATGTCGGCAAAACGAGATTTCGTTTCCTTGTAAATCAATTAAACAGAGTCCAGAAAACATTGCGGTTCCTCGGCTGTGAGCCGAAGGCAGGGGCGGATCCAGAGCAAATTTAAAGGAGGGGTAGTTGGTATTTGGGGCGCTGAAAAATTTTCAAAAATTGGTTACGAGAGTACGCTGTATACAACAATTTCAGATACCTTTTCAGAATAAAAAAACATAACTTTGAGGTAATCCTTGAAGCAAATTAACCTATCAGTCGAAAACTGATTCTCATTCTTCAAAAGGGGCGCACAATTTCCAAAAAGGGGCGTCAGACTTGCTTCAACTTGTTGAGAGAGAAGCAACTGCCCCTAGTTGCCCCCCTTTTATCCGCCGCTGGCCGGAGGGAGGTTATACAACGATGCAGTAGTTTTGAGAGAGGCTAAAAATATATAAACTGAGAATAATTTATCATTCTGCTGGAACTTTTCTTTTTTCCTGACAAAGGGTGAAAACAAAAACATGAATAATTTTACTTCTATCATATTCACAGAAAAAACGTATAATAAAAACATAAACGAATAATTTTGAGGGAGATAAATAGGGGTCAAATTTCATTTGGGGAAGTTTATGACGATTTCTGAACTCTGCAATTCAAGAATCAGTTGTCGTAATACAAACGCCTGTAGCTAGAAAATTATAAAAAATCCTTGAAATAATATGAAAATTGATATTATTTCATTGATATTAAATTGATATTAAAGGAACTAACTGAACCTTTTCATTCTATAAGCAAGAAAGACATCACAAATGTACACTCATTTTTTTTATAAGAAACAAAGGTCGATGTTGAATACTGCAGTTTCTTAATGTTCTAGAAATTTCAATACTCACTTTTTCTTAAGAGTTTCTTAATTATGATGTCATGAATGATGTTATGAAATGTTCGTGACCTATTTTTCACTTCAAGAGATTCGCTTCGTTCTGGCGCTGTATTTAGATGTGGGAATATATTTTTATCGCTTGTGTCTTAATTTCTAGGCCATCAGGGCAATCATGTTCTTGGATTTTACAAAATTTCGTTGTTCTCAGTTTTATCACGATTCAATAGTTTCTTAATTTTTTGCTTCGAGTACTGAAGTTTCTTGATTGTTTCTGACTGTCCAGTACTCGTTTCTTATAAAAAAATGAGTGTACATTTGTGTAATCGTCTTTACCAAGGAAAAATTTCTAAGCAATTGAAACAAATTTGACTGCCTATGAAATATCTGTTTATCTATCTGGATGTTTAAGCTGGAGTTTGTTTCATTGTTTCATTGAAAGAAAGAGGACAGATATGTTATAAATCAATGTGCGAAATTTTTCACGAAATGTGAATGATGCGTGTGATATTTCATTTTATTCTCTAAAGTTTCTCGTCAGTAAAATTGAACATTGAATTTAGATATATTTATTTCGAGCAAAAAAGCTAGTTATAATTCAATCTTACAAGTCTAATCGCTGTCCTACAGCTGTTTACCTACAAAAGAAAAAATTATTGTCAAAAGGCAAAGATGGCTTATGTTCCCACGAGAAGGTTTGTTCCTTAAATTTTCATTTCATTCACACGAGAGCGTTTGTTGCATATAAGAGCAGTTCACTTCATGACAAGACATTACAATGATGTCTAGAAGCTAATGAGGAAATCTAAACGCATTGATACGTTTACGTAAAGTTTACGTAAAGATTGGAAGCCAAAGTCAAACAATAAGTAGCCTTTATTCAGTGTCACCTTAAAGCGTGGTCTTATATGATAGCAGATATACAAGCATAGGCATGCACAAGGCATGCACAAGCCAATCAGGATGGTCTTTACAAATACATTAAGCATAAGCACAAGAATATCGATACTACCTGTTCTTCTTATGTGTGTGATTGTGTTGCTATTTTCTTCAGTGAGGATATCACAGATGAGTCACAGATGCAAAGGATGTAAAAAGTTCTGCCAAGCTGTATGTTTAGGCTGTCCCCTCTTCCCATAAAATCTTAGCTTTTGTTTGTGTTTGTACCACTAATGATGCAAATGATCATACGTAGGCCAAATATCTTAGTCTCTACTTTTTTTCGTAGTTTTATATCGTTACTTAATGAATACTTCAAATGATGCTTGTTAATTTTATGCTCTCTACATTTCTTTTTTAGATTATATCATGTAACTAATAAAAAATAATCTGATGTCGATAATTTTTTTAAGGCCTATTTTAACAAACTCTTTGAGCTATTTGGGACAAGGTGGAAAATCGTTTTACAAAAAGCCGAAGAGCAAAGTAGGTATGTATGTCCATTAAAGTTTATTTGCCGTATTGATACTGTTTCGTGGCCAGGCCCCAGTTAGCCTGATAAACAGCCCATTATTCTAAAGAAATAAGTAATCCTTTAGAATAATGGGCTGGTTATCAGGGTAGGCCCCAGTTAGCTTTGCTGATGTTGCATTCCATGGCTTTTTTTTCGTTTGTTAGGTATTCCATTATAGTAGTAAGAGACATACTGTGGTTAGACTATGATATGTAGAGGGCTGGGGATACCAGAAAAGTTGCATAGATTTGTGGGTATAATTAAAAAAAGGGCTTAAGATATTGTCTAGCATTAATAAACTAGGAGGACGGTTAATGATTAGGGGGCGCGTAATGAAACAGATGAAATCATCATAAAAACCTGAAGATTAAAGTATCTTGAATTTTTGTTTGAATAATTTCGAAGCTTGTCCTTGTGAAAAACCTAAGTCTTATTTTCAATTGAATCCACTATTATACTTGAACTTTATTTAGGAGCATTGAACTTTTCTTTGGGGGGAGGAGGGGAGGTAATGAACAGTTGATGGAAAACTTAGCAATCGTTATCTCCCTGCTACAATTAGGGACATTAGTAGTAATCAGTCTTTTTCATGTGAATAGATCTGTGACGCCAGCTAAAGTCAAACATATAGCGGTTATCTGTAATACCAGATTTGCTGTCCATTGAAGAGTGTCCACTGTAGGCTCTCCATTGTAGGCTGTCTGCTGTAGGCTGTCCGCTGTAAGGCATCCGTAGTGGGGTGTCCGTTGTATTAGTTGTATGGTTTCCGCTGTATGGTGAAGGGTGTCCTTTGTAAGATGCAGTGTGTCCGTTGAAGGGTGTTCGTTACATGGTGTCCGTTGTAAGATGTCCGTGTTTATAGGCTTCTACAAGTCTGGAATAAAGTAAGAAGGTTTTAAGGAAAGACATTTTGCCAGTTTTTTGGAAATGTCCGATATCACAATAGTTCACTCATGAAGCTGTTACTTGAAAAATTTCAATGATATGCCTAGGCCAAATCGAGGGGCAAATCACTCTTGAAATGGTGTACGAGATTAACAATCACTAGTGATTAATTTGCGTTTAAATCAATTTTTTGTGTGGTTAATTTGACCGTTGCAGATTTGCAAAAGAAAAAAGGTGCAAAAGTTTAATAACATTGAAAAAAAACAGAGTTAAATTTTATGAACAGCAGCATAAGCAAAATTTTAAATCAATATGATATATGATGGATTTTTCCACATCATGTATGCAGGGGATGACATTAGCCTGAAGTGAAAATCAGTAAACAGTTGTTGAACACCTTGCAAAAGTCATTAAGGCAAATGCATGTATTCTGTTCTGTGGGCCATCTACTTTCGTCATAAGAATCTGAATATGCACCAAAAAAGCTATCTTTCCTGAAAAATAGCATTAGCAACATAAATGCAAGTAGCCTAAAATGAAAAACAGTGAACAGTTGTTGGACACCTTGTGAAAGACATTAAGGCAAATACTCTGTTCTCTGCCCCTCGCAAATGATATCGCTATTGCCAAATGTCATTCCTGAAACTTTCACCGAGTGGTAAAAATTACAAGTTCCGGAAATATAGAACTTGATTATCAAACTTTATTTAGGGAAATTGCAAGGATATGACATAAATAATTTCCCATAAATGTAACAGATGCAACTGCAACAGTCGGAACTGTATGGATCCGCCCTTGCAGCATTCAACGAAAAATAAGTGAAAAAGGACTGCCATCAAGCGTAGTTTTCGGTCAGATCAACTTCAGTGGCATTTGGGCAACAAAAACAGCAATGGTTGTTTCAGTGATCTCGGCATCATAACGAGGCCTTACTTTTTGCTCCATCGCAGGGTACTTCAGAAAAATTCATGTTCTCGTTCTTGCTCATGAAAAGTTTGGAAAAGTGTGAAAGGGACATTCTAAATATTGCACTTCTCGATAACATATGCGAATAAACGTGGTCAAAGATTCTAATGTTTGTTTTTTAGCAATTTTTTTAGCAACTCAAAATTTAAATTAAAATAAAAATTAAAAAACGTCAAAAGGTAGAGCAATCCCCTGTCGCTTTAATAACGTAATACAGCATATGTAGTGTGTATAATAAAAAAACAAAACATTTAAATAAAGCAGATATAACACCATGGTCTAAAGTTTAGAATAAATTTTTTACAAGGGATTTATTTGATTCAAATTATTCTTCAACAATAGATAAATGTCACATTTTTGAGCCTTAGAATATCCATATACCTTCCTTCAGCTGTTCTGTGCTGAATTTTCAGCCCAGTGGCGGATTTCAAACGAAATTCCCAAGAGGAGCTGAACCCCCCCGTCCATAGCAATTCCCAGGGGGACTCGAGCCCCCGAGACCCCACGTAGTCGGCGCCTATGGTCAAAGGGACTACGAGTTGCTTTTAGTTATTAAGCACGAGCTTGCTAATTATCTTTTACTGGTATTAAAAATCACAGGACACTGTTAATGTTCAGAAGGTTAAATCTGAAAACCACAATTCTGGGTCAAAAGGCTGTGCTAAGAGAAACATGCCTATTACACAGATCTCATTTTACGTTAGGGTTTTATCATCAAAATAAATTGCTATATCATATTACATATTAATTTCCATTTCAAATCCTACGATAAATCTTAATTATTTTTGTAATATTGTAATAACCACTTCTCATGGCCTTATTAAGTACTGTGATTTTCAAGGGACAGTAGCTTCAGTTGACAATTATCTCGGTTCAAGATCAACTTTCAAGCAACGATGGAACGTGAGCTCTGGTCGTCGTTCCATCCAGCAAATATAGAATTGATTTACGCACAAAAATGAAAAGGCCGCTATTTTTAGACAGAACAAGTTTGTTTTCATCCTTGGACCCAATTGGTAATATTTTTAAAAAGCGAGTGGCACTGGCACTGACTGGCCAACTGTCACGTTTGGCGTTTCTGATTAGCCTATTCCTAAGCACACTGGGCTACATACCGTAAATCCTCGAATTAGCCCCTTGAGGGCTTATTTATTTCTTAAATTTTTTAATAGGCGGTTATTCGGGGGCTTATACGAGGTGGACACTTATAAAAATATAGTAGATATCAAGAAGACATTATCAAAAGACTTTGTAAATTTTAGTAAGAATTTCTTTATCAACATTTACACTTCAATGCTTTTTTTAATTTTTTTACCACCATAAAATAAGATGCACTGTATTTCTACTTTTTAGTTTTTTTTGCCAACTAGGGTTCTACAAGCTGTCAAAAAGTCAGAACGGTGCATGATGGAGAAGGAAGAGAATTCGTTTTGGAGAGTACATAGGCCACCAGTAATACACTTTTCTTCAAAATCTTTTTATCTGAATTGATAAACTTGAAATCCTACTCCTATTTCTACTGAACGTAGCAAAACAGTTTTCTTGTCTCTCATAATATAGCTATATATATTATATTAACCTATTTAATATTTTTGCTTCCTTCCCACGTCACAACCCTTTCATCTCGTTGCAATTGCTATATGACTCATTCATTTTAAGTTCAGTCTATCTAATCTTTCGATTCTACTCTTCTCTTATAATAACCATTGCTCTTTCTATTATTTTACTTCGTTAATCTTTGTGTTATATAAAGTTAAATCGCCTGTTACTGCAGACTGAAAAATATTTTTCTTTGCCATTTCATTTTTACCAAACAAGCCTGTTTTGGAGCTTTTGAGTTTAAAATATTTGAACTTCTGAGAACAAAAATGCTTTAAGATTGGCATGAAACGTGCCTATTTAATAAAATTTAATTTTGATGTCTCCACCTTCAGAGAGTTGAAATTTCTGTTCTATTTTGCATTTTGAGCAACAAAACAAAATCTTCAGCGTCGGTGAGTGGCTTCAGCAGCTGCTCCCAATTAAAATCAATTTATTTTGCTTACATTTAGGAGGACAGCCTCGACATGTTTGATGTTGGGCAGAAACGATTTTTTAACAGATATTCAAGAAAGGTTTGCATAACATTACAGTTATTGTTCAAAATACATCATTTATATTATGAAAATAATCTATAGAGACGAGAAGCTCCTATACTGTTATTATCCAGATTAATTCAAAAATTAAAAGCCAGACTTGATCTTTTTAAAAATATATCCGAGCTTTGCTCGCAATTCTTAAACTTAAGTGAATTTGCTGAAACGCATTATCCTATGTTTTTAATACCTCTAAACCATATAACAGCGGAAGCTTTGCAACTCTCTTCCTTGTCAATGCCTTGAAGAAAATTTATCCGCGATGTCTTTATAAAATCATTCAGCGCTATTATGGCCCAGAATTTATGGTTTCTTTGAACATTAGGACAAAGCATAATTACACTTTTGGGAGAATGTAAAAATGATGTTTTGCAATCATTGGTGTCCAAATGTCCGTTTTGCCATGTAAGCCTTACTAATGATGGAAATTTAGCTATTGGAGCCTTTGGGCACGTGCAGAAAGTTTCTGAGTTTTAGGTTTAAGCGGAATTTTTTATTTTATTTCATGTACATTAAAACTATAAGATTTTCAAGGCAAATATTACTGAGGAATGTCAAAATAAGGGGACAGTTGAACCCTCACCCTTGCACCCCTAATTTTCGCCTCTAACTCCAAGTAAGATATTGTTTTTTCTCATCCCTTAACCAAAATCAACCTTTCTCTAATTTTGGCTTACCATATGAATTAAAACGATGAATAGTTTTATGGAACTCTTAGATAAGAGAAAATGACATTTTCACTGTATTTCACACGAGCTTTGTGAACAAATTGAAGGTATACAGAAAGATTATTGGAAATGCTCTTGTTCTTTCAAACTTATATACTAAGAATGAGCATCTAAATAGCGGACTTCACTTTGATCATCGGAATCGGTATTAATATAAATACTCTATTATGAGTATAGAATTCTTAAGTGTGATACCATAAAAATATTTGTTTTGAATTTTTGAATTTTGACAACATGACCTACAAAACACAATGAAATACTTTTGAAAATGCAAGGTCACTTAAATATATTAAAATGTGGATCAGATATGGTTAATGAAAGATCTGAAATTTGCTAACGAGTTACTGTTATTGTGGCTCTGTTCGTTATAAACAATAAAGACAAAATCACAGGGGTTTGAAGGGGAAAGAGCCTGTGACGATATCTGCGAGGTATTTCTTGATGCTCTTTCAGGTTATGAGATCAAAATTCGAAAAATTCCAAAAGTATACTTTTTTGACGTCATGGCTTAAAAATTCTGCAATGAAGCAGAAAAGTTAAGCTGGAAAATATTATACCTTCCAGACTTTCTACTTAGTATTCCCATAGTTCGTATGAGTCTAGACAATAGAATCTCGAATTTAGTAAATACGCGTTTTTTTGAAAAACTGTTCTAAGTATTATGTAAGCTTTGATAATGAGAAGTGATAATGATAATGGATTTTGCATCAACCCATTAAAGACACCTTTGTATGAGAAGGATTGATTGATAAGAAATTTTCAAAAATGAAATAAACGGATAGACTTAAAATTCATTTAATGATCTTACTACTGTTTTGTGTTTTGATTCTACCTCAAAGTCATCCAGACTTCAAGTGGCCCCATGCAATTAGCATTTTCACTTCCAAAGCAATTTAATTTCGTATTATTGAGCCCGTAATTTTCATCACCTCTTCCTTGATATCCATAGATCTATGATTTTTATTCTCTAAAAACATTCATTAAATTGTTAAGATGTAGCGTTCACTTTGATCGATGTAGCATTCACAGAAGGCTCACAGATAAAGCTCTAAAGTATAACAATAAAGTTTATAGTTATAAAAGCTTGATAGGTTTTACATTGAGTTTGTTATTGAATTTTAGGATCTACGTACACTATCACTGCTGCAGAACCAGGTTGGTAAACAAATTGAGATAATAGAAGCTCAAAATGCTCGGTCTACTGTTCTTTAACTGTTTGCCAGTCACTTAAGGTTTTAGATCGATAATGTTTTAAACACATTTCTTTCATTCTAAACTACCACTCGTCTTACTTCTAAAGTTTGATAACCTTTGGCCTCATTCATGTTTCCACTAACTTTTTCTATCACTTTTCTTTCTCGTTCAATTGCATCTTTTCTCTTTCCTTCATTATATAAAGAAAATAGAAGATGTTGCTACTTTTGCTTCAGCCATTTTGATATATTAAAGGAAGAAAATGCAAATGGGAAGTCGCTTGAAGAAATTGTGATGACCAAACAGACTATTGGGGAACATCCTTCAAGCATGTTTGTTTTTGCTTTTGGGGAACATCCTTCAAATATTTTCCCAAGTGTTAGTAATTGTTCCGTAAAGTAGTTTCAGAGGAATATAAATGGCGGGTAGCAGTTGCATGCTCGAAGACCTTATACTAATTGTCGCTAGTAAAGCTACAATAATCAATGAAGCGCCTTTTAGATGGAGCTGCTTTGGGTTGCAACATTGCTCTGACATTTGCTAACACTTTGGCTGGTTTTCATGAAGTTTTTTGACCAAACTTTAGACCAGCGGTCTCATTTTGATATTTCGATGACACTCAGGCAAGCACAATTTAGGCCATTCAAATCTTGGCTAATCAAGACCTTCAGTGAGGGACTATTTGCTAAATTTTCATCAATGTTTTCTAGTATCTTTTGGATTCAAACAGGGTATTCTCTCCTGTGACTAGTAAAAAAGGCTATGTCCAGATCGAAATATTTATCAGACTTGTTAGAACGGACCATGACTCGTCAGAAGAACGTCTTGCTGTGTCATAGATTTCATAAATCGGAAACCATCGTTTGTAGGTACCAGGGTTGTATAAAGGAAAATCTTTTGAATGGGGAATTTCTCTCCAAAAAAGTAATAGAAGGAACAAAAACATCACGGAGGATACATCAAGGAAGTTGTTGTTCTACAAAGTGTTATTTTTCCTGTTTCAGAGCACAGCACAACTTATTCCAATTTTCTGGTGTCTGAGATTGTCAAAGTCTTTTCGTATGCCATCATTGTGCTAGAAATAAACGAAAAAATTTTCTTTTTATTGAAAGCAGTCTGACCCCTCCGTGATTGGATAATTAAAAATTGAAAGCCTCGCCTTAACAGGGTCTTCCTCTGCCTTTCTGGCATCTGACATAAGTTATTGTGGGTGAACTGCCTTAAAACAAGGTATTAAAATCTCGATCAACTTAGTATTATCGAATCAAGACGTTCTGGTGTTAATAGCTATAAATATGCCCATTGAAAAAGTGAGGATAAGATGTTATCACCAAGTAAACAGGCGTTGGCGACATGGAGTAAGAGAGAGAATTGGGCGTAAGAAATTGCTAAGGTTTTATTGATGATTAATTGTCTTCGTGATTTTATTTTAATTGTTCAAAATAAAACTATCAATAGACAAGCGACTATCAAACGTCAAAAATTGGGGCACTGAAGTACACAAAAGCTTCTAGTTAAAGCAGAAATTGGCTGTTTCCTTTCCGGTTACGTCGTACAAAAAGCAGTTCAAAGCTATGTAGGCAAAAAAAATTAAAAAGCTATGTAGAAAAAGCACATTTAAAAAGCTATGTTTGAAGCAAACTCGAGTCGCAAAGCTCTACGCTTAAGAGCCAATTCAAAAGTTTTGTGCTGCCAATTTGAGGATCGCATAAAAAGGGAAAGGCGGAAGCATTCAAGAGGGGTACTTACTAATCCATCTCATTGAATACCAAATTCTCGGAAAGTATCTCTTTCTAGAATTTCTCTGAAAGGTTCAGTTCAGTTTTTAAGTTTTGGGAGTAGGCAGCTGATTTTCCAGAAATCCGTTTTCGAATTCAATTGTTTTGACAAATAATAATTTTATGGTTAATACCTGTTTCCATGGTGAAAGGAAAAAGGAAATATTAAAAGTTTACCTTTTTTGATTTGAGCTTTGCCACCTGTTTGATGAAAAATTTTTATTGCAATTATATGAAATCTTTATTTGCTGAAACTGACTGCAAGATTCCAACAACTGTTGTTCATTGTATAAAGTCATTAGAATATGAAAAGAGAGTCCCAACGTTGGTCAGTTTCTAAACAAACCTTTTAAGCTCGCAACGTTTCAAAGCCAGGTGCTATTTCTAAAACCAAATCAATTGAAAGTGGAGTGCTCGGGCAATCAGAGTGTCAACCATACTCGACAAGTTCAAATAGCCCCACCATTAATAGGACTTCCAAGAAAATGGATAAAAAAACCATATTGCAAATCAAACACTCTTTGTTCTGAAGTAAATCAGCAGCCGAATATTTGCACAGGTTGTATTTAGTTCACAGCCAAGAAATCAGAGTGGTCGTACGGTAAAGAAGTTTAATGAATGCAGATACGTTCGGAGAGAGGGGGACGGGTAGGAGGGCAACCACCCCTCTTGCCCTTTCAAAGGAGGGGCAGGGGGCAAAAGTGCCCTTTTCACAAAAGTACCCTTGACATCGGTCTTTTGTAATTATCAAATAGAATCATATTGAATTATGACTGTATTCATGATGATATTCCTCAAATCTTGTGAAATTTCCAATGTCAGATTTTAGCCCCTTTTCAACATGCCTACAGAAGATATATAAATAAAATTAAAGTTACAAACGAATTAGTTGAAGGTGAAAATTATATTTCAGATGCCTTTTTACTGAAACCTCTTCCCTTGCCCCTTAGTCGTTCCGGTGTCCCTGGATGAATGCAAAAAACAGGTTCAAACTCCGTCTTGTGCCTACTGTATCTACAGAAATCTTTAAAAAAGCTTAAGATGCTTACGTGTCGCTATGATTTAAATAGTCTTGTAAATTTTTATCAATCTCTTATAAAAGAAAAGAAGCGTATCACTGTAAAGCTTAATTCTTGTCACTTAATAAAAAGAATAAATTATGATAAAATTACTGAAATCTTGATAAAATATTTTTTACAATTACAGGTACATTCTTTGAAAGAAAGAGCAGCTCTGACAAAAATCCCTTCATCAGTGGCAATCAACAAGTATGTTTTTGTTTCTTATATATAAATATGTATGTGGCTGCGAAAACAAGGTTACTATAGTCCTTGAAATAGCCCCCGGGGGCTAATTTCGCAGAGAATATTTTTGGTTGGGAGCTAATTCGAGGGTGGAGGGGGATGGCTTTCTTTGCAAAAATTTTAGTATGGTGAATTTTCTTTCTCTGTTTGAGACTGTTTGAGACTGTTTGAGACTGTTTGAGACTGTTTGAGACTGTTTGAGACTGTTTGAGACTGTTGGAGACTGTTTGAGACTGTTTGAGACTGTTTGAGACTGTTTGAGACTGTTTGAGACTGTTTGAGACTGTTTGAGACTGTTTAAGACTGTTTGAGACTGGCTAAACATTTTGCTGTAACCCATGAGGGCTTAATAGAGAGTAGGAGCTTATTTTACAAAAAGTACTTCAAGTCTGGGGGTTATTCGAGAGTGGCTTATTCAACAGTGGGGGTTTATTCGAGGACTTACAGTAATTGCTCTGCTCGTCTATGGCTATTGTAGAAAAAGATCATTAAGCTGTGTATTTGGGTGAAAGATTTTTCAACGCTACTGTCGTGAATTCACGTGGATACCACTTAGTTTTCTTGGTAAATTGGTGCGGTTTTCATAATTTAGGTTCTGACTCTATGAAAAACAACAACAATCTGACGACTTCAGAGCGAATAACTTTCAATAAATCGTTTTTTGAAGATAACGACACACTATTTTATAAGAATATCGTTTATTTAAATTTTGAGCCTTAAAACTGCTAAAAAGACAAAAGAAAATAGGAATTACAGCCAGGCTGAAATATTCCTAAACTCAAGTAGCAGTAAAACAAAACACTTTAACGGGCTTTTGGAATTTCTTACTCTTTTCCATTTCCTAAAAGAACTTACCCTTGATGTCGTTAAATAATGATTTTAAAAATATGTTACACTCAGATTTGAAGTTTTCTAAGAATCAAGGTTCAACAATAATTGAAGACTATTAATCAAAAGTGTGTAATTTTATTGTACTCTAACCCCAATCCCATTTGAGGAGAAAGGGATTTGAGGAGAACAAACGAATTAAAATTTTACACGTATAGAAATTCTTACAAAGAATCATTGCTAGCAATCAATTGTTAAAAATGCTATTGGGAACTTCGTTCGAGATAAGACAAGAGTGTTCTCTCATTCCATCGTGATTGGTCGAGACATACTCCCTCTGCATCCTGAGCTCAAAATTAAATTTCACAAATCAAAGAATATAAGTCGATTTTAATCAAGGCTTTCATATTTCCTGACTCCAAGAAATTCAATCTCTCTCCTTCAGATGACAGCCACCGTATTTATTTATTTCCATGTCACCTTGCGGATAATGTTGCATAACATTATCTTGATTTTCACTCGCATTTCAGTTATTTTCAAGCAGTATATGATTGGGTTTAAAGTCGAGTTTAGGAGAACGAAACTCGTTCCCCAGTCATGAACCCCTCTAATCCATGGTTCTTTTAGATTTGAATAATCCCTCAGAAATGTCAAAACTCCTGATGGTATATAGCAAAGACAAAGAATCGCCATGATAATGATAACCAATCTGGTTGCCTTTGAATTAGGTTTTAATTTTTGATTGTACTTTTTGAGTTTTTTAGCGAAGCTTTGGGTTTCCTCCTTCTTCATCGAGTTGATGATGCTTGGCCCTAACTGATTCGTCTCTTTGTCGGTTTGATCAGTGATGTGGCTCGTGTGTGCTTCAGTCTTCTCTTGACCAACAGCAGTTTGTTGGTGACCAGAATCGTTGCAGCATACAGATGCCACTTGACTATTCAATTTCCGCACCAGCATCGTAACTTTGATGTAAACAAATGCACTCCATAATATTGATGTGGGTATGAGGATTATAACGAACAATCGCATTACACTCATTTGAGGAGTCAGGAAGCTGAGGCCCATAATAACGGTTGAAAATAACCACACTGCTAAGATCGGTTTCAATACTACAGTCTTTTTGCTCGTCCACTGATGATATTTAAAAGGATAGAAAATCGCAACATATCTCTCTACAGACATCAATGTTAGCGATAAATATGACGTCATCCCCATTAGGTATCCAAGCTGAAGTGCAGTGAGGTACAGGATGCAGTTGATTTTTCTATGTAGTATCATCGTTGTGATTACTGCTTTCATTGGCTGGATGAGAAATCCAGCAATCATGTCACTGACTGCAAGGCTCATAAGGATACAGTTTGGTACAGTTCGTAAAGACCGGTGCCTGATAAGTACAATCAGAACTAGCAAATTCAGTACGAATGCCCATGGTGCCAGGAATACATCGAAGGCTATTAATAGTTTGTAATTGATATGAAATCTTTCGTCGACTGGGTACATAGCACTGGCTTTTAGACACTGGAAGTGCAGATAACTGACTCCGTCGCTCGAGTTTTCGATTAGAGCGCTACTATTCATTGTCTCGACTTGACTGACGATTTCATCTGTCCTTGGCGTTAATCAACTAAGTTTTCCTTCCTTGTCCCTTAAACTTCTACTTTTCACTCCTCGTTTCGCTTAGTGTTTTCTACAAAGCTGCTCTTGAAGCTTAAATTCACAATAAAGGAAATCCAAATGAAAACTCTCGAGTTCCTTTTCAGCCGTTCCTCGAATTTCTCTTCACTTGCAACTTCCTCTGAGGTAATCGTCTTTCTTTGATAACAATAGAATTTTGCAAGCAGTCTGGAATCATGTTTCACAAAAGTGACCAGGTATCCTTTCGTTGTCCTGTTTAGTTCTAGAATATGTAGGCTTTCTCTGGGCGATGATTCAAATAGCTTTGTTCATTGCCTGTGTTTGCGTTTGACTTTAGCCTTTGTGAAACTTCCATGCTATTATTCAACCCATTAAACCACCGATTGCGATACGCGATCGTGCCCACGCCACGCACTCCAAACATTCTTATGACAGACGATTTCAAGATAAATGAGCTAGCATCCTCACCCACTGTTGCTAGGATAAAGAAACGAATTCAAATCACGGTTTCACATAATTCTCAGTGCATTCAATTAAGTGATTGAGGGCTACTGCCGTAAGGCTGCAAGTTCAGCATAAGGCTATCCAACTTAATTCAACTGCATTGAGTTTTCCTCTGTCGTTCAGGCCAAAGTTGATGTCTAGCAGCGCAGTTGTACTTTGCTAGCTTAATACTATAAAGAATGTTGAACATTGAATGGATATTGGAGACACATTATCAATTCAGCAAGAGGCCAACGATGCTAGATCCCTCCACCACATCTTTAGCTAGATCCCTCCACCAGTGCGTCGTTTTACTTAAGCAGTTTATTTTTTTCCTATTTGTTCTTTTGATATCCAGACCATTTAAAACTCGCATAAAAGTGCAATAGGAAGGTTCAGCAAACAGAAATTAGTTTTTGCACCTGTGTCCACGATTGAAGGATGGTAAACAAAGATGCAGCTACTCGTAAACATTTGAAAGCAGATTACAATATTTCTACTCATAGGGACTTCGAGGTATTATTGGCATATTCATTCAAAAGGAAGTATTGGTCAGCAACTAAGAAACTAATTCAATTTTCTGCCCCATGTTCAAAAACACTCTTCGTTGTTTGGATTTTAAAAAGTGAACTGGTGGATTTTAAATTTGATTTTAAAATGGAACTGGTGTCTGGAGTTTAAAAAGTCTTTATTGTTTAAGCCATCTCGGTGGCATTTAAGTGTGCGAATTGGCCAATACAGAGAAGCGCATTGAATGATATCGTAGTATACAGATTTTGCATACATCTGATATGAAATGGGTCCAGTACGGTGTGAACAAGGCTATAAAAGTTGGGGTTCTTAGCCTAAAATCTTCTTGAGTCATTCTTTGTTTAACTTCAAATCTTTGCTGTCTTTTTCATCACAAATGCGTTGTAGAAAATGAAACATACTAGCAAAGTCACCCTTGTCGTGTTGGCTCAAAAAGCTCATATAGATAAAATCATTAGATTTCGCCAATATCTTGCCTAAATATTCCTATAAAGTTTATTCTTACAAAAATTATGTATATGCTGTAAAGTGGCTAAGTTCTGAGGTCCTAGAGATTTTCATTATATATTCTGAAAGTTAATAGATATGCCAGTCAATTACACGCTTTTTATTTTATATGGAACCTAGCTCGTGGCCAAGTTCTCGAAGTTCCTTATTTTTGGACCGTTTTATTTTCATCGAATTGTAGTACTAAAAGTTCCTGAATAGTTTCTTAATTTATTTGCACATTGATTGCTTGCAATGATAAAAAATTCAAAACTGGAAAGTTCCTTAAAAATCTTTTGTCTTTGATTCGAATGGTTCTTTAATTTTCTTCCGCCTTCTAAATGTAGGTTCCTTAAAAAGTGGTTCCTTGTATAAAAGCGTGTAGTACTGCTGCGGATTGGCTACGATATGGGCGACTAGAATTTCACTGATGGATTATTACTGTTTAGGCCTGTTGGATAGGTTTTAGAAACAAAACCAAATTATAGTGATTTGATGTGGAAAGAATCTGTTTTTGATGTTGCCACATCCTTTGACTCGTAGCAAATCCAACTGATTTTTCCCGTTTCGAAGTGCTTTTTGATTGTCCAAATTAGAAAATTACCATAGCGTATTTTTATGACGTCATCATTTAATCCCCCTTTTGTACGTGACCCATCACGGTCACAATATCTATTCTGATTCACAGTGCAGCGCGCGTTTTATCAGTAATAGGATTAACAGCACAATCAGACCTCGTACATCTTTTCTCTTGAGCTGGTTTTGATGTTTTTTTTTAAACTTATGCATCCTCCCCTTCAAACTTTCAATGCATTAGCGGAGAGTTCTTTGGTGATGACGTCAGCAAATCTATATTAGATCTTTTCAATTGGGATCTCATAACATAAATTACCTCCAAATATCCTGAATTAACTGATTTTTGACATATTTAACTGATTTTGCATGTTTTTAATAGCGTTTCTTGGTGTTCTTTTGGATTATATGGTCTGGATTCGAAATTCTAAAAATATGACGTCACACTTTAGAACTCTTTACAATCCATTCCGAAACTCATTAAAATTTCAGATCTTCACCACAACATCTTTCGAAGCTTTTACGATTAAAATATAAGTAGAGGCCATATATAAGAAAATTCAGTCTATGCTGAGTTCAACACGGGACGTAATTCTCATGTTAAAGGAAAACATCACAGATCGGGTCGTGTTAAAATGCGAGTGGTCCATTTATAGGACAATTGCCTATAGATTTACTTGATCTCGACACTTGTAGAAGAGATTTGCAATGTAAAAGAAGTGACAGATTAAAACCTCTGCCCGTGCTCAGTACAGCCCAGACAGAAAACATTTTCTCATACAAACTGCCACAAAATTTGCTAATGTAAATTCTAATCGCTCTTTGTTAGACATAATCTGGTTCAGTAGGCTCCCTCTTGAAATTTTTGAAAAATTATTGACATGGAGTCAAATCTAGTTGCTTTTTTTGCGCCCTTACTATAAAATTTTAACAGTTTCCTGATGTTCGCAATAAGCGTGGTCCGTAGAACTCGGGTCTGCAGGCCTTGAAACTGTCCTGTTCTTTACACTAAAGTGTGTACATCTTTGCCATTAGAGCATCGAGCACTAATGACAGGTAAACAAAACAGAGCTTTCCATTGATTCAAAAATATATTAAGCAAAATGCTTTGCATTAATTATTGTAATCAAAACTCATTGTGGTTAAAAGGTTTCTGATCTTAACAGATTCAAGATCAAAGGTCATTTACGCCAACTATCACTCCATTTTATTACCGGGACTGTAGATGGTGTGAACATTTTTTGAAAGAAACCGAGAAAACTTTGATCTTGAAGTAACGTGAGCTTGCGCTTCTCTTCTCACGTGGGAAACCTAAACCGTCAAGAAATAGGTCTGGATATGATGACAGGCACCACAGAGAAGACGAGGCTTGGGGGCCATAACCCCCTACTTTTTCCAAAATTGCAAAAAGTTTACAAATGAATCACCAATCAAGTCAATTTTTATTCGGTTTTAGCCCCACCCCATACTTTTTAAGACCCCCCCCCACTTTTCTCAACGCTTCACGGTGCCTGCTCAGGGGCGGATCCAGGATTTTTGGTGACTATAGCTCAAATCTTTTGGGATCGGAACCACGCCCTCCTTGCTTGCGGGACACGCCCACTATATGGACAAATGATAAACCATGTGTGTTTATAGTTGCTTCGTATTCATAAATATTCCTTCGAACATCCTTTTTCTATTTCCAGGGACGCCAGAGAAGGGGGTGTGGGGGGACAACCGCCCCTGTTGCCCTTTGGCAGAAGGGGCAAGGGTTGTTTTTAATAAAGTTCCCTTGAAACTGGCCAATTGTAATAATCAGAGAGATTCGTATGAAATTCTGAACTTCTCAAAACATGTAAAATAATTCCTTGTGCCGAAAGTTAGCCAATGTTGAAGATACCTACAGATAATAAAATTGCAGTTACGTATGAATTTGTAGAAGCTGAGAATTATCTTTCAAAAGCCTTTTTACTCAAGCCTGCCCCCCCCCTTGCCGCTTGGTCGTTCCGCCGTCCCTGTCTATTCCCTAGTAGGTCCTTGCCTTTGAAGCTACATTACAGGGGACCCAGGATGTGAAAACGAGCAATAGTCTACTGTTGCTTTACAGGGGACAGAGAGCGGAGAAATACCGTGGATACTCATATTCTATTGGTTAAAAGGCCATTTTCAAACCTGACTATAGCTTGACTATAGCTCGCGCCAAAAATTATAGTACGGGTTTCATTGTCTTCGATGCCTTTTCCAGAGCAAATCCCCAGACCGACTATAGCTCGGAATATCCACTGTAGCTCAATTCTGGTTGGTTACTGTCAACAAAGAACGAAACTTCTGATTCGTCTAAGTTTTTGCCCGCAACTCGCGCGCGATAGCGCGCGAGTGAAGGGCTTATAGTCTGCCCCGCGTATAAGTAGCATATGGAAGCTTCAGTTCATGTTGTCAGCACTTTGTCAGCAGATTTTGTCACTTTTCTGCTGCCATGACAACTGTCAATCAATTTCATTGTCAATCAATCGGCTTTGTCGAGGAAGTCGTTAACCGCCACCTCTTTGTGCGAAAGGGAATTATCTTCGGAGCGTTGCTCTGCCAAGACTCTGTTAAAGGCCTTCGGTTTTTTTGGCACGAAAACGGTGCTGCATCACAGCTCGGTTCTCCGCAATGGATGGAAGTTTTGATTCGAAGTTTTGGGAATCAAAACCAGTCGAATGCCACACCTTTCTCCCAAAAACTCGACACCGTACGAGCAAAAGTTATGATTGTCGTGATTATAGCCTGTACATCGCTGTACGAATCCTTTATCGCAATCGATTTTAGCTGTACCCGTTCTATCACGTGTCCATTTTCATACGTCTTTGCTTCACGAAAACGCAAAATAAATGTCAAACCCTAGAAAAACTTCATGATTTTCAAAAGGGCGTTGGACTTAAATCAAAGGCAAACTGAACACCAAAAATTCTTGATAAAAAGAATAGTTTAGCATCAACTAGAGCAGCTGTTTTTATAAAATTGTGAAAACCCAAGATGGTGTCTTCTTCGAATATCCTGACCTAAATTTTCAAAACAATCATTATCAAGGAACTAATTGTTTGCGGGCAGTACTAGCAAGAGCTATTTCTAGTAATATTAGACCATTCTGCGCTCAGTGTTTTATATCTTATCTGGAGAGGCATTGTGATGACACATTGCCAGCAGTGCATGTTTGTTAATCGCATTTGATAACCTATACCGCTGCTTTCAAATGTGAATTCCGAAAATCAAACACTGAGATTTTGACTATAGCTCAAGCTACAGTTGCTATAGTCTGGATCCGCTCCTGCTGATAAGCACGGCGTAAGAATGAATGCAATATTAATCTCTGGCCTTGTTTAAGGTTCAATGAAAACCAAATGTGTAGTAATCTTCAATGAAAAGCATTCACTTCACAACCCAAGATTGAAGGGATACAATAAAACGACATGTTTCTTTTAACATGATAAACCAAAAAGCTTCTTTGAGAGAACAGCCACCTTGAGCTTGTAGGTCAAAAGACACCATTAAAACAAGTGAGTCTGTGTAGTGAAAAATCCAATATGTGGCAATGATAAATAAGCAATTGTGCAATGATAAAGTGGCTCTAAGATAATCACCAGGGTTTATAGTAAAATGTAGCTAAGATTAAAATGTAAACAAATATAAAATAATTTGAAATAATAAGTTATAAAAGCAAGAGAATTAAAAGGCACGCCTAGATTGTAGTTTAAACCTATAAATATTGGACAATGCTACATCTCATTAGGACATATATTTTCCCATTTTCACGCAGCCTCGGGTACATTTATGTAATTTTAAAATATAGTAGCCTGGGCACCAGACTTGCTATAAAAAAGATCGTTTAAAGATTTTTTTAAGTATGGTACACAGGTACCCAGGACGCAATCTGGTAAGCAGAGTGAAAAGGAGTTTTACAGCGATATAATTTCCTTAAAATAAGGCCAGTTACTTTATCCCGACTTTAATGGCATTTGACATGCTAAATACAGCGAATTAAAAAATAACTTAGACCAAATTGATCAGAGCACGCGAACAAGAAAGGAATTGGAAACCGCTCACGTGAAACCACTGCCCGCTGCTCTAGGATTTCACCGATTTGCAGAAAGGTAGAAACTGTTCACATGTTTTTCTCTGTGCGCAATTTGATTGGTCAACCGCTCGTGGTGGAGTGGCTATAAGCCACTTTTACCTGTGTCAAATGCCTTTAACGTTTCACAAAGGCAAAGGCAAGAAGATTCAGTTACATTACGTTGAAGAGTTCAGACTAAAATTTCTTGGAATCGAACTATAAATGATGACTAAAGAGTATTAGATAAAAAATAAATTGAAAATATATTTTCGAAAAAGTGCTCTTACCATCCCGTAAATTATTTTGCTGTCAGCATGTTTAAAACAACTTAGATGTTACGGTATCGTCGTTTGATTTAGGAGTATCAGAACATCCTCAAAATTTACACAGGAAACTAGAAAGTTTGATAATGATTACGTTTTTTAAGAAAACAAAGAAAAGATCTTTTAGAGATCTAGACATATATTTCTCTCAAACAATATTCGCCTTTCTCAAACTTGAGCCATTAGGGAAATTGACTTAAGCGAGGGACGCCAGTATTACCCAGATCTCTCTAACATTATCACCAATATTGGGTAGCAAGCAAGGCTAGAAGAGAACATGTCGATGCAGGCCTTTTTTACAAATACGTAGTCGAAAGTACCATCTGACCTATGACAGCGGCAATCTTGTGAAATAGTGATAAAGGGACAACCAAAGATTAAAATAAAGAGTCTTCTGAAGCATTGAGGAACTAAGTAATTTTCGAAGCATTAAAGATCTAAGTACTTTTCCAAGCATTAAAGAACTGGATCAATTTTGAAGCATTGAGCATATAAACCTAATAAGTTAAGTAAACTAAGCTTAAGATTTAAACCAAATAATTATAATGATAAAAGGGTTCTTGGTGTCAAATACCGAAAGATAATCAGTTCGAAACATAGTTTTGGCCCTGGATATAGAATTTGGATTAATTGCCGGCTTTTTAGTTTTTTTGTGCAAAAATTACTTGCATAAACAAAGCAAAAACATAAAAACTTGTACATTCTCTCCCAATCTTTCGAATCAAGAGTAACTTCCTAATATTTTGCAAATGTTAAGCTTCAGTAATTTACGTTTTGATAAAACACAATATCAGGTCACCACAATTGATATCACAGCCTTAAACTTGTGATAAGATACCATATCGCCTACATTTTTCATTCCTTTTTAATTTTCTATGATAAAGCAGTAGTTGTGTTTGTAAGTTGAAATAAGACTTGAGCATTCATCTACCCGCTTTCTACATTATCTTTTAAGTTACAATGCTACAGTGTGTTTTGCAATAGGGGATAGTAATTAAGATTTTCTATTCTCAACTAGCCCCATTTTGTTTTGAAATAATTGCGAGCCAACAGGTATACATTTAAGCCTTTCTGGCAAAAACCAAATGTGAAAACGTTTGGCTGCTTTCTATACACAGGCCCGTCGCTACGAAAAAAGCCTAAAGTATCTGACATATGGTCTCCTAGGATACATCATCTTCTCCTTTTGGCCTTTTTTGAATTAAATTGCGAATATTCTTGTCAAGTCCTTTGCCATCAGGAAAACATTTTGTTAAAATCTGACACCATCTCAAAATAGCTCAGTTATTTCATTTTAAATCACACATCAAACAAAATTCAAATTAATGACAACGAATATATCTGAAATAAACTAACATAAATTACAGTAATATAACAAATTTATATAGAGTTTTGTATGGGGAGGAATTCCTTAAGGAGGAGCTCTCTCAATAGACAAACTAATCGAGGAGAGAGCACCCCCTATTAAAGATTAATTGCATGATTCTCAAAGAAGTAACCCGTGTCATATTTAAGCACAAGTTTGCTAAAGTCGTTGATTTGAATTTTCTATAATCACTTTTATTAAGACACGAGCAAATGCGATTTCTTGAAACGAAACATTTATTTGATAACCAATTTTTAGTGTTGCTTATTAAACACATTGATTTACGTTATGTTTAGCCTCGTCTATACGAACTATACAAGGAAACAGTTTTCCGCAGAAAATTCGCCATTCAAGATAAAGTTTAAAATTAACGAAGAGAAATGGTGTTATAGTCGAAGATTTTTATTATACGATGACTATACATATCATTGGACAGGTGGGATACACCCAGCTGCATATAACAGAAGGATTGTAAATTTTCATGGTCATTTGGCTTTTGTGATTTTGCTATCGTATGTCCTTCGGGGGCTCCAACGCAAGTTGGAAAGTGGGGTAGGGCAAAGGCAAATTTAAGACCAAAACAAGAGATTTAGCAACAACGTTCTATTGTTTTGCAAAAGTTTCGCATAACCCCGTCGTAGGAGTCACTGCGTTTAATTTCATTTCAACTTTATACTGGAACTCATATTGGTCGTACAAAAATTTTCTTCTCTGGCCCATTTAATACATGGGCGGTGACAAAACGGGGTCTTGGGGACTTTTGCATAAAGCAAAAAAACAGAAAATAATAAAAGAAAAGAAAGAGAATAGTGCAATAAATCCTTTTATAGCTTAATTTCAAAGAAATAAGCCAAAGTCCTATAAAGTAGGGGATCTTATGAAGTTATGAATTCTATTTTAAGTCTGAAAAGGCATGCCCTAACTTTGAATTTCTTGACGCCGCCCCTGTTAAACTATGAGCTAGAAAAGAGTTGTTTGCTTTTTATGATATCAGCTTTACCTATGATGACGTAGTTGAAATTGCGGAGCATTTGTGAGATCATGGGAGCAGCGAGTTCTATGCACTATTTAAGTTTCTTTGACAATTTTCAAAGAATACTCACTGATTATTGCTGCCATGTATAAAGGTTGAAGAGATTGACAAGAATGCATCGCTAAAAGTGTTTTAATCATATTATTTTGCAACCAGCAAACTGATGTATAAACTCGTGAATATTTTATTATAAGTTTTAAATCTCAGCTTTAATCAATAAACTCCCTGCACTCACAAACAATATTCCCCTCAGCTTCTTTCCAGGGTTTTCAATGAAAATTGAGTTACACAATAGGGTTCAAATTTTCTTTACAGATTTTATAGACGCTGATAAAAATACGACCAGTTCAGTATTATCCGTAAAAATCTAAGAACACAAAACCTGCGCCGCAGAGAGGGAGAGAGAGGAAAACATAAAAAGCCCAATTCTTTCCAACAGCGACCTCCTGATAGATTGAAATCAACACTGCCACAAAACCTCGAACGTTATACGGAACAGTGAGGGGCGACGGGGGATGGTACCTAATAAAACATAAAGTGTCCTTGTCTTTTGGGATTTTTTCACTCACTTTTCCCTCCAGTCGGTTAGGCGAGTCCTCTTTTATGAAACATCAGCCTTCTTCTGCTTCTTGCTCGGAGATAGAATATTTCTTGCGTCACTTGTTGTCTTCTATCTTTGATTTCCCACTTTTATTGTGGCAGCCATACTGAACATTGAATCTTTTTTACTGTCAACTCTAGCGTTGCGAGTATTGCAAATCATACGAAACGCTTTCGATCTCATTTCTCTTATGTTCATACAGTATATGATTGGGTTTAACGCTGAATTTGCGATCACCAGAGTCTTTGTCCAGTCGTAGATTCCCTGGAATGCAAAGATATCTTTTCGAAGAGTTCGTATCGTCGTTAATACGGCGTGGGGCAAATAGCAGCAGATGGTCGCTAGAAGAATGAATGCCGCAACTCTTGTCGCTTTTTCGCGCATGTAGCTTTTACGGCTTGGGCGAAGTGATTTAACATTGTAATCACGTACAGTTGTTGATGCATCTCTTCTGCGTACGGCTCTCACTGCCCTTAGAGTACAAATTTGCGTAGTGAAGCTTATGAAAATAGAGAGTGGTGCTAATACGGTAAAAAACTGTGATGGTAATCGCATTTTCTGCAACGCGTATGACAAAATAATGACAAAACACGATATGAGCCATGTAGCTGCGACGACTACCTTGACTGTTTTTCCTGATGCCGTTTGCACCTGGTATTGGTACGGGTATGATATTGCAAAGTATCGATCCAATGAAACTAAAGTCAACGTCAAAAAAGATACTATGGCGAGGTAATATCCGACTTGAAATGTTACGATGTAAAACCAGCACACCAATTTGCATTTCAAAACGATTGCTACCGAGCCTACGACACACGGAATCATAATCAAACCAATTAAAAGGTCGCTGACTGCCAAACAGGCTAAGAGTATATTTGATACTGTCTGCAGGGATCTGTGCTTTTTTACCACCGCAATAACTAGAAGGTTGAGGATGACAGCCGGTAAAATCAGGAGAATGTCAGCAACTATGACACTAATTAAGCTCGTACGATGCCACCCAGATACCAGATAAACAATCTCAAGCTCATTGCAGTTTGCCTGAAACGCTAAGTATCCATCGTACCTTGTAGCACATATCTGTTTTGTGCCGTTCATTGTTTCTGGACTTGCGAAGAAGCGCCCTCTTTATCCGTGCTGCTAACTGACTTGCTGTCCTTTCCGATTCGATCGAATGAAGTATCAGTCTTTATATGCAGCTGTTCTTCATTTCCTCCGAAGACCCCGCGTTGACAGCCTCTGTTTCATCGCGAGAAATGCATCACGAGACATTGCATTGTATAAACTGTACGATATAAATTACTTCTTGTTATTTTCACAATTGCTGTCGTCTAAACTGCTGTATTGTATAAACTTCTCTCCTAGTCTTATCATCGCATCATTTGTTGCCTTGCAGTAAAATATTTGTTACATGTCCAAATTTGTTGAATTCAAAAAGAGAGTAATATCATTTTTGCCTCAAAAACTTCGAAAAATATTAAAAACAGCCTTTCTGAATCCAGCTTTTGAGCTACTCTCGCTTTCGAGTGATATTTCACAATTTAACGTAGTAAGGGGTGCAATAGGATGAAGATGGCCTGTCTTTGTTTTCATTTTTTGAATTTTACGCCAGCATGGATGACGGGAACTCGATCACAGTTCAAGTTGATGAGTTTGAGCATGGCTTGTGCAAGCTCTTTCTGTCGGCAGTTTGTTCATCCTTCATCGGCGGTTCTGTGGAACATAAACGTCGGCACTTTAAGCACTTTTTTGTGTCTTGCGCCATAACACACTGCATGCAGGTGAATTCAAGAATGCAACCAACATCAAAGTTTTTAATTTTTGCAGCTGGACATTTTTTAATTAAAATATGCAACGGATTAAAATTCAAAGGCTCAAAAAGTAGCACATTTGATGCAAGGCTTGATACATTTCTAACCAAGAGAAATTTCAGAAAGCAAAAACATACATGTACAATCAATTCAACTTGACTTCATCCAAATCTAGCTACAAATTTTGATTGTTAATAGAAATCCTTCCCTATACAAACACTGATACCGCGGCAAAAGGCAAAATTTTCCTAGCTGCGTCAGCTTTTAAGCTATCTAAACTCTGATCTTTGCAAATCTTTAAGGTTTAGAATTTTCTCTAGGCAAATTTCGAAAAAGCAGGTTTCTTTAATATTCTTCAATCGCGAGATGATTTCAATGAGAATAATTCAACACGCATTATTAACTTTATTGATAAGAGCTGCAAAAATAAGGCGGCATTTTCTTGCAATAATTTAGCCTTGATGAGGAAGGCACACGTTATATCAAATATGGTGTTGCGAGATTCCACTGTATATAAGCCCCTTATCGAATGCACCAACCCCCGTTTTTAAAGTCGAAAAACATGCGTATGGAGCTCTTACTCCACGGGGGAGGTACTCCCATTATGGCTTAACAGGGGGGTCCAGTTAGTGTCAAAGACGGTAACGCTAAAATTTTAAAAAATTACCCTCAAATGGTAGTATTTTTTTAAATAAACCCTCAAATAGTAGCATAAGAACCGAAATTATGTCTTTGGCAGCATCCATTTCTCTGTGCTCTCCTGGTCGTTCTTTGACAAATTTCTTCACAGTTGGCTGTTGTTGTTTCGGGAAAGAAAAGGTCTTGTTCATTATCTATAATAAATCGCAAGCTAACCTAGGCAGCTGAGTTATTATCGAAACTGAGCCATTTGGTAAGACCCTCAAACCGACGGGACCCCCTGTCAGGCCTTAATGGGAGTACCCCTCCCCAGACTCTTACTCCTCATGCTTATATAGAAACTCTCACTCTCACTTGCCCCCCCCCCCCCCAACAAACCGAAGAAGAGCCCTTTCTTAACGTACGCAAGGAAAAGGAGTCGAATAAAACAATTATTAGCTGTTTTCTACGTCCTCTTATTTTATAGCTTCATGCATTTTCTTTTATTCTTTTGCTCAGAAAATCATTTTCTTTTTTTGTTTTGAATAAATATTCAAGGATCGAGATACTGGGGGTCGAGGGGCCCTGGTATTATAAGTAAAGTACATTTTTTGTTAAATATCTCTTGATACAATCATAAAATGTTAATTCGATGTACCAAAAATCTCTATCTAATTCCATTATCACCTTTAGTTTAGTTTCATCAAATTCTGTCTATTTGTCTTTCAGTCTCATAACACATTGTGATCAGTTTGCTAAGATTGATGTTCTCTTGAACTCATCCAGTGAAGTTGCAGGGAGTAGTTTCTGGTTGAAAGATTTTGTACCTAGGTATGCCACAATTTTTTATACTTGACATTTTACCAGAATACTGCATTTGATATTCTGTTGATATTTTGTTGATATTATGTTTGATATTACCAATACACAAGGGTTCGTTGCAAATAGAATCGATAGCACCAACACTCCCGTTGAACCTACTCATAACCAAACCTTCGTCATCTCCCGCAAGGCCTACCAAACCCATAGGTGAAACGCTAACCACTTATTGAGATAAAGAACAGGTAGTTGCAGGCGAGTCGAGACCCAGAGGTGCAGATGGGGAAAGGGGTGAATTTTCGAACAAAGATCTTTCAAGAAACCCCAAATGTTCCTTCCAACTACATTACTTAATAAGCAGAACATAAATTCTTCGATATCTTCGATAGCAATGTGTCTACTTGTCTCCATTTGATACTGACTTTGAAAAACACGTTATTGCTGAAATGCTTTCTTTGGAAAAATGTTAACCTGACTAGCCAAGCTGCAACACCTATTTTTTCCTCTCTTACGTAAAGGGGTTTTGGTAATTTTGCACCTTGTTGAAATATCTTGTTTTCTTCTGTGTTTAATTAGGACACTTTCGCTGAATTTGCAAAGACTGGAAAGATGGTCGATATCTTTGAATCAATTGCTTTCAGACGAGAAGGGCGTCGAACAGTTTGCAATGTTCCTCAAGAAAGAGTTTAGCGAAGAAAATCTAAAGTATGAGTTTATTCTTTTGTTTTCAAAACGCCAGAACCTGGATTTTGATAATCAAGAAGATAGCAAATCCGCGAAGATATTGAATAGAAACGCTTAAGATTAAATCAGCTATGGCTAGGACTCTTTATGTCAAAGTGTGCTGAGGACAGCATACTCCCCTAGATCAATCATATTCAAAGAACTATTGAATTCACCAGAACTCATCATACTCAAATAATTGAAACTAATCCGAGTTTTCCTTGCAAGACCAGAATTTTATTGCAAGCATAGCTGAATTATTGATGAATTTAATAGGGCCAATGTAGTATCCAGGTGAGCTACGCAATCATCAAGATGCATAGTAAAAGAAAGACTTCACCAGAAATAGTTACCTTCGGCAACCTTCAGAAAGACGCTGTTTAAATCAGCCTAAAATATACAATTCACCATAAGGCATACATCACAAAACAACGTGAACCTAACAGCTAAATAAACTCTGCTTGTTTGAAAAATAAGTTTGTTTTGTGCTATGTCGCATCTTTGAAAAGAGCTATAGGAAAACAACGCCAAAGGTTTTAATTGGAAAAGTTTCAACTTTTTTCTTCTTTTGCTGGCATACTGTATGACATTGGCGAAAATAGCACGTATAGGATTTATATCAATCGTGGTGGTCTGTTTACGAGAAATTAAACCATAGCTTCAACAGCATAATTTGAAACGTATCGACACAACTGCATCGTTCGTTGAGTTTTTTAAGGGATATTTTCATCATGGAGGGATAAACAATAGAGAAAATCCAGTTTCCCTAAATTGAAGGATGGGAAACTTTACTTACTTTTACAAATGAATTTTTTCTTTCGCTTCGTATCCAAAAAATGTACCATAATGACAGCCAAATTAGAATACTTGTCCTTCTAACCAAAATATATATTCTTATTCAGTCTGAATCGGAAGGCCTATTGTTTTGCTAAACACAGAGGCATTGCTTTTGAAACAAAATAATTAAAAGCATGACTGGAATTTCTTATTGTCGAAACTTTTAGTTGACAACATGTCTGCTATCCTATCTTTAGATTTAACGGTCTTTCGAACATTTAAAAGTTTAGTACCAAAATTCAACCATTTTGTAGCAATGACCCCTTAAGCTATGAAGACGTTCCTCACAAAATAATAAAAATAGTTTGGGTGTGGCAGTTGAGTTTCTTTTGTTTTCACCGGTATTTCTTACGGTCAATGAATGTCATGTTTCAAAATGGAAATTTATATTTGTAAGCACCTGAGAGATGTTGTTTATTTCTCATAGATTTTGGCTTGATTGTGAAAACTTGAAGTATGCGGCAAAATCTACAGTGCCAAGCACGGTCATTAGAATATACAGGTGAGTGAAGAAGTAGAGCTTGCAACTTTTAAAGCTTGGTCAGCGATGCTTTGTGCCATGAATACGATCTTAGATCCTTCAGCGATGCTTCGTGCCATATATACAATCTTAGATGTACCTTCTGCGATTACTTTCATAGAGGTAGGCAGTGCCATCGGAACGAAATTCATATTAAGGGGGGCTGCCCATTGTATTCCTCTTCATTCAGTACACTGTTATAAAGAAGTTATACTAGAGGTTGACAAAAAAGTGGTGGGAGGCTCCTAAATTGTAACAGAATGTATGTTCCTCAACGAGTATGCTAAATAGTTGCAAATGCACAGCTTCCAGAAACAAGTAGCTCCATCGTAAAATTAACTATTTTGCAAATTACAAATTACATGGCAACTTCTTACGACAGGATCTTGTCTACAGAGAACCCTGATTATCTGGCAAATGAGAGGCTAAGATCTATTACGAGGCTAGCACGTCAAAACGATCATCGATCGAAACTTGCAAGGTTTTGGTTTTCTGTCTACAAAATTTGTTAGAAATTTCGCTTCAAGAGAAAAAGTTTACAGCTTAAATTTAGCAAAGTGTGAAGCAATATGAAAAATTTTATTGCTGGAAAGAAAAGAAATCAAACAGAATACGTCTTGTGGATGACTTAAGACAACAAATGTTTGGTCAAAAAGGTTTTTCTCCCTGCAATGGAAATGTTAGAAATTTCGCATAAAGAGAAAAAGTTCACAGCTTAAATTTAGCAAAGTATATAGCAATATAAAAAATTGTATTGTTGGAAAGAAAAAAAACAATGTGAATACTTCTTGTGAACGACTTAAGACAACAAATGATTGATCAAAAAGGTTTTTCTCCCTGCAATGGAAATGATCATAAGATCGAAACTGCTGTCTTACGCAGAACGTGTAGGACTTTGACCCAGACCTCGGAATAACGTGAGCTCTTATTCGCGCTCACACTTGATATCACCTCATCAAATGTAAGCATTCACTAGGCCTGTACACTTTGCGTTCTGAGGCTCGATGTTAAACCACAACTTTTCCTTTCTTTTTGTCGCCTTACTTTACAAATGCAGCTGGACAGTTGTCAACATTTTCCTTGAAAGTTGTTCAAAAACAAAGTGTTTATAAAGCTTTTTCAATAACAAGAATAATGGGCTTAATTGTTTTTGATGAAAAAAAATTATTGCAAAACTTAAGAATAGAATACATAAGCGGGAAATATTTTAAAAGGCTGCTTAAGACTTTGTTTGAGCAAAGATCTTGAGAAAACATTGAGGCTTGTGAAAAAGCAGAAATTACGTTTGGAAGTTACGACATACGATATCATGATCAAATGTAATTGCAAGAGAGAAATACGCTAATTTTTTAATAAGAAGCAAAGCAACTGTTTATTTCTGTTAATTTATATCGCAAAACTAAGGATTTGATTCATCTCAGTCGTTTCAGAAAACCAATATTAGTGAGTTCTAAATATCTTGGTTTAATACGGTTGACTTAATGCAGCTTCAAGCTTTTCCTTAATTAAATTCTATTTAAAGTATTTTTCTAACAATGTTTTCTGTTTTTTTTATTTTCAATGCCAAATTCATCTTTTTCTTTTTCCTTGAATTTTCTACATTACTTTTGTCTAACTTTCACCACCCCTCATAAATACCTTTTAATTTACTTACTCGGGAATGAAATACCAATGCAACATGAAGGGCATAAAGCTCCCTCAGAAAAACTGCCATTGACATCAGAAAGGTCAGTCATGAGGCTACGTTCCCACATCATCGAGAGCGAGTTGGGCCGTTGGTGCATCGGCGCCAATCGCTCAACCTACCATATAGGGGTCACTAAGGAAGTTGCACAATAACCCCCAAACATGATTGATAATTGGGAGGGAATGGACAGGAAAAGCCTCTTTTCCCCACTAATAGCCGATGCACCAGTCCTACCTAATAGCATCAGAAAACTCAAAGAAGCATAAAAGATGCCTAAAGGTATGAGAGGTTTCAACGATGCCATAAAAGAAACTCAACACGCAAAGTTATACTGAAAAGGCATTTAACATAAAGAAACAAATTGAGGAAGGGAGGGCTGGGAAAATACAATAAAACAGCCTAGTTGAATTGTGGCTTCACCAAGCAAGATGAGACCCACGCTATGCCAAAACCTCAAATACCCCTCGATTAACCAAGGGAATGAAAACGCTACGAAACACACATCTTACCCTAGTTATACAAATCAAATTCACAGGAGGCCGAAAGACTCCCCGCATTGCCCATAAACTAGTAGAGCAGATACAAGAAAACCACGAGGAAGCGTGGCACAAGAAAACATAACGAAATAGTATTAACAACAATCTCATGCGATTTAGTTAACGCTCAAAAGCCCCTCGTGAAATTAACTCTGATTAAATTTCATTTAATCATCATTTATTTTCAATAACATTAATATCCTTTCCATGGTCATTACGATATCTTCTACGCTACCATATCAAAAGTATTGCACCTCTACGAATGAAGGGGAAGGCGCATGAATGACCGAAAGCTATTGTTATGTAGATTATTTTTGTCTTTAAATGGTGAATATAAAATCATCAGAAGCAAAACAAAAACCAAAACTTCAATCTGATTAGAGCATTTTCTAAAAATTACAATAACGAACGTTATTAAACTGTTTCAAATTTCGATTTTTTGACGGGTAACCGCAAATTTTCAAGCTGCCTTTGAACAAGGTGGTCAATATCTTTGAAAGGATAGTGTATATCAATTTGCGCCCTCTGATTATGGGGTTCACGTCGCAGTGCATACAGTACAAGTGTTGATAATAAGTTGAAGTTGAAGTCAAAACAAATTTTTTAAATGGAAACTCCTTTAGTGTGCAATTTACTGATAATGTATGCAAACTGCATGTTAAGTGTAGTGTTGCAATATACAGTGATGTTCAATTTCAAGACTGTTTCGAGTGTCAACTCGGAAAATTTAAACTGCAGATTATAAAAGTTTCTTAGCTTTTTTCAATTTGGGTAGGGTTGTTTCTCAACTTTCGAAAAATTGAGCCTACCGTTTCTTATAACCTGTTCCTGTAACACTTGTTGAGTGTATGCAACTGAATATGTGAAACTATGGTTGACTCAGTCATCGGTTTTACCATAGATCTATCCTTATCGGTTGACTTTACTTTGACTTGTTTTGATCAGTAAAAACAAATCACGGAAGCATTTTATCAATTTTCTGGTTTTTATTCTAGGGATTTCATGGCACCAGGAGCGAAATTTGAAATCAATGTCGATAACAAAGCAATGTCACTTATTCGTGAAGGAATTAAGAATCCTTCAGTGTATGCATTTGATTTGGCACAGGTGCGTATTGATTAAAAGCAAATCATTCAAAATCCTTAAGGGCTCTTGCGCAACCATCATGCATAGCGGCAGTTGTCTTGAAAAATCGATAGTGTTTTGTATTTTCATGCAGTACGATATTAAGTCGGTTCTTTGAATTGTAGTCACAAAGCGTGCCGTTTGCGCAAGACCTTTTAAGCCTTTATCTAAGCTGTGAAATTCCTAACAATCAGGTAGGCACAATTAGGTATTTCCCTAGTCTGGAGGAAATCAAATTATCAAATACGATGTTACCCAAGCTTCCGTTCTTGTACCATTACTCTTTATAATCTAGACCAATAAGCTAAGTTTCTTTATTTCTCCCTTCTTGCAGCAACTGACTTGCAGCAACTAATGATCCTTTCTTCCTCTGGGCGACATTTAAAACGTTGACCAAATCACTGTCATGGCTAATTCTAAATTATTTGAAATTTCGATACCTTACCATTGTTTGTAACTTTGAACAGTATCCCTGTTCTTCTTCTAGAAACAAATATTCAATCTTATGAGCACTGATAGTTATCCACGTTATCTGAAATCAAAAGATTACATTGACTTGGTAGAGAGAGCAAAGTCGGACAATACTGCCAAAGCAAGGAAGTCAAACAGGTACATGCAATAAACGCTTTTTAGTAGCTCTTCAGTACTCGCAATAAACGCTTTTCTAGTAGCTTTTTATGCGAACATGCTTTTTCTGCTAAAACTTCTTAAAGTCAAAGATCACTCTTTAAAGTTTTTGAACATACATAAACATTAAATCAAGAAGAATGGATTCTTGATTTGTAGCAATGTATTAAGAAAACGTTGTAGTCTTTTGTAACTTCGGAATCAATCATCTTTGAAGATCCAAATCAAGTCAGTGAGGACATAAACATACCACAGTTAAACCAGAGCCATATTTATCCTTTTTATGGAATCCAGACAAAGTACCACATATTTTTGCTAACAAACTAAAAAGTTAGGCTGTCGTTTGTAACATTACATTTTCTCTAGTTGTTGGATCCACCACTAGAGGCTGTCACTAGTCTCGTTTTAGACTGCGGTGACATTCTTGTATCCTTGATGTGAACAATCAAATTCTTCCGAATCTACATAGAAAGCTGTTTTGAACATACTTATATCTCTTTCATTTCCTGGTAGGAACAATGAAATATGTTCACATTTTGCTAAAATATCATATTGAATTTCAAGTCAAAGTAACACAAACCCTCGCATACATTGCACTACAGTTTATGAGGATAAAGTAGACAACAGAAAGAATGTGTCTTGTGAATCCTCAGCTATTTTGCATTCTAGTGATATCCTTTTTATTTCTAATCGTTCCTTTTATGCTCTTCTTCAAATTATAGGTTCCTGAATGCTGCACGCGGATTTGTTAATCGACCGTCTCTGACAGATTTGTTTTCGAGTCAACAAAAGGAACATCGAAAGTTAGGCCGTAGCAGCAGCGATTTTCAGTCAAAGCAAACTAGGGAAGAGCGTAATGGCAGCTTCACAAGCACTACGTTTTATTTGCAGCCAAAATTGAGCGTTGAGAAGTCTTGTTCTGAGAGCGATCTCACAAAAATAGACGACCTTTCACATCCGGGATCTCCTTTACCACAAAAATCAGCCAATCGAATGAAGCTAAAAGGATTGCCTATACTGAAGCTTTCAAGATCGATAACTCCAACTGGTTCTCCAGGGGGCAGTCCGTCCCAGTCTGGTCCCCCGAGTCGCAGTGAATCCCCACTTCCTTCACCATGCACGACAAGGAGAAAGTTTGATTTTCGTCGGGGCTCGGATAAAAAGTGAGTTTGAGTACTTCTTTTATAATTGTAGGCTAATTTGATCCATTTAAGGCTTAATGAAGACAACTAGCACTTATGCCTGTCCTGGTGTTTTAAATATAGCATCCATTGTTACTAAAAGTTCCAAGGAAAAGTTGATTGAGAGATCGAACACTTGGAAAAAAACATTAAAAATGTGCTTGGGTAATTGCTAAGCTACTCGTGAAAAGTTCACATCTGTTCAAAATTTGGAAGAGAAGCATGTCGAAAACACCTCATATCGTAGCTCATTGTTTTAATTTCAATAAACTTTTGTATTCAGAGATCCGTTCGAAATTGGATAAACAGTAGTAAGCCAGGAAAATCCAGGAAAGGAAGCTAAAAATACATTGATAAAATAAATCTTTTTTAGATTTCAGCTTTTATTTCTGAAAAAATTATTGTATTTCTTAAAGTTTTTCTAATGAAATTATTGTCTCGTGTTGCTCAGCCATTTGCTTTAAGAACTTTTAAACTTTGCATGCTTAGGCCACCAGCACTCGCTATTGGTGAATTAAATGAAAAGCTGTCATTGGTGAAGAAAAACCAGGACGAATCACATGACGATTTAAGCGAATGGCATTGGCAGAAAATATCACATGACTTTTACTAGGTAGGCTAATTCAATTTTGCTCAATGAAATAGAAAAGGCGTTGCTGACTCAATATTATGCTTTAACAGAAAGACATGAAAGGAAGTCAGTTGATAATAAAAACAGTTAGAATTGTACAAGCCAGTTGAATGAAGTAATCGTAGGAGGTCGTCTTCTTGTGTTGAGAAGTCGTGAAATTTTGTTAATAAAATTTTAACTGAGTGTTATTATTCAGAAGGAATAAAACATGTATAGATGTAGGGCGATGTGTAATAATTCTCGATCACTGGCCTAGTTGTTGGACTGTTGTCATGGAGCACAATAAAAATATCCTGAAAAATCTAGATGTAGCTTAGGGGATCAGACATTCACCTAAAGAACAATTTTGCATGTCTCACATAAAGATATCTTCTATATCTTCAATCGCAGGATTTTTTGTCCGCCAGATTCTGTGAATCTTGGAATGATTAATTATAATATGAGCTATAGCCAGAAACAAACAAACACGACGACGAAGATCCAATGAAGTCAAAATAAATTTTGAAGTGAAATAAATTTAATCAATACAAATATTTCGCCCTGGCATACAAGACTTCATCAGATTGAATGTGATGAAGATTACAAGTTTCTGTGTCAAAAAGAACTCCAAGTCTATAGCCTTACTTTTTTGCGGAAAATCTAATATCTGCCAATTGGTTAATGTATGACTTTTCTGATCCTTTTTCTGTACTTCAGAAGAATATATAGGTCTCTTTTAATTGAATTAATGTAGATTAAAATGTTTTTGAGTGATAAGAAATTGTCAAAAATTGGCATTTTTCCAAGTCTATAGCCTTACTTTTTGTGCAAAATCCAACGTCTGTCAATTTGGAAATAAATGTTTTTTCTGATCCTTTTCCTGCGCTCAAAAAGAAAATATAGCTCTTTTCAAGTTGAATTAATATCGATTCAAATGTTTTTAATTGAGAAAAAGATTCTCTAGAATTTGGCATTAAGTCTATAGCCTTACTTTTTGTGAAAAATCCAATTACTGTCAATAGGGTAATAAATAATTTTTAATCCTTTTCCTGCATTTCAAAAGAAAACATTGGTATTTTTAAGTTTAATTAACGTATATTATAACGTTTTTGAGTGTAAAAAAATTCACAAAAAGTTGGCAGTTTTGCCAAGTCTATAGCCTTACTCTTTGTGAAAAATCCAATTTCTGTCAATAGGGTAATAAATGATTTTTCTGATCCTTTTCCTGCATTTCAAAAGAAAATTGGTATTTTTAAGTTGAATTAACGCATATTATAACGTTTTTAGTGTAAAAAAATTCACAAAAAGTTGGCAGTTTTGCCAAGTCTATAGCCTTACTCTTTGTGAAAAATCCAATTTCTGTCAATAGGGTAATAAATAATTTTTCTGATCCTTTTCCTGCATTTCAAAAGAGAACATTGGTATTTTTAAGTTGAATTAACGCATATTATAACGTTTTTAGTGTAAAAAAATTCACAAAAAGTTGGCAGTTTTGCCAAGTCTATAGCCTTACTCTTTGTGAAAAATCCAATTTCTGTCAATAGGGTAATAAATGATTTTTCTGATCCTTTTCCTGCATTTCAAAAGAAAATATGGTATTTTTAAGTTGAATTAACGCATATTATAACGTTTTTAGTGTAAAAAAATTCACAAAAAGTTGGCAGTTTTGCCAAGTCTATAGCCTTACTCTTTGTGAAAAATCCAATTTCTGTCAATAGGGTAATAAATGATTTTTCTGATCCTTTTCCTGCATTTCAAAAGAAAATATGGTATTTTTAAGTTGAATTAACGCATATTATAACGTTTTTAGTGTAAAAAAATTCACAAAAAGTTGGCAGTTTTGCCAAGTCTATAGCCTTACTCTTTGTGAAAAATCCAATTTCTGTCAATAGGGTAATAAATAATTTTTCTGATCCTTTTCCTGCATTTCAAAAGAGAACATTGGTATTTTTAAGTTGAATTAACGCATATTATAACGTTTTTAGTGTAAAAAAATTCACAAAAAGTTGGCAGTTTTGCCAAGTCTATAGCCCTACTCTTTGTGAAAAATCCAATTTCTGTCAATAGGGTAATAAATGATTTTTCTGATCCTTTTCCTGCATTTCAAAAGAAAACATTGGTATTTTTAAGTTGAATTAATGTAGATTATAATGTTTTTGAGTGTAAAAAAATTTACAAAAAGTTGGCAGTTTTGCCAAGTCTATAGCCTTACTCTTTGTGAAAAATCCAATTTCTGTCAATAGGGTAATAAATAATTTTTCTGATCCTTTTCCTGCACTTCAAAAGAAATATTGGTATTTTTAAGTTGAATTAATGTAGATTACAACGTTTTTAGTGTAAAAAAATTCACAAAAAGTTGGCAGTTTTGCCAAGTCTATAGCCCTACTCTTTGTGAAAAATCCAATTTCTGTCAATAGGGTAATAAATGATTTTTCTGATCCTTTTCCTGCACTTCAAAAGAAAACATTGGTATTTTTAAGTTGAATTAACGTAGATTATAACGTTTTTGAGTGTAAAAAAATTCACAAAAAGTTGGCAGTTTTGCCAAGTCTCTAGCCCTACTCTTTGTGAAAAATCCAATTTCTGTCAATAGGGTAATAAATAATTTTTCTGAGCCTTTTCCTGCACTTCAAAAGAAAATATAGGTCTTTTTAAGTTGAATTAACGCATATTATAACGTTTTTAGTGTAAAAAAATTCACAAAAAGTTGGCAGTTTTGCCAAGTCTACAGCCCTACTCTTTGTGAAAAATCCAATTTCTGTCAATAGGGTAATAAATGATTTTTCTGATCTTTTACCTGCATTTCAAATGAAAATATTGGTTTTTTTAAGTTGAATTAACGTATATTATAACGTTTTTGAGTGTAAAAAAATTTACAAAAAGTTGGCAGTTTTGCCAAGTCTATAGCCTTACTTTTTGTGAAAAATCTAATTTCTTTCAATAGGGTAATAAATGATTTTTCTGATCCTTTTCCTGCATTTCAAAAGAAAACATTGGTATTTTTAAGTTGAATTAATGTAGATTATAATGTTTTTGAGTGTAAAAAAATTTACAAAAAGTTGGCAGTTTTGCCAAGTCTCTAGCCCTACTCTTTGTGAAAAATCCAATTTCTGTCAATAGGGTAATAAATAATTTTTCTGAGCCTTTTCCTGCACTTCAAAAGAAAATATAGGTCTTTTTAAGTTGAATTAACGCATATTATAACGTTTTTAGTGTAAAAAAATTCACAAAAAGTTGGCAGTTTTGCCAAGTCTACAGCCCTACTCTTTGTGAAAAATCCAATTTCTGTCAATAGGGTAATAAATGATTTTTCTGATCTTTTACCTGCATTTCAAATGAAAATATTGGTTTTTTTAAGTTGAATTAACGTATATTATAACGTTTTTGAGTGTAAAAAAATTTACAAAAAGTTGGCAGTTTTGCCAAGTCTATAGCCTTACTTTTTGTGAAAAATCCAATTTCTGTCAATAGGGTAATAAATAATTTTTCTGATCCTTTTCCTGCACTTCAAAAGAAAATATAGGTCTTTTTAAGTTGAAATAATGTTTTATTAGAACGTTTTTAGTGAAAACAACTTGTAAAGAGTTAGCACCTTAGGGTTTAATTTTACCTTGTGTTGAAAACCCGATTCGTGGCTGCAAAAGGATTCTTCTAAACATTGTGGTTAATTTCTTGAGCAACTATCGGTATTGCTCAATTGATGAAATAATGAATAAACAAGAAGAATATGCATGAGTAATCTCATTCCATCATCACGTTAGGTGGTGGCGTGTTTCATTATTCATGAAAAATCTCTACGTCATTAATCTCATCGCAATGAACAACTCAATCAGAACAACTTGCATTAAGTTTATGTAAAAGGTACATATCCCTGACAACAGTTGTTTTGGTATAATTATGGTTCAGTAAACAAAAAACTAAGGCTTTCACGTGAGGCTTTTCTTTGCAGAAAATGTACACTTGTGTTAAGTAATTTCTAAAAAATCAGTTCATTTTGCTACGCCTTTGAAGATGGGCTTTAAAGCATTATTAAAGGCTTTGACAGTATATCTCACAGAAGCAACACTCAATGAAGTTATCCTAATCTTGCAATTTAAAATCATTCTTCATAGAAACATAAATACATTGGATAGATTAAAGTGCAATCGAGCTAGACAATTGCTGGAGTGCTATGCAAAAGTCCAGGCTACCTTTTGTCTTCATTCAAAAATAACACTTGCAATTTGGGCAGCAACTTTGAAACCTCTGGTATCTCATCTGGATGAATCTGTAGGTAACAGAATGAACATCATTAGCGATAGAACCGTGCATTCTTGAAATCATAATGGTAGAAAAAATGGATGTTTTTTCATTGTGGTGAAAACAAAGTAAAAATACGAAGAAAGTACGGAAACTGATGGATAGATTTAGGAAGCCAACAGGCATCTTGGCACGTGAACCTCTGTAAGCAATTTGCAAAGCCGTTGATTGTTTAAACCGGAAAACTTTTTATTTGTAGCAGAATTATCATTTCACTTTATTTGTTTATCGCTACAATTTTCTCTTTAACAATCTTCTCTACAAAATGTAATGTACAGAATAGGAGAGCTAGCCAGTTTGAGACTGACTATTGTGAAAGTAAGTTCTGAGAGTAGGTTGTGAAAGTCAATAAAAATTTTATCATCGTCATCAACGAGATTAGATATATTTTTTACAAACCCTTAGTAGGGAAGGCTGTTACCTAATTGTAAAGCAAACTTGAGTTAACATGATAATATATTTAGATCAAGTATCGATGTCTATAATATCTTTAAATTATAGTATCGATGAATATAGAATAAATGAACATAGAATAAATGAATTCTATATTCATCTATACCAATGTTAATTAAAATACATGTAAATTTAACAAACAGAGTAAAATATGCTGGTGTTTATTCAAACGGATGTGCCGCAAAATTTGATGAGGGTTTCAAAAGTAGCGTTTTTGGATGAACATAAAACTCCTCTGTAAATAGCCTGCTAGTTTGTTAGAGAATTCTAGGTACCCACCTCCATATGGTCGAATGCAACAGCCACTGGTGTTTCGTTCTTCATGACTGGTAATTTTGAATACCGCTGACTGAAATGTGTCAAGAGGACGTTTCTCGCTTTCATTTTCTCTGCTACATTTAAAGCTTGTCCACAAGTGCTGAAATAAGATAAAACTTTATTAAGAAGTAGGAAAGCTGAAGTAAGAGAAAGCTTGATTAAAACACAGGCATGCCTAGGACTTACTGCTACACAGGAACTTGACATCTGGTCTGATTACTTATACTGAAATTCTCCACAGGCCCACAAATGTTTGTTCTAAACAAAGCATTAGTTATAATTCCATCACTATTAATACGAACTAATACCCTGATGTTATTATTAAACGAGAAAGTTTCCTGGTGACAGGGGCTGTTTTTGTACTGAAGAGAGCTAGTCAAAAAAAGAATGATAAAAACGAAATATAAATGATGAACTGATGAAAATAAATGAATCCTACGTCATCTGCCTGTTTCAGAAGACCAGAAAGCGAAAATTGTTAAGTGGAGAGGTAATTATCACGTGAAGCAAGAATAAAATTTAGGCAACGCTCTAGGCAGCAGATGCCGTATTATCTTAAAGCATTTAGAGCTGATATTTTCTGGAAAAAAACGTCATGTTCGATCCATTAACATTACCTGTGGTGCTTATCTTTGGCATCTTCTTCCATGCCATCTTCAAATGTCGCTTCGTGTATCAGCAATGTCGAGTCTTTTCCTGGTCAGGGTTTAATTGGAATCAAATTTGAAATAACAAAATTTTCTCCTTTGAAAGATAGCTTTTAGAAGATGGAGGAAAAGAAGGGAACAGAGAGGAAGAAGGGGGAGAATAAGAAGGGAGGAAAAAGAAGCATTAAACCAAGTAGAAGAAGAAAAAGAAAACGAATAAAAGAACAAGAAGAAGAAAAAGACGAGGAGAATCAAATGAAGAATAAGACAAAGAAAAGGTGAAAGAAGAAGATAAAAGGAAAAGATGAAAAAAATATATAGAAGAAGAAAAGAAGAAAGAGAGAAAAGAGAGGAAGAATCAGAAAAAAAAGAAAAGGCAAGCAAAAAAGAAGAAGAAGAAGAAGAGTATACAGAAGGAGGATCAGCAGAAGAAGATAACCAAGTAAAAGAAATTAAAGATGTAAAAGAGAAGAAGAAAACAAGTTGAAGGAAAAAGCGAAGGCGAAGCAGAGAAAGAGGGAGAAGGAGAAGAATAAAAAGGAGGCGAAGGAGCAGAAAGAAGAAAAACAGAAAGAACAAAAAAAAGGAAGAGAGATAAAAATACTTAACTACGAACATTACAAAAAATTTACGGGTTTCAGGTCAATGTGAAATTTTTATGTGCCATCTGGTACTGATATGTCAAATATCGTATTTGATAACAGTATTTGATAAAATTGCCCTTCGTGATGTCAGAAGCTTCTTCGAAACTAAGGCAGAGAGACTCATTCACCTAAAAAATCGTTACTGAGTAAAATACATGTAGTTTTACCTGCGTATACCAAACTTTCGCAAGGAACAGTGTCTCCTGAGTAAGTGATCTTCCAGCCATCTTTGTGTGTAATTGCAATTCCATACGCCTCAGTGTTGTGCTCAACAGGCACGATCATAACCTACAAGCATCAAAAGAAATATATAAACCCTCCTTAACCAAACCTATATGGCATCTTCAACACTAACCAGTTATTAACTAAAGCAAAATCAGTCTCGGCTTACCAGAGAATTTACAGATGGTCTTGATCAGATACATAAAAATGTTAATGATATGAGTTCAGTAGCCTGCGGGCATACTTCTTTTACAAATTCCGTCTTGGCTCTCCTTCGCAACAAAAAGTAAAGCCTGCCCGCAGGCTACTGAATTCAGCATTAATGGGAGATGTTTTTAACTAGAAACCTACAGTATGAGCTTCGAGCAAACAACAACACCATTTTAGCTAGTACCAGAATAGCAACAAATGGCACTGAAGTCAATTCACTTGCCGGCCTAAAAATTATGTCAAAGGTTACTTATAGAAATTAAAGAGTTCAAATCACTGTATATTTCTAAACGAAACAAAAAATCTGGAGTTAACAAAGCTAGATCTTGCTGCTAGCTGTAAACAAATGTTTTATGTTACTATTATCTATATATTACGATACCGGTTCTGGCATTCCCGATTTAGTATCATTATTGAAAAATGACTGTCGTCTTTTTGCAAAGTGACAAACAACAATGAGAACGAATACAGCAGGAGAGAATCAATCTTCTGCATTGCGCTAACCGCCTTTTTGCTCGAAATGCCATGAAAAATTCGCCTATCAGGAACAAAAAATTACTCTTTGGTTCATTCAACGAAATATCAAAGAATATCAAAAATCAATTACTTTGGTGAATTCAGCGATCTCCTTTGACAGGGCGCTTGGTGAAACCTGCCAGGCTAGTCTCTTGCAGTCAACAAATCTAAAATCGAAGTCATCTGTCATCAAATGTATTTATAAGTTTTCAAAACTCACAAGGGTATAAAAACATACCTGCATGTTTCACAAAACTATCTCAAGATTGTTTTGTATTTAACCGCTTTACGCTTTGGTGTAAGGGAATGGGATAGCTCCAAGTTGCAACTCTGAGATTTGTGCTTACAGCGAGCAACCGTTTGACTACTATTAAAGGTGACTTGGCGGAACAGATCAACATAGTATTCGACTGTTAAAGTGTTGTTCAACAGATGCCTGATGGTTGCGCCGCAGATCTGCACAGACTTTGATGTATAGAGCAGGAGGGTTATATAATATTTCAAGTTAACCTATTAACAAGTCACCCTCAATAAGAAAGAGCCACAAAACCTTCAAGGTATATTTTAAGCAACATAACGCAAATATAATGTAATCGATCACAAAACTACACGAAATTCCAAAACGAAAAGTAACGTTGAGAAGTAACGAAAAGTAACTTATTAAAGGCATTTAATAAAAGTAAATTTGGCAAGTAAATCAACTAACCGATATCTCAGACTTTCACAGGTAGATGAATACTCTTGAAGCCAAATGGACAGCTTCCTTGGACCTGCTATTATTGGCGGAGTATATGGGACACCATCCTGGTTACACAATGTATATATAATTTAATTGTACATGCTCTTTGAAACATAAGTACTCAAATAAAATGTACTTCTTCTATTTTTTGAGAAGCAGCACTCTATTTTCACTGTTTATTCATTTGATAAACATAAAGCAGCAAAACATCTTTTGTTGAAGGAAGATGCAGGTTCTAAGCTCTTCATTGGACGAATGTTCGATTACGGCATATTGGGCCTAAGTCTAATATCACGGATTTCCATGAGGCGATTTGATCTGCGTTATTGCAGCTAAAGGTATGCCCAGTTTGTTCACTTTCATTTCGCTGAGAAAAAGTTCGCTTCAGTTATGCATGCAAGAATCTTTTTAGCTTTTCGTGGCGAATAATTCCGCCACGAAATCTCCGCCAGTCAAGGCACAAATCGTCGCCAAGAAAAAAGGTTGCTTATACTTGCGCCAAGATTTGTTGCATCAGGTGGAAATCAAAAGATGATTTCGCCTCGGCGATTAGTTCGCCTTTTGGAAATCCGTCTCAAGCTGACCTGATAGACACAATTCATTCGACTTATATGAAGCTATATCCACTTAGCTGTAATCTACAATCAATGACCCGTGGCAAGAACAATAGCAATCATGATAAAGAGATGATCTGCGTACGATCTGCGCATAGTCTGCGTTAAATCCGAGCATTCCGGTACATCAAAACATTAAAACTCCATTCATAAAAAGTCAACATTACGCCAAAAAATGTAGCTTTAAAAATTAATAAAATTTTAGATTGTTTGTGAATCCCTGCATTGATGAGGAGGCGATTAAACTTGAATTTGTCATAAAAAGCTGTCTGTCTTCTATCGATATTTTCTAAATGCCTCATCCCTATGATGGCAAATTATATAAAAGTTTTTTTAAAACTTACCTTTGCCATTATTTTCCAGCGAAGCTTCAAAATTCTTATCAGACCCTAGAAAGAGCATTGAGCATTGTTTCTAGCAGAGAAAATAAATGACATTGTCACAAGTAACGATACACTTTCTATTTATTGGTAATTTGATAATATATTTATAAATGTATTCATTGCATACGATATAAATCACTCTTGTCAACCAATGAATGACAAATTTCGGTCAAATCATAAAGTCTCTTTGTGCTTGTCAGCTCTCTGTAACCACAATGCCTACATATATATATACACATATCTTACTTCTGAAAGACTTGAATGTTTGCCACCAACATCGTTCAAAAAATAACGACAGCTTAAATTCAGAAAAAAAGAAAAAAAGAATTATTACCAAATGGTGGTCTGCGTGAAGATGAGATATAAAGACAAACTGCAATTTCTTCAATATCTCTTCTGCTTCTCTTCCAAAATGGTTTTTCATTTGACCATAAGAGCCTTCTCCGCAATCGAGCAGCATAGATGTGTGTTGACTGTGGACATAAGTTGATATAAACAACATAACGCAATCCATTAATAACATCATAGAATCTCATCACACTTCTAGTTCAGACTAATATCATTCCTGGATAAATTAAAGTTTCCAAAACTGGATCACCAAAAGCACAGCAAAAAACTTATCTCTAACGAAAATAAGAGCATTGCTCCAAACTTTTCAGTTCTTTTTTAATTATATAGCTTTCAAGCCCGTTTTTAAGCCACCCCTTTATTAGATCAAAGAACGACATTTGCACAGCAAAACACAATTGACATCTTAGGACATCATAAGTACTAAATTGTTGAGGTATAACAATGAACATGATAAAATATTCACTTCTGTTCTTTAATAAATAAAAAATGCAACTCTACGTCCTTGCTGAATAAATTGTTGTTGAATACTAGAGAGTAAAATCTTTCTTTTGCACCAGTGGTCCTTTTTGGTCACATATAGGTCTGTCATGTGAGTGGTAACTTCACCAAATTCGACAAATACGACGAACCTTTTAGCTTTAAACAATTAAAAAATCATCTACATATTCTTGTCATCAAAATCATCTACATTATACAGTATGAGCACAATTACAATAGCTGCAAAAATTGTCTCATTTGGATGCTGGTACTTCGTAGTCAAAAGCAATAATACAATAATCGTTGCACACTAGACTCTGAAATAGCATACCTACCTTGCGTTAATAAGGATGGAGGACACATTCCTATACTTTGATGGCATGGAAGAGCCAGTCCCTAGCATCACTATTTTGGGAAATTTACAATTATGGTTTATCCGTGAACAATTACTTTCGTGACAACTATCTGTCCTGGTATGATCGTTATTTTTCGAGGGAAAGTCATTATCCTCTGGAGTACATTTGCAGATTTTCGCAGCCGGGCAGTCAACATTACTTTCCTCCGAAATTTTCTCGTCAGTGTCTCTTTCTCGTTTCGAGTGAATATTTTCTTTCATATTCCTGTTTTCAGCATCGATGGTTTCTACACCAATGCCAAAAGAACCATTTCCAGCATCAAAGTTATCGCGATTATAGTAACCTGCAACCCATAAGGCTGATTTCGCCTCCTGTATAATTGACTTCGTATCTATAGCTTTTAATTCGTCCGAAGGGTCTATTCCAAGAGTGCTTTGCGGGCGAAGGTTAAATTTTGAGAGGTTTTTGCACGTATAAATGCCAAAGTTTTTACTGTTACCAGAAGCTTCACTATCCTCACCAGTGCTATTTGACTGCAAATATAAAAAACGATATCACAAAAATTTGTTTATCAAAAAGAACATGCATCGAAAGTCTTTCGAAAAAAGAATTATGGGTAAAACTCAGTGATGCAACGCAGCTTGGGCATCTTTGTTAAAAAACCAAGCGCCCTAGACTAAAAGGGGCCCCGAAATATCCATGTTTTAAATAATTCTCTTAGCTTCAACTGATTTTCAAAAACTTTTCAAGCTCTTCAACTTAAGCTTTGATAACTCAACCACTAGTTAACGAGAAAAATTATCTCGCTATTGTCTTTGACATGCTCTACACATTTGGACTGGAATTTTTGGCAGTCCATAAATAGGGGCGTCACAGTTTCTCTTAGGACCCTAGATGCCTCTTTTGCACCACTGGTAAAACTACAGTGAAGTAAAAGACAGACTTCCATATTGTCAATACATTTTGAATCTATGGCAATGTTATTTAAATGTGCATTAAAATGTATAAGCGAATCGTGCATAAAGTCACTGAAAAGAAAGACTTTTGGTATTATATTTCCGGCACTTAATGTGTTCTAACACATTGTAACGATATTTGAGTTAGATAAATGTTTGCTTATGTATGTCTGCCAGCCTGAAAGCATGTCCAGCCGCTTTTTTTATATCCGACTAAGGTACTAAAAATTTATTGATGATGTTAAATCAAACTTCATTTATAATTATGGACAAGATTTGCTGTTGTTAGGAGGACTGGGTCATTAACTTCGTTAAAACCTGTGGTAACTCCCTACCTTGTGTACTTTTATTCGTTCGTGTTATATATTATAAAACGGTCTAAAGTATCACATATTTATTCCTTTTTTATCCACTATCGTGGATAGCTCAACAGATTAAGGTCTATCATGGATCCTTGAACACACTCACATTTCTCCACTGTTCTATTAAAGGAAATATGTTTGCATCGACTTGATTCAACTGACATTGCATTGCGAACTGTGTTGAATAAACAGACGGACACTTGCTTAGCTCTTTTTTGTCTAGGATGCAGTGATACGTGTTCTCATCAAACCTAAAAAACAAAAGGCGTAATTACATACCTCCATTGTTTTAAAAGCACTTTTCAATCAATCCTTTAACAAAATCGTGCAGTATTAATTCTAGAGTCTTTGATAATACAACATCAAGCTAAAAGGCTCTTTCTCAGTGGTACTTTTATGACATAGAAAAAGGTTAAAATGTCCTGCAGCATACCCTAAGTATCATAACATACCAAGTTTACCGTAATGCCTCAAACCAGCGCCCCCCTCAAATAACAGCCCCCCTCGAATAAGCGCCCACCCTAGAGGTGAAGTTATTGAATAAGCGCCACCCTCGAAAAAGCAACCCCCCCTCAAATAAGCGCCTATCCTTCACTCTTTAGAAACGAGCGTTTATTTGAATTTTCAACGAAAATATAATTGGGAGGCAATTCAACAAGAAAGATTAATGAACAACACAATTTGCACCCAAATCTACTTTTTAAAATAGCACCCCTATCGATTTAGCGCCTCAAAAATTAAATAAACACCCGGGCGCTTATTCGAGGCATTACGGTACCAGTAAAAAGGCGAACAAAAGCAAAAACTGGTGCCCGAAAATCTTGTCAATGCAGTTTGCAATACCTTGCCATCCATTGCTGATACAGTTGGTCATTTATGACTTCTTTCTCTGCCATATGCACCACCATAGTCACTTTGCTACTGCCTTCAACCTGACATTTTTCAAAACTTTTGCTCTTTGCGATTGCTGGAATGTATTTCCTAGCAGGACAGTCAATTATCAGGAATGCTGGCCCTGGGATAGGAGCTTCCATAACCTCGTCTGGAGTTACCTTCAAACAGTATTTTATATAAAAACTACTGAATTGACAAATAGATCAACTCTTTGCAACCCTCTTATTATAGCAATTCCATAAGAAGATTCGAAATAAAAACTAGACATAAAAAGAATTGATTGCTTGGCTGAAACATTATTATAAAACTTGTTTCAATGATAAAAAATTTAATATTGTTTATACATCCTTGGCCTGTATACAAATAGCAGTAAGCTACACTTTAATACAGTGCTTTGTATCGCTTTCAGTTTTCACAAACAAAGAATCTTGCCACTTTCAACTAAACATTGAATACTACTCAATGGTCTCATATTCTGAATTAAAAGATCTCATCTGAATTTTCAAATGTAAAGTTAGAAACAAATCACTCAATTCAAATGAATGAACTGTGTTTTGAAAATTAATTTATCAATATCTATGTAAAAATAAATATGGCAAACTGCTAGATAATAAAAAACCTTAAAAATCTAACACAAAATATAGATAAAAGCATACAATGCAGCACATATCATTGAATAACAGACCAAATCTCATCCATTTTGCCTGAGTCTCACAATTGCAAGAAGCAGGAAACAATAGAAAGCATGATAGTAACAGAAGAGCTGATTAGTTAGAGCAATAGATCTCATGCATCTGGGATGATAAACATGACAGCTATGTAAAAAATGAAACAAACTCATTCTTACAACAACAAATTAAGCAGCCAGAAAGCTTTTGGAAGTAAGACTATTTTGAGCTATACAACTAACTCAATCTGACTGCAACTTTAATCCTGTTTTCATGAAAGACAATTTTGTACCTAGCCCAAAAGGTCACAACCTAAGATTCAAAAACACTATTGGCATTCCAAAAGTCAGAAGAGCCAAGAATGATGTCAGATAATTAGATTTTCAAGGTCTTAAGATCCTATAATCAATAAATACAGCCCAAAATACTACACAGTTAGACATTTTGATGAATACTTGGTTCCTTTGTTCTATCTAAAAAATTGATTAAGTCGACTAACCAAAAGATCTTATTTTTCAGCATCTTTGAATGATTCAATATTCAATAGATAATTTTTTAATATTACCTACAATTTTACCACTTGGCAGTGTAACACTTTGCCCATCTTTCAGCTGTCTAAACATTGGTCCTTTTGGTACACCAAGCTTAACAGCTACTTTTGGTAACAACTTTCCTGGATAGTCTCTAAGCTTTGCAATGTAACAGACAACCGGGTTAAGAAGCGATGGCTTAATAACAAAGGAATGTATAGCATCATTATCATCTCCACTTGACTTGGTATCCCAATGACTGCATGCCCTATCTTTGTTCTTCTCTGAAAAATAAATTATGCCTAAAAATATGTTCTAAACTAGCATTTTGCCTAAAATATAAGTTCCTAATCAATTGGCAACCCATCCCAATGACCTGAGCAGATCTAGATAAAATGGGAACCTTTCTGCATTTGAAATTCTTTTCCTTTGCTGGAAAAAAAAGTTTTTCAGTCTGCATGTTGAAAAGTTTTTAGCCACTAAACAAACATTAGAAAAACTTACTAAACATATGATTGTCCCTAAAAAGTATATTTTGGGCTTGAAACAAGTTCAATTAAATATGTTTGCTAAACAAAATAACTTTCAAACTTCACAATAAAAATACATCAACCCTTTATAATATAGTTTGCAAAACAAAAAACATAACTCAAAAATCTCCACAATAATTACTACAATCATTTGTTGACTTTCTTATTGGTACTGAATGGCAATTCAGCACTTCTTCTCTGTTTCCATTTTCAAACAGTTGTCTTCCTTTAATAAACACATCATTTTAAGAAAACTTTATATGGAAATGTTCAGTTTGTTTAAAATCATTTTGAAAATTTGAGGAGCAAACTTTATGTTTCTAATTGGGCTCAATCCTACCTGGGTAAATGGTGACAGGCTTAATTGTGATTTCATCATCTTCAAAAGTTTCAGTGTTTTCATGTGAATATTCTGTCACTTTGAAGTCAACATTATCCTTATTCAAGAAATATCTAGCACCATGTATGACTTTCTGCAAACCTGAAGGGCCATATATGTTGATGTTCTCTCTAAAGGTAAAAACAGTATAACAATCTTTCTGTAGTACATAATTGGCTTCAAATGAAAAAGGCAAACATTTTGAAACATAATGCTAAAAATTTTTGTCTAGTACCATTCAGAGTATAAAACTTCAGAACATCAACTGGTAAAACAAGCATTGTGAATAAGAATGTTGTGAAACACGCAAGATGAATTAATGAGATTGAAGTAACTAAATAGCTATCGATTTTTGCTTCTTTATGTGCCAACTTGAGAAATCAATATATTATATTTATGTTTTATTATGTTTTAAAAATAGCAAGAGGTTTTATATGCCTGAGGAATCATATCTCAGACTGCAGAGTTTGGCAAGTTCACACACGAGATATATTTTCCAAAATGTTCCTGCACACTCGATAAAGAGTGTGGCTTTTCAAGATATGGGTGTGATATGGGTGTGTTATATTGCTTAAAGGAGAACTGACACGCAAAAATAAGTTTGGCTAAAACGGTAGTTTGTGACAAGCAAATTCCAGGATCGAAAAATTTTTTTAAATCACAGTTACCGTTTTTGAAATACAGGCGTTTTAAGTTGAGAAACGACAATTGTTCCGACAACTTGAGACTCGAGGCGAAAATCGTCACGAGTGGACGATCATCTTTGACGTCACAAGTGACATGTTCTCAGCACGTATTGTGTTTCTCTATAGAAACCTTTAACAAAATGCTGCGGACAAATGTTTATTTTGTGCATGTGAAAGAGCTAATTTTGCATTTTTGACACATAATTGACTTTTTCAATAGTTTGGGACTCTGAATCGGAGTTTTATTACACTGATTTCGAAACAAATGGAGAGTTTCAGCCGTCTGAGTTTTTGCTACCAACCAGCGCTGCCGCTTGGGCAGACAGTCGTCCCATGGCTCAACAGTGACGATATTGTAAATAAAGAACAGACTGGAAGTACAAACTGATATGGAATTTCTATTAAAAATAATGCTATTGCTACAATCTAAATGAGATCAGGTATCGTAAAACTAGAATTTTATTTCAGATTGAGGCGTCTTTGTCTGTATGGCCTAAATTGGCTAAAATGCCCATGATGCCCTAAACGGAACTGCAAGTTATTAATTGTTAATATAACATTCTATGATTGTTTTTCAATGTTTTAAACGCGTTAACTGTATAGTGATATTGAATAGTAAAGGCGGGTTAAAAGTTGACTTGTGCGGATTATATGCCATTTTCACCGGGCGTGAAGCTTTTCGGGAACTGATAAGTTACCTGGCAGTTGAAAAATCTGGATTTACGAATTAGGCTCTTAGCTATTAGCCAAAGAACTTGATTTCTTAGTCGAAAAAATGCTGTTTAGTTGTCATAAGATATCAACTGGCGCATTATCTTCTTTTGCAAACAATTTTGACTTGGGTGGGGGATGGTCTTCTTCTAGACTAGATTATTCCCTAGTATCTCAACCTCTGTTAAAATACAATAATCAAGATCAGTGAAATTATCATTTAGTCACACTCGCAGCTCCCATCAAACAAGGTTTTTTCTCGAATTCATATTTCTGCACCCTAAGCAGGTTGCAGGATCGCTTTTACCGCTGTCTCCACTAGATTTCATTTGTCTTTTGGCTATTGCTTCAAACCCCCCCCCACCCCCATATTGCGGTTTTATTTGTAATTGTAAAAATAAAAACTTTGAAGAAACGGCATCAGTTTTCTAGCAAAGTCGACTCCTTTTTTCACAAGCGTTGAGGTTCTTTGAATGTTTCAAAGCATGCTGGTTCGAAGATATCATGGCATGAAAATAAATTTTATGTGGATATAAGCGTCTTAGCAGACATGTAGCTAGGATTTTCTAGCCTCTATATACTTATAAATGAAATGCCTGACAATTTTTTGTCTTTTCACCGCGGACTTTTTTCAATAAAACACGAAACTTCACTTGTATTTTCACCGTTGCGGTGAAAGCCTTTACAACGGCATTGTTAACATGTCACTTGTGACGTCAACCGAGAATTTTAACAACTCCTGGCGATAATCTTGTTTCCGCTTCGGGAAATTCCCGAGTCCTGGCTGTGACGTATTTGACGGATAAAAGTGCAAATATCAGAAAAACTGCGAACCTAAGAAGAAAACTTTTTCCAGATTTGAAATCAGCGACAAATTTTGCATCGAATAAGCCAAAGTTATTTTTGCGTGTCAGTTCTCCTTTAAGGGTCATTCCATGTCAAATCAACAAAGCCTTCACTTCTGTGACACCCATGTACTCAGATTGATTCAAAACTTTGGTCAGGTTGTCCCTTTTGTAACTTGAAAATACACAGAAAATTTCAGCAACATTCAAAGGCAAATGAAGAATTAAGTTTCCTCAAGATCTTCAATATAAACTTCCATTGGTTTGATAGCAGAATAACTATCAACCATGTACATTACTTGCACGCTTGCACACTTGTCTGATATTTTGCTCTGCACACCCAAGATCTCGTTGGAAACCGCCATAATCTGCAGTCCGGATCATATCTATAGCAGAGATTGCTGATAAATTAAAGCTACTTGTATACGTACCTTCCAATATCTCTAAGTGTCATGGAGAGTCCCAGAAACCCTCCAAGATGGCTCCATTTATTTTGTGTCACAAAAAGTGTACCAAGCTTTCCTACTTTAAATTTATGTTCTGTGAACAACCTTTGGATGCCTTCACCACAATTGAATAAATATCTAAAAAATAACATGCAACAAATTGTTGATAAAATGATTTCTCTAGAATTTAACAAAATTGCCTGACTTGTTAAATCAGATTTATCTGTAAGTCTCTAAGTTTCAAATTATTTTAAAACCTAATACCATAAAGTGGTATGTTAGCACAGTTCCTAGAAGAGCATAAAATTCTATATACATTGCAATGCGGTTTTCGTGCTAGCCATTCTATTAACAATGCCTCTGGTTAGTTTAACAGATGCAATAAAAAACTCATTAGACAATAGAAAATTTGGTTGTGGGATATTCATTGATTGACAAAAGGTTTTTGACACAGTGAATCATGATATTCTTTTGATGAAACTCGAACTCTATGGAAATAGAGAGTTGCTCAAGGGTGAGTTTTAAATCATATCTTTCATGCAGGAAGCAATGTGTTTCAATAAATGGATCTAACTCTAGTGATCTCAATGTTACCTAGGCAGGGTTCCACAGGTTTCTGTTCTTGGCCCTCTGCTTTTCTTAATTCACATTAATGATTTACCCCTTGCATCAACAAAATTAGCCTTCTACCTGTTTGCTGACGATACCAACATCTATTATGAAGCTGAAAGTCTTGCTACGCTGCAGAGTGTGGTTAATGAAGAATTGAAAAAAGTAACTTCAAAATAACTTCAAAACTTTTAAGTCCTAAAACTTATGGTATAAGGTTAGTGCGCTTCTACTGAACTAAATGCTGGAATGACATTTCTGTTGACATAAAAAATCACCTCCCGCTAATATTTTTCGACAAAAACTCAACGCCACTACGCCTTCCTCTTTCATCAAAGCCACTACAAAAGTTGAAAATAGAAATTTTAATTTAGAAAGTCACCATCTGCCTATAGCTTATGTTTTCCTTGAAGAAATCAAATTTATGTGAGAAATTTTAAAACAGGGGGTGCTCTCTCCTCGATTAGTTTAACTACTGAGAGAGTTCATCCTTCATGTATCCTTGTATTAATTCAGTGTTGAAATAGAAATTTTAATTTAGAAAGTCACCATCTGCCCATAGCTTATGTTTTCCTTGAAGAAATCAAATTTATGTGAGAAATTTTAAAACAGGGGGTGCTCTCTCCTCGATTAGTTTAACTACTGAGAGAGTTCATCCTTCATGTATCCTTGTATTAATTCAGTGTTGAAATAGAAATTTTAATTTAGAAAGTCACCATCTGCCCATAGCTTATGTTTTCCTTGAAGAAATCAAATTTATGTGAGAAATTTTAAAACAGGGGGTGCTCTCTCCTCGATTAGTTTAACTACTGAGAGAGTTCATCCTTCATGTATCCTTGTATTAATTCAGTGTTGAAATAGAAATTTTAATTTAGAAAGTCACCATCTGCCCATAGCTTATGTTTTCCTTGAAGAAATCAAATTTATGTGAGAAATTTTAAAACAGGGGGTGCTCTCTCCTCGATTAGTTTAACTACTGAGAGAGTTCATCCTTCAAGTATCCTTGTATTAATTCTCAGTGTTGATGTATTAATTTTTTATGTGTAATGTTGTGTTGAAGGAATGTATTAGTTTCTTATTGTATAGTTAATTTGAATAAATTGTATGTAGAGGAATTTAAAATATGAAACTGAACTGAACTAAACTGAGCGATGGGGGTTTCCCGCGCGCCTACCCAAAACCAAAACACTGGCTGTCTTGTAAAATATAGAAATCGAAGAAATGTAAAGTAGTTAGAATTAACCTTTTACTGTCTGTAAACAAAAATAGACTTGGAGCCGTGTCTTCAATTCCGCAACTAAGCATTTGAAGAAACACTTTGCCACTTGGAAGACTGCTTAACTTGGCAGCCATGATGCAATTACCCTGCAACCTCTCTTTCATTTCTAGTTACACGAGGCTCTATACATTCGGATCTGACGTCATAAAAATAAATTTTTCGAATGGGGACGTAAATTTAGTCACCAAAAGCAAAATGGAACATCATCTTAAAATAAAGAATGGAGACTCAAAAGAAGAAAAAAGAAAAGTTCTTGTGAGATGATAAATTAATCTTTCAAATTCTTATTGCTTTAACAATCCAATGCTAAACTGTGCCATCTCGGCTAACGTGTAGGAATACTGCTCTTCAGAAGTCTTAAAAAGTCTCTACGTAGAATTGTATGATATAAAATTACAGCACAGTCTTTCACAAGCACTGCCTGTCCTTAGAATTACATGAAATGGCTTACAACACTTACACACATACAATGGTCATAACCGCCGAATAGTTTTGGAGGCTTTGGGGGTAAAACCAAGAGACAAGGCCCCAAGAAACTTTTAATTACTACATTAATCTTACAGTCAATTTTCTGCAATCGGTTAAAACTTTTTGCTATTTGCTACGTTTGCTACCACAAATGCCTAAGCCAAAATAAAGAACATAATGCAAATATGACAAAATAGTGACAAACCGTATTGTGTTTTAACAATAGACTTTTCAACTTTGTCTAACTCTTTAAAGATCCTGTCGTTCTGCCTCATAGACGCAGGGACTGCGGGCAAATGGGGCACCCACTTTTCAAAACTCCAGGTAAAATGCCCCTTTGCAGCTTGCAAAGTTGCCCTTTTTGCCAACTGCATAACTAAAAATTGCCCTTTAAGTACTTAGGCTTTATATGAAATGAGCAAAGAGAGTTGGGGTGACCTTTTGGGACCACGATTTTAAATTTTTCTATGCGATCTGTTTTTAGAAACACCAAAACTACAAACTCAAAGCTAGGCCACAGAAAGGTGGGGGCGGTGGTAAATTAGGGGGACCCAAGAAGTTTCCAGTTTAAGAAAGCAACTAGCTGGGGAAAACAAAATTATGCCTAAATTTCTTTTAAACATTTTAAACAATTGCAAGAAAATGTTTCCAAAAAAATTCTGAAATGTATTTTTAGCTAATCTAAAGGGCATTGTCGTCAAATGTTTTCTGCTCGCCTTGCTTGCAAAGGGCTTCATCTTTCCATTTTGCCACAGGGTCTCCTAAATCTCTCGTTGACACTGTTCACAATTAAACTAAGAATGATATCATTGTAGGCAAGCTTCCAGAAACACCCATTTTTAACCTCATTGGAATCTTTGTTAGAAATTTTTCAAAGACATCCAGATTCTTCTCTGAAAACTTTTTAATAAAATATATTTCTAGTTTGGTCCCTGGTCTTAAACATTTCTTAAGCAAGAGTTCCAATTTGGTTTATTAACAATCTGTAAGAACTTTTTAAAGATACTTCGTTTTGTTATGGTAATTCGAGAAAAATCTTGAAACCTAAGGCTCAGTCTCAAAACAACTCGGCATCAAAACAGCGTGACCATCATTAAAACACCAAGGTTAAAGTTTCTCATTCTAAGCTAAATTGTTAAATTCTTCCCTCAGCTGATGTCCTTGTTAAGAGCAATTTTAACCAAATAGATGTCTTCAGAAAATACATGTGAAACATCTCATTTAGCAGTTGCAACAACACTGTGATTTTTTAGTGGAAACAAAGGCAAATTACAGTTTGAAGCACTGTACAATTTCGAGAGCGTTGCCTCTTCTGAGAAATGCCCACTACTGAAAGATCCTTAAAAATGCCTTTTGGGTTTGAAACTTGAAATAAAAAAGAAACTATTTAATACTGTAGCATGTGCTTCCCGGAACTGATTGTTATTGTATGTAATTTAATAATGTCATCGTCTCTATCTAAATCTTTGTACTCTGTTGTTTGTACAGTATGTCTGTTGTTCTGTCTTGATGTGTTGATTAACAAACTGCGATGTTGTATAGAATGATTAGATCTAGATTGTGAAGATTAGTTGTTGGATTGAATATGAACATATGAACATATGAACTTGTATTTGTCTTCCTCGCTACAATACCTATATATTTTCAATCGTTGGTTACAGGGCGGAAAACCATAGGCTCCAACAAAAGGTTTGAAAGTGGGGGGGCAGGGGAAAATCCAATTCCATAACGAAAAGCTTTATTGACCTTAAGAAAAGGGGGGGGACTGGAAACTGGACCCATGGTTTTCAGGGAAACTTTGAGGAGTATAACAGCATTTGAATTCTTGTACTATCGCAGAAAATTGAAAGTCAAATGGAAAGAACATGCAACAAATGTCAACATCGAAGAGGAATCGGCAATAAGAGAAATTTAGCAAATAGATTTGTTCAGGAACACTTGGAGGATCCAGCGGTTAATTGGCAAGCCTGGTGTTGGAAGGATACATGGATGGTAAAGGAGATAGAGATAAGCAGAAAAGAACATGGGCCGAACATAACGAACAATGGGCAACATCTACCAGTCTAGGAGAAGCAAAGAGAAACAGGGCATTTTTTGACATATAAAGTGGTGGGGAAATTCCTCAACAGCCCCTTTAATTGCCCCACCAGTGGAACATGTTTGCCCCACCACTCAAGTGCCCTTATGATTCGGTGACTTTTTCACTTTTTACTTTATTTGAGATATTTGTGGATGAAATCTTCATTGAACAGGTTTCAAATCCCTTGAACTGGATTCAATTTTTCCCTGGAACTGCTGCTTCTATAGGTGATTTCGCTTCTAATTCACAAAGTTCTATGGTCTATAGCAATGTTTTAAGAATATTTTTGAAGCCTGTTTATCTGTAAATTCTGCCTTTATCTATATGCCCTTTTCTCAAATGCCCCGCCAGTGGAAAATTCTTAAAAAAATTCCCTAGAGAGAAATGTTGGAAAAATGGTAGTTTGTGGAGGAATTTTTTGTCAATCTTCGGACCGAAGACGACACTCGATGATGATGATGAACAAGAGCTTTTGCAAGCCTCTTAGGCTAGTTAGTATCCTGTCCAGTTGTATCTCCCTAAACTCTGCAAATTACGGGTGATTTTTACAACACGCATTACGAACAAGGAAGATTTGCTTACACAAAGGTTGACTCGTAATAACAAGCTCAAAGTAAGGGTTAGGCTCAGTCAGAATCTGCCTAGATAAATGGATAAAAGTTACGTAGTTCATCTGCACTCTGATACTCACTGCACTCTGATACTCAAAGTGACATGATATGCCTTGTGCACGAATGAAAATAAATTTTCTGTAAAGTTAACGTCCTAAATTAGCTACATCACAATTTATTCAATTAGGATCGTAAATATGAAACTCGTATCATTTCATATCGTTTACCATTAAACGTATCATGGTTTCCACATACGGTGACGGAAATTGCACGGATGTGGGGGCAAGAGCCCCCAGCTTTCTCTAAATTGTCGGCTAAAAGGACATTATTTTGACGATTAATTTTGTTGTTAATCGTCAAAATTGCTTGTTTCTGGAGGTTTTCAAAATTTAGCTTTTCCTTTATATTTTATCAAAATTTTCCGTAACTTACCAAATTTCGGTCAAACTTTACAAATGTTATATTACTCAAAACATAGTAACATGCCATTGAACAGTTCAGATGACATGAAGTTGGGCTTTACAATGTCGAGACAATTGCCTAAATTTGACCTGGTTTTTAAACCTGTAAAACCAGTCAAAATTTTTATCTATTTTTGTCACGTCCCTCGACAGTCGTAGAGATACCCTTATCCCTTATCCCAAACGAAAACAGGCTAAAACTGGATCGGAAGTTGATAAATTTTGACCAATGGCCTTGAAGAACACATTGGCCAATGAAAACGGAGAATTCACGATTTTATCCAATGAGAATGTCTAATACCTAAGCCAATCATAATTCAATATAAACGAATACCTCATTATGGTTTCACAATCAGCAATCAAAGGAACGTGTTGATTTCAGTAGAACGCGAAGAAAAGAACTTGAGAGGATCGACGAAACATAAAAAATGGCACGTACAAAACAAACTGCCCGTAAATCAACTGGAGGAAAAGCTCCACGAAAACAGCTTGCCACAAAAGCAGCAAGGAAGAGTGCACCTTCAACCGGTGGAGTGAAAAAACCCCACAGATATCGACCAGGAACTGTCGCACTTCGAGAAATCCGAAGATACCAAAAGTCCACTGAGTTACTTATCAGGAAGCTTCCTTTTCAACGTCTCGTAAGAGAAATTGCCCAGGATTTCAAAACAGATCTGAGGTTCCAGAGTGCTGCGATCGGGGCTCTTCAGGCATGTTTTTATCGATCTTGATCACTTAAGCAGTTCTGGATATCCTTGGCGCCATTAGGCCCATTATTTTGAAACGGCCATTGTCTGAAAGAGGTTTTCAGAAATTTTTAAGTGTGCGGCCAACTTAAATTAACAAACGTATGTTTAAGTTTTTCAATTTAGATAGACCTATTTCTCGGTAGGATTCGTCTAATCAAATACATTCACAGGATTCCTTAATCGTGGATTTAGTCTGTCCGCTGAGATATTCCATGTGTTTTTCAAAGGAAAAGTGACTGGTAACTTTCGTTGACGCTGGTCAATCTAACAAAATTTTCTTATTTTGCATCCTTCTTTGAAAGAGTGTCAAAGGTCATTGTATTAAAGTTTTTTAATATTTCTTGCTGGGGTTATTACCCCAAAATTTTGTATTATGTCTGTTGTCAACTTTGATCCTTTTGTTTACAGGAAGCCGCTGAAGCATATCTTGTCGGTCTGTTTGAGGACACGAATCTCTGTGCTATTCACGCAAAGCGCGTAACCATTATGCCTAAAGACATCCAGCTTGCTCGAAGAATAAGGGGAGAAAGAGCTTAGATCGATCGAAAGACATTGCAACTGTAAATAGGCATACTGTATTAAGTTATGTTATTATTAAGTTTTACCTAGCAACTTTTATTTTGATACCGTAAAAGTCTACTGAAGACTATTATATGTAGGGTAGAGGCTACTTGATTCATTAGAAAATATTTGGTTTCAGAACGAAATATGTAATTGCAAAGTAATATGCCATGACAATAATAGTCAATAGCTTAATCAGGCCCACTCCAAATTTTCATGGCAACTTTCTTCTTTAAAATTGCGGAAGAAACTTTGTAATTTCATTATAATGCAACATAAGAAAGGATGTATTTTCTGCTGAATCTTGTGTGTATTTATTGTTTAAATCAATAACACTTTTGTTACTGTTGGAAGTAAAATACTTTGGGCAACTATTATGCTTAAATGTGAAAGAAGGGAGAAAATTCTAGCTTTACAAAGTGGAGTTACGGGCTCAACAATTGGCTAATTTTATGCATTTTGGCTGCCCTGATCCAAGCATCCATGAAGTTTAACTGTCAAAATTTCCCACTGCAAAAATTTTTTTGTGAGATTTGGTATGTGGAACAATTTCAAATGAAAACCTGAACTATGCCAGGAAGAGTCTGATTCTTGTCTGCAAAGGCCTGGTGTGGTTCTGCTAACATGGTACATAATTATTTCTAGAGAGTAGTTTTGTTGATAATTTCCTATGCACCTTAATGAATGTATCCTGTCTGGATTTTGGAGAATAGATCCCCCTACATATATATTAAATTACATATTTCACAAAGTGTAAGCTGAATTTTAAATCCTAAATAAACAGTCTGGCTGATTTGGTGTCTTTGTTTGCCTCTTTTTATTTCATGTGTGATGCAAAATGGATTCACAAACATTGATAGCAGATGTTTCAGGACTGTTTCAGTTACAAGTGCAGAGTTGTTACAGTTGAGGAGATTTCAAAATTGCCTGTGTGGGTGCTGTATGGCGGGGACTTTCACATAATGCGTATACATAAAAATTGATATTCTACACCTCTTAGGCAGTTATACTTTTCCAGTGATCCCCCTAGTGTGCATACATTTCATAAGGACCCCCCCCCCTTTTATTTGAATTTATATTACAGATATTGTGTGAGGTAACACTAGAAAAGGATATATTTTTGAATGAAGACATTTATCATAAAAGTTCAGATAACCTCACCCCCCCCCTTTAAGCCACTCTATTAAGCACTTCTCTTGAGCCCTTGTCATCAAAAAAGAAAACACACTGAATGGGTCTCTACATGATGAGGGTAAGATCATGTGCATTAAAAATGACCTGTGTATATATTTATTTGTGTGTGTTAAAAAGTCAGTGGAATTTTGTTTAGAAGATGCCCAAGGGATTATTAATTGACCTTGGTGACTCTAATAAGCTCCCCTCTAAATAAGATTGAGGAAGGTTTCAACAATTTGGAATAAACTAGCAAGCAATAGTTGAGCATAGCATGATTCTTTTTGGATCGCCACTTTGAACCTTTGATCTCATTCCACACATAGTTACAAAGCAATTATCTAAGCAATTATGGCAAAGAGTTTTACCTGAACACAGATCCATGGCTCCACCTTAAAATCAACAAAAGATCAATTTTTTAGACAAAACTGTATCAAAAAGCATTTTGTGTGCATATTCAAACTCTGTTAGCCATTCTGCCTGTATGCAAGACTATGCCTTTCATCAGACCCCTTCTATGTAGGAGACTATCATAGAGATAGCATATGGGGATTGTTGTACAGGGACTGAGTCATGGTACAAGGTGAGTTTATGGAACCAGTTCCAGATCAACAAATATTACAGCAAAAGAGTTGTGACTCAATGCCTTTTAAAAAAAGTACTGATGTTCAGCAAACATTTTTTTGGGATGATGGGAGACTCTGATTTTATGCAGAATCTCTTTTTTACCTAACCACTATGGTAATGGGTTGAGCACATCTCTGTATTTGCAAGTTTTCAAATGATGCTTTTAAAAGCCAGGGGTGCTCTAATAGTTTTGTTTGTGCCATCAAATTAACCTAGATTTGAAGTATTTCAATTTTGATGTTCACCTCTTTTTAATTGACTTGCATGATTAGGCTTCTGAAACAAGTTTATTTCTAGCTTGAATCAACAACTCAAATTATTTTGATAAAACACTTTGTTTTCTCAGAATTTACATATAATATATATGTAATCATAAAGCAAAGGCTGACAGGAGGAAAATCTTTCCACAAGGTATCAAACCACTCTTGGTCGTAATCAAACTCCAGTTTGCTGCTTCAAAAACCCATGTTCATTCCACTGAGCCAAACAGCCCAATGAAATGAGCGAGGAATCTCTGAAGCCAACACTGGAGATTTCACTGTGGCCAAGGTAGTTTTTGTTTATTCTGTTTCGGCTTTAAGCCTTCGTCAGAGCCATTTTAACCATATATATGTAATCATAAGGCAAAGGATATATATATATAGATGATCAGTAAAAAACAACTGATCAACGTTTCGCAATATGCCTCTTTAGAATAACCTTCTCTTACATTTGGAGCATAAAATAAGGAATACAAAACAATAGAACACATTTTACAAGCAAGGACAAAAATGGCTAATTATACGACACAAGTAAACTTTCTAGGCCCAGTTGAAGGTGAGAAAAGCGGATGAACAAGCTTTCTTCAATCGCAATCCAGCAGGAACGGAACCATGAAAGCGGCAAAACTCCAGAAAACTTCGATGATGTTCCAATTTCATAAGTGACATGAATGTCCGAATAATCAAAATAACATGCTCCATAATGTAACATCCTACTATACCTATTCTAAGCAAACTAAATATATATGTGTTCAAAAGCTCTAAACTGTAATGTTTTTTAAAAATTAAAATAGATGATCAGTAAAAAAACAACTTGATTAACGTTTTGCAATATGCTTCTTCAGAATGCAACATATGCTCTTTAAGTACAGTTTTTTCTGAAACACAAGATTGTATGAATCTAAACAATTCATCTTATTTGTAGATCTGTAAGTTAATATTGGTATAGCACAGTTACAACATCATCATCAGAAAGATCTTAATAAAAATTAATTTTACAATCTACAAAAATGACTCTGTCCTGTGCAGATTTCTTTGATTTTTCAAACAAATTTATTTATCAAAAAACTTATTTATACAATGCAACTTTTTGAATGTAACAAGTTAATTCGCACTAACCAGACAGCTAGAACAAGAAATCAAATATTCTGTCATCTTTCATTGACTTGATTAGAATTTTCATTTTGAATATTTGTGGCTAGTTTTTCTTCTAACTGATTAAGTATTTCTGTTGAAAACAGGTCCATCGGCTCATCATTGAAACAGACCATTACATATATCAATACTGTTAGAAGTCCGCATCCAAATATAAGTCTTTTTAATACATCTCCTTTCTTTATTTCTTGATCTCCAAATGTTTTTGATGTCTTGTAGTCTGATATTGGGGATGATGATAGTTTTATTGGTGTATCTGGTCTATTCTCTTTTTTCATACTTGATGTACAGAAATAAGTTCTTACCAACTTCTTGTAACTGCATGCCAGTCTAGAATATAGACACAAACTCACATCAAATATACCTTTTCATATAAGAACAATTTTATAAGAACGTGTTCCTCAAAATTGGTCAAAAGTTAAGAACAAGCTGAGGCTGAAATTTGGGAAGTGAAATTTTGGCAAAATGTGACCGGAATGGCAAATTTAAACTTAAAAGTGCTCTAAACGATAGATTTCTACTCTCTCTTAAAGACCCTCGTAGGTGGCCCTGTTCATTGCATAAATATTATTTAGTTATGGGGATAAAACCCCAGTCTATTCAACAAAATCTCAAAATCCTTGCAAAAGAGCTCAAAAATTTCGCAAGAAACTTCAAAGAATCACGTCTGCGTACATTATTCTATATATTCTTGGGTCAGAATAAGTCTAGAACACTCTAGTAGCAACAAGATATTAAGTTAAAAAATGTTTTTTATTTCAATCTTCACAACAACAGATTACGCCATTTATGAAACAGTAAATTACTTTCGTAGGATCTACCATTTGAGTTGAACAACAGCTTCTTAAAAACACATGCGGTCGATTTCTTACATTACCTTGAATGTCTTGCTAACACCACTGATTTATTCAGCATTACACGACTGCGTAAGGACGCCATCTTTAAAGTTTCTGAACCGTCGCTGCGATGGTGATAGCCGAAAGCTGCGAAGGAACTAGGAAGTACGACCACAACTTGTCGAAGATTGACAAGGAATGCTTGCAGGCAGCGTTGTTTGTATTTGACAACAAACGGATAAGTAGGCCGAAGTCGTTACTGAAATCTGAAACTATCAACGCATAAACTCAAGGCCATTCAAAATGTCGCTTACATACGAGCAAAAGATGCGATTTACCAAAGCCCTGGCCACAGTTGGCACAGGAACGTTTGCTGCAGGAACAGCCATGCATTTGACAAACGTCCACCCAACCTTCATGAAGGATCTCGACATTGAAAATGCACTCAGGATGCAAAGAGGAATGACGGTTAGGATCGCTCCGTTGGTTGGAAGTTTGGTCGTTGGATTAAGTGCAGCTGGTGGTGTTTACTACATGTCAAAAAACAGAAAAGAGGATTTTCCCTGGCTTGTTGGTTCTCTAACTCTTGCGGCTTTCTTTCCATATACTTTTTACTTTTTGTCCCCTATCAACAGCAGGATTACATCAAAAGATGTTTCAGCATCAGAAGGTGCAGCTGTTCTTAAAAAGTGGCACAGATTTGCATCTGTCCGTGGTGCATCGACTTTTGCGATCTTTGCCTGGTTCGCTTACTTGTCAACAAGGGGAACAAAAGAGGAGGCGTGAAATTGGTCACGAAGAATCACACAACGAAGCTAGGCTGCTTGAACACTGCTTTCAGATATTATTGTGACTTTTTTGTTGCTTCAATGAAAAATAATATATGCTATAGCGTGACATAAGTTGTAAATGCTTGCAGTGGTGGCGCTAGGTTTCCTCCGACAAAGGGGCTAGCACTTCCGACGGAGGGGCTAATTTTTTTAGAGAACGATAGGGCTAGGGGGCGACAAGGAATTGTAAGGGTACTGGAGACCGAAGGCGAGCGTTGCGAGCCGAAAATTCGGGGGTCCGGGGGTACTCCCCCGGGAAAATTTTGGTGGCTACACCCATTAGATTGGCTAAAAATGCTATCAAAATGGTGTAATCGTGTTTTTTACTACGTTTTTTGACATATTACTAAGGGCACGTTTGCCCCCTCCCTTGCCCCTCCTAGCAAAGGGCAGGAGGGGCGCTTGCCCCCCCGCGCCCCCCTTCTCCGGCGTCCCTGGAAATTTTTTTTGAAAGCTGCCTCTAGATAAGCTTAAAACTACTCTAAATCTTTACAACTCATCAAACGTTGCCAATTCAAGTAGGGCCTATCTTTGGAAAGTATGAATTTAAATAAAAAGCAACCAACTGAACTTAAGGAAAACTGGAACACAACGTAACTTTATAGGAACAGACCTCTTATAACAGATTATTATTTACCATGAAATTGATGTGTCGATGAGTTGTTTTGGGATGAGCTTCCTGAATTCTGATAACAGTCCTTTTAGAAATTTCTATTTCCGCCAAAACTTAAAAAATTCGCTCCGACAAAAAAAATTCAAGCATAATTTATCTTCCGACGGAGGGGCTAGCCTCCTCCGACGGGGGGGCTGTAGCCCCCCCTGCCCCCCCTCTGGCGCCACCACTGAATGCTTGGATATTTATGGAAAAAGCTCAAAAATATAACTAGAAATCATTTAGCTACAATTTTTTTGAAATCATTCATTTAATTATTTCTACAATATTAAGAAATTTTTAACATTGATCATATGATTTTATAATGATTATAATATAATTTCAGGGTGCCTACTTTATCAAAACATTCTGTTGTCATTCAGGTTCTGAAATTATGTAAGGAAAGGGGGGGGGATATGGCTGTTTATGTATGAAGAATGAGTACAGTATTTAATTCAGTTTGAAGGCGGAAAATTGTTCTCCACTAGATATTTCTAGTTGATGAAATTGGATGAGTATATTTGACATATATGTTTCAGTTTTGGCAAATTGTTAAACCAGAAGTGCATATACTAGTGCATAACATGAAGATAATGATTGGTAGAGTTGGGGCTTGCGTTTATTGATTTGCATATTGTAAGAATTTGTAAGAACTGCATGTTATACCTGCCAGTTCTGCAATCAGAAGGTGAAGATCTGTGGTCTCAGATATCAAAAACTTTCCTCTGAAATCCGAAATCAAATATGATCATGCAGATGTGGTGCCACAGTGTGCTTGCTAATTTGCACCTTGGGACTGGGGGGGGGGGAGTTGTGTGTATCCTCCTTGGTGTGTTGATTAAGATAGGTCAGCCAGCTCTGGTTGGGGGGGGGGGCAAAGAATTTCTAACTAAAGTGCAAGGGTCTTGGCCTGTGGTCCCCAATTTTTGTTCCCTAAGGGAAATTTTGGCTCCTTTTCATTTAAGAACATATCTTGTTATCTATTCTATGTCCTTTTCTAAATATGACTTCTTCTGGTCCATTATGCTATTTGTGGGCTCTACATTCCCAGTAACAGCCATGACGTAGACACTGCATTATACAGACCAGGTCACGTCATACTGACTTCATAGCATTAAAATTATATGCGAGTTTTTGCCATCTGGTACTACCAAAGTACCCAATATGTTACTGAGAAACAATCATCAGTTCTGGTTGTATCAGCAACAGGCTGTTTCTAATAAAAAAGATGGCAATGCCTGCAGCATGTGCCCTCAAAAAGCAATGCCTACAATGCAATCAGTTTATAAACAAAAGACTACGAGGTAAAATTTTACTTCACGAACACAAGAAACATTAAACATAAATGCATAAATATGATCAAAGCAGGAATTAGCTGGAAATAGGTTAGTGAAATTATATACACTGTTTGGACAAAACAGAAGATTCCGCAAAAACAGTGTTTTCCATACACCAGCTACTAAATTATAGAAAAAGAGTAGAAAAAGTCGTGATGTCTAAAAAAGTTTTAAATCAAACTATCTTTTCCTCTAATTATCTAATATGCTTCTAATGAAACTCGATAATATACAATTTAAAATCAAGATTTTATAATTCAGCGATCATTTAATATATATTACTCGAGACAACATATTTTCTGGCAGCCTTGCTTTGTTTACCCGGATATTGATACAATGAGCCTCTAGAAACAGCATCAAAATAAACCCGAATAATTTAAAAGAAAAATAAAAATTATCATCAATTCGTTTTTTGCCTAAATCATAGTCGGTGGAAATTAAAACATGCACGTGTAATTTAACAGGAATCTGATTGGCTAAAACAGGGCTTTCAATCAACACTGGTTATTAGTAAATACAAATTCTTTCGTACAAGAAAATTTCAAAATGGTGAAAAAATAGCATGAAAATAGGTAATGTATGTACACTTTCGTTCAACTTTCCTTAGAGTATAAAACCCCGGATAATAGAATGCAAAGGTAATGACGTCATAAAAAAGTATTCTTAAAATTTTCGAATTCTAAGCACATTGCTTGAAAGAAAAAAGCAAAATACTACCAAATGAGCAAAATCAGTTGGATCGGTTAAAGATTGCCCAAGAATTGACAAAAGAGTTGGAGATTGCCTAAGAGGTTGCCATATGGTCACATAATCTTGCCCCCCCCCCAAATCACAGTAGTTTGGCTGTGGTCTAGATGTGTCCTAGACCGCTACTTTCAAGTTAGGGGTCTGGAGCACAAGCTATAGAAGATATGCACCAGCACCAGGCAAAAATAACAGTAATGATAAAGCAAGATCTTTCTCGGACCATATCACAGATTAGCCAATTTCGAAGAGATTTAACTGATGTTGTACATAAAGGATAGTTTACCGTGTTCTTCCGCCTACCTGGTAAAATTTCATAAATCCTAACAAGATATTTTGTGACGTCATAACTCTAGACAGTTGAACGAAAAGTACACTTTAGTTACACAATCTGTTTTCAGCAATTTCAAGCCATTTTCAAATTTCAAGCCGGAAGCAAATCAAGGCCGGGGAAGTATCAAGGAAACAGAGCAATTATCAAACTGCCACTTAAAAAATATCACTTACAAAGTATTTAACGCATGATACGACTATAAAAGACTTATAAATGACATTCTTCAATATATACTGCAAAAAGACGACTGAAATAAAAATATCTTACACGGGTAAAAGATAGCAAACAACGCTATTCATCGCGACCAAAGGCATCATTGAGAAACAAAAAAAGGAAGTTGGAAGCACTTTGGAATAGAAATGTGGTTTTTAAGCTTTCGACCAAGAGCATCGAGAAATTTTCTAGGTATTTAGTATAAAAGATAAGAAGCACTGAGCCATGCTTGAAAATGTTTACAGCTTTCATTTGCTAAAGCAACCAGGAGTTTTCGACCTGCAAAAACTACGGAGCACAGCAAACTACTCACAATGAATCTGTCATATTGACCTTTAACTCTGTCATGCTCGAAAACTTCATTTTATGGTCCCGAATCAGTTTCCACTATCAAAATCATAGGCCTATAATGTCCAGGAGATAGTTGACTAGCCCACATGTAAGTGGAGAATATTTACACTAAAAGGAAGTGTGATTCAAGGAAAAAGTGTTCTCACATCAACTAAATGCATAAATCAAAGTGCCATCATAAGTCACGCTATTTATGATATCATTTTAGTCAAAGTTTGGTATACAACAACAAGCGCTCAACTAAGAAAGTAATCGACAACCTTTTCAAATGACCAACTTAGCCCTCAGTTCAGTAGGACAAATACTGCCTAGCTGTATACTTCAGATCACATTTAACCAACGCTCTACCTAAGACCTCTGCACAAAATTCGTCTGGAAACATCTCTTTCCAAGCCATTAGCATTTGGAACGCTTTTTCTCTTGCGCTCTCATTTTGATTTGATTGATCGATTTCGGATAATTTACGCTCGTCAACACTGAGATTTCGACCGACGCTTTTCCACGTACTGACAATTTGGCGTGCAATTTTATCAAGCTTGGCATCTGTAAGCTGAATGTCGTCATGGCAACTCACGTCAAGTTTTCTTTTGGCGTTGCGAATCGGTGTCTCTTCAGGGGTTGGCGGGCAGCGGCAATAACGAGAGCTTCTTGATTCTGAAATTAAGAATTTGATTCATAAAAAGACCCATGAAAATTTGAGAAGACAATCTAAGGCATAGAAGGTAAAAACTAAAAAACCAATGTGTGAACAAAAATGTAAATCTAAAAAGGGAAAATTAGAAAAGAGGAGATAAGGAGTAGTCAATACTGCCAGGTTACAGCCTGAAACTCAGATGGGGGGGGGAGGGGAGAGAGGGGGTGGCTGTGTGTGACCCTTTGTTTTTTAGCAATTAGCTCGAAAAGAGCATACAGTAAAATCCAGTTATAACTTTAAGGGACCGGCGTATTAAGTACGTCATATCCGAAGTATGTTGTAACCAGGGTAAGTAAAAATTGACTAAAACTAAGCACATATTTTGCCGGGACCAAGCACACTAGTACGTTATATCTGAAAGTATGTAAAAACCGAATATGTTATAACGAGCTTCTACTGTAAAATATCAAAAAAAAACAATTCATCAGCCAGAAATCCACGAGGGACATATCGGGTCTTTAATTCGGTATGTCCAGTTCTCGTAGGCGCCCCTCACAATCCTGCGTCTAGGATCACGGTTTCAAACGTAAGAAAATACAGATAAAAAATATATATGTTATAACGATCAACAAAAAATAGCAATCGACACATAGCGCTTATTAAAGTATTGTAGAGTTTGTGGAGGCACCTGAATTGGGCGGATGGGGATATACAGGGTTGGGCGTGGCTTTTTTAACGAAGGGTTGAGTGAAGTGGGAAGTGTAAGGTGTATAACATATACATAGAGGCGTAAAGTTCTGTCTGCCTTAAACGATCGATCAAACAATAATCCTTAACTATACAATTAAATGCAAAAAAATATAATACAATACAATACAATACAATACAATACAATACAATACAATACAATACAATACAATACAATAAAATACATTACAATACAATACAATACAATACAATACAATACAATACAATACAATACAGTACAATAAAATACATTACAATACAATATAAAACAATACAATACAACACAATTGTATAACATACCTTCATGACGAATCTCCATTCTCTTGTTCTCTCTGTTTTCCATAATTTGCTCGTATGGGATAAGTTTAAGTCTTCTTGCAACATTGTACATGGCCTTGATAAATTCATCTGCATCTCCACCTCGAGCCATGAAGTCAGTCAATATTTCTTTAATCGGGTTATCAGCGTCAAATTTGGTGCTTATTTCTCGCCTCGTGTAGCCGAGAGCCAACGCAAGTTCTTTCCATCTGTCCTCTATACTGAGAAGCCCTGGAAATAAATAAGGAGGCCGGAGTTTATTCGAAAGCCTTGTCATCAAGTAAACTTTCATAAAATACAAACAAAACCAAACTTCTTGAAAAGGCCCAGATAAAACAGACAAGAAATTTCCTGAAGATGCTTCCAAAATTTGACGTCAATGGTCTACATGAAGTTGAGCCAGATAACATACCTGCAATCTCTTGTACCGCTGCAGTCTCCAGTTTCGTTGGGATTTTATCATCTAATTTTCTTCTTTTCTGCGAGCTCTGTTAGGAAGAAAGATTTATTTCCCTTACAATCTTTCAACCACAGGAATAACCAAACAAAACATAGCGAAAGGATGCATTGTTAGAAGCAGAGCCGGCGAAACGTATTTGAAAGTGGAGGGGCCAAAATATCAAAGTCTTGAAAGGGCTTAGGAAAGGCCGACACGGGTTGGCGGCAAGGAAAATTTTAGAATTATGATGTCTTAGGGATGGCCAGAAACTGTATCTAAAATGAATTTTGACTGAAGGTGTCGCATAGTCGCGTCTATTGTGATGCTGACTTGAAATAGAAAAGTTTTGCAAAGTTTTAGAATAACAACAGCTCGTAATGAAACCCTTTTTTAGATTTTAAAAGTACCCGAAATAAGATGGAGGAGAAAAATAAATGAAACACGGATTTTATAAAAAAACATTAACGTTGAAATATTAACAGAAGAACTATCAACTAAAAATAAAAAGTTAAGCATTTTTGTATTGTTAAGATATAACTTTGTAACATCTGATCTTAACTTTTTCGGTAACAAAAATTTGAAAAACCTTCAAACTGGGCTTGACAAAATGAGTTTAAATAGAATTTATAATTGCGTCGATATTTTCTCTTTCTTAGTAGGAATGGATTATCCAAACTCTGAAGTTTTCTTGATGATACTTTTCTAAAAACAAATCTGTCCAGACTTTACTTCTCATATCTTTAAAAAAGTTCTTTACAGCTGTTTCTTTTCCTTTTACAGCTGATTTCTCTCTTTTTTTAATGTTTCTGAGAAAGTTTTCGTTAACAAGTAGACCTTGTGTACCACGTTTAGGCAATAGAAAAAACGAAACTCCGTCAATTTGTGCTGGCACCAAGTTATTTTGGACTAGATTTCTCGATCTATTTGCTAAGCCAGCGCTTTGGCACTGCTATTACTTTGGCAATTTTAGAATTAGCTTCGAAGCCTAGAAACTACGAATGCCTTTCAATAGGGATTGGGAACGTGGTGCGTGCGCAATTATACAATCGCTGTCACCCACATAGTTAAGAAAAATAGTATTCAGAATACGAAGGGGCTTAATTTGAGAAAAAGTGTATCTTATTTTCACTTGTGGATTCCAAAATTAAACGCTTCCTCGGTTAGTTACCCACTACTAGGAATTATTTGCGGATTCCAAAACTAAACTCTACCTCGATGAGTTATCTAACTATTAAGAGAGTTCCTCCTCTAAATTATTCCCTTCATGCAATAAAGTTTGTTTTTGTTCTTGTATAATATTTGAATTTAGTGAATTGATATTGGAAGTTAATATTAAATGAAATAAACTTCATCCATGACACTTACTTTTTGCAGTACAAATTCAACGACCTCTTTTTTCACGTCATCAGAAGCCTTAGTGCTGATATTAACCTTTCCAAAAATTCCTTCTTTAAAATACTCATTGAATCGCAATGCAAACTGCTTGTCAAAATCGTAGCCATTGAAAACTTCAATTTTTTCTAAGCCATTTTCTGATTCTCCAACGTCCTCATCGGCTTTAAAGAGAGACGATCTAAGCCTAGAACAATTGAAAGCATACCTATATAAGTCATATTGCAGCAATAAACATGCATGTTGTCTTGTTCATAACATACAACAAAGAACATGGCTGGCACTAATTACGTGATATAATAATTGGAACAACAACATGCTTGTGAAGTAGAAAATATAATCTTTACATCCAAAAGTTGCAGCATTTTGTGCACATTATTCAGAAAACATATCTGCTCTATATTGCTTATTCATCGAGTAATTGAATGATCTCCACAAATTTTGTATAACAGTTGGCTGAAAAGTCAGAACATCCTTAAGTTCTGTGATAAAAAATGTAGTTTCTTGATTTATATCTGTGACTTTTAGCAAAACATTTACTGAAGCTCAAGAAAAATGAACACCTACTGTATTATTATATCTCCTTTCTTAAGTTTTCTTGGTTTAGACCTTCCAACTTCGATGGGAAATTGATAGCAATCCGTAACCGGGGGGTTTCCAGCAAGATGACAAAAGATGCAAAGGCCAAACTGGTTGTTGTGGTGACAGTCACTCATAAGAGCCTGGAAGTAGACTAAATGAGAAAACCAAGGAATGATCCTTGTTACTGTTGCTACAGCTGAAGCAAGGCCATCCCAAGCTGCAGTAAAAACAGTAAAATGTTTTACTCTGAATGTTACAGTGTGTACCCCATCAATACTGGAGAGTTGATAGGGAGTTATGAGCTCACTCCATGATGGCTTTTCACTCAGATCTGTCTGACTTTCCAATATAATCAATTGTGGATCCTCTATTGCTTCAAATACTTTGTCAGCTCCAGGAAGAGGAAGTGTTATCTCAACATCATCTTCAAAATATGTTCCATTAGGACCAAGTACAACAATAGGGCTTGCCAGTGGTTTCTCGATGTTGTCTGGTTTATATTGCGAATCATCAAACAACACAGTTATAGATGCCTCAATGTCACTTGATAAAGATTTAGCTGAAAACTGGACATTAAGTCCACTGACTTCATCGATGGTTAAATCACCCCCATTAGATGCTAAAATATGCTGCTTTGCAGATGCATAATATTTTGATGCCATTGCACAAAACAACGAGAAATGAGTTGTTCTTATTCTCACCATATTGTGCGAAAAATCAAATTCATCTGATGATATTTCTTCCCAGTTGGGAGAATCATCAATGTTTGTGTCACTGACAAAGCATTGCAAAGTCATGCCATTTTCAATGACAATGTTCAAAGGCAGTTCAACTGTGGCTTGGGCAGATGAGTAGAATTTTGCCCCATGAGGTTTTGCATACACTATGGGTGTTGCAAGTTGCATATTATTTGTCAATTCTGGTGAGAATTCAGGATCACTAATAACCTGGAATGAAAACTCTGCTTGTTCATGACCACTGAGATTGACATGAGGAATTTTCAGGGTAATTCCATATTGTTGAATCACTACCTCCTTGCATGCATTGATGTATACATGTTGTGAGGAAGACCTAAATCAAAATAAAAAGCTTAAAAGTGAATGATATAAGAATTTCATGTGCCACAATATTTACCTAAAGATCAAGATTGCCCTAACCTAACTTAAAAGAATCAATAACTATAATTTTTGAAGAGAATAACAAAACAATGAGAAAAAAATATAGTTAGGTTAGGATAAAAATGATAAATAATAAAATGTTGGAGCTACTTATGAAACAGTCTACTAAAGATATCATCTATTCAGTTTTCTGAATCCTGATACAGTTTTCTCTTCTATATGCACAATTTATTCAAACCATTTTGACTGTTACAGTCTATTTTTGTCTAAGCCAAAGAAATCATGATACACCTTCTGGTTTTTAAGAATTCAACCATGATGACAACTCTGGTAATTAATGATCCTATACTCTTGTTGGTCCTGCCTATCATTTATTTATTTGAAGAAAAATAAACCACACAATTACATACCAGAAATCAAGGTCTGAAGTTGAACTGCTAAGCCATTCTGTGTCTGATATGTCATCATCCATATCACTAAAATTATCAGAATGTTGGCTACCATCAGTTCCATCACAGCTGTGATCATCTTGGTTAAATATGAAACTGCTTTCATGTTGTTGACTATAAGCTGACATGCTGCCATACTCTGATGTTGAAAGGCGTCTTTTTGTTAACCCACAGCATTGACACGATGCTCCTGGCTTTCTTGATGGTGACAAAATGCCACTGCTCAAATCAATGTGTCCAAAACAATTCTTTGCTAATGGTATCGTCTTTAATTCTTCTGGTGGAAAACTTCCTTTACTCTCAGAAATAAGATGAATTTGATGGCGAAATATTTTTACAAGGTTTTCAATTGCATCATTTATATTGCTGCACTTTCTGTTCTGGTTTCTTTTGACACAAAAATCTCCATTGATAGGCTTCTTAGTAAAGCTGCATACAAATTAAAATCAAATATATTTCTAAGTTACTGCAAATTGAAAAGTTTTTTGTGATAGATCAGAAAAAAAAATTTTCAGGTTAATTTCTATCTATTTAATAAAGAGATACATTTTAAATGATGAAGCCATAAAAATATAATTCAAATCTTTTTAATTTGTACCATATAGTTAATACCTATATGACACAATTGAGTATGATCTCATTTTACGAATATTTCAGTTTTGACCATATAATGTGAAAGTGCATTATGAAATACCACTTGATTTATAAAATCAGTGAAATAAGTTACAAGCTGGCTGAGAAATAGCAACATTAGCACAGACTTTTCCCCACAAAATCATTCTAATTTGGTCTTGTTTTCATGAAATATTATACCAGTAACCAGGCTAAAATTACGCAGCTTTTTCATTGATAAAAAAATTGTCAGTTTGCTTTATCATGAATTATTAAATGAAAGTAGGTTATTAACTGACATTCCAGTTATAAAATGTTTAACCTTGACCAATTCCTACCTTTCATGAATTGACTTCTTTTCATGCTCTATGTTTTCAAGCAAAAGTCCATCTTCATCAGGTTCAGTTTGTGTACTTGCAGACCTCTCTAGTTGTGATTGGCTTACATGATGCTTTGATATAATTTCATCACACTCTTGCTCATCAAGCTGAGTACAAGCGTTTTTCATTTTCTTGACATACTGTTCATTTTCAAGTATCCAATCTTTTTCAATCTCAGAAATCATCCGCGGACATTCATTTTTAAAAGTATTATCAACAACTTTTATTTCTGAGACAACTTCATATTTCTCAACTTTGATTCCCAAATAGTCTCGCATTGCCTCCAGACCTTTAGAAGCAATTTCTCTAGGAATATTCTCTAAATATGGATTTCTAATGAAAAACACTTTCTGTAACTTTGGTAGCCTCAGAAGGTATTCAGGAACAACCGACAACTGATTCCCACTGAGATTTACTGTCTCTAATTCCTTTAGGTTATTTATGTCTTTAGGTATTATTTTCAGACAGTTCCTTGACAAATCTAGCATCATTAGTCTTCTTAAAAATCCAATTTCATTTGGGATTTGCATCAGTTGATTCCCTGACAGAATCAGAATAGCTAGATTCTCTAGCAGACCAATCTGGGTGTTCAAAGACAAAAGCATGTTATTGCTTAAATCCAAATGCTGCAGACATCTGTGAAATGGATCCTCAAAAACAAGATAGGGTGCCTCTTGAAGGCTAAATCCACATAAACATATTTTTTTACTGTGGTTCTTTATTCCATCTTCAAGAAGCAAGCGAACTGACTTTGAATAATTTGTTGGTTTCTCTTTTGCCATGGTTTTGCTTTTTTTACTGTGGAGAATAAGATCAAAATTTCAATATAACTGAATTTTTTTCATAAATATAACATTAAAATAAATAATTAATTTTTCTCAGTTCTCAAAAGGTTGAGTTGTGGAAAACAATGTCTCAAGTTGTGCTCAAGTCACATTGTCTGAAAGGTTTTTCCACAGAAGGCATCTTACACTTGACCTGCTCTCATTTATGCTTTATCAGTCCCACTTTGGAGCCATGGTTACACCATTGTTTATATTATGGATTTCCTCCATATTCCAACTGTGTTTACTTTGCTCCATAGGACTTATCAGACTTTGAATAACTAACACAAAATTTGAAATTTTGGATAACCAAGAACAAAATTCACACACACAATTCAAGTGAACAACCCCTACACCACCCCTTTCCTTTCTTAACTTGAAGAGATATTAGCAAGTTTTACGTTACCTGGAGACGTTATTACCAACCAGTGACTTGACATAAAACTTTAGTTTAAAATGTTGACTTTCAGTTTATGTTCGGTTCAATACAGGCGGCAATTGGCAATCCATTGTGTGATGGTGTCAAACTGCAACTCTTTGCTTTTAGTTGGGCCTTCTTCTCCAAAAAGCATAAGCAAAAGATAGCTACGTAAAAAGGCCACCTTCCGATCACGCTTAATAGCTAAAAATATGCCATGAATGAGTCACTTTGCTTTTCTTATCCACAAGCTATTGCGATCGTCCAAGAACTTGCAACAAAGCACATCTTTTGGAACGGAAAGTAAGGCAAACACAGTCCTTGCCATCTGGCAAAAACAAGTGAACAATGGAAAGTCCCTCTTTTGGCTCCAAGCCTCGTTTAGAAAGTCGATGAACTGAGGCTGTCGATAAACGGCAACGTTATTGGCCTAGGTCCTCGTGGGGACAGAAATATAAATTTTAGCAAAGTCTTGGAGATGGAGGAAGGTGAAAATAGAAAAGTAAAGAAGTCGAAAAAAACTTCAAAGAAGAAGAAGGCAGATAGATCCGAAAAAGATGGTGACGATGAATGCAAACTGGATGATGAGAAAGTAGTGGACAACTTGAATGATACTGTTGTTGAAGAATTTTCTAAAAGCTTAAAAAGAAACAAACCAAGTTCAGAGGAGTGTGATAAAAATTTGGAAGATGTAAGTTTAAATGATGACAAGAAAAAGAGGAAGAAAACCAAGAAAAAATCAATCAATGATAGCAAAATAGTATTTTCAGATGAAATGAACAATTTAGACGAGAATAAGGATAATTTAACTGAAGTGTTGACGGATATGGACACTGCAAAGTTACAAAAAGTTAAAAAAATCAAGCCAAGAAAGAAGAAAGAAGTGTTGAGTGACGTAGAGAGGTCGGTTACAGCAGATAAAAAAGATCATGTTTCAGGACAGGATGGAACTGATGAAAGCATGAAATTAAAGGAAGTAAACCCTGCAATTGAATATCTGGTAACTTGGAAGAAAGACAAAAACAATTGGTCATTCAAGAAGGTTCGACAAGTATGGCTGTTAAAAAGCCTATATGATGAATCAAAGGTATTTTATCTTTTTTGGATGATCAATAAGGAGCTATAAACCAGCCTGTAGAGTGGTCAGTTGGTCTGCAGAGTATGACAAATGCATACACAAGATCATTTTAGAATTGCTAGCTTTGCACAGCAAGATTTCAAAATTGCAGGCAAAATGGCTAGGACAAGGCTTTGATATTTTTATGAATACAAAGGGGGCAATTATTTTGCATGAGGTCTTGGTCCACCATTACCCATAGCTGCTATACACGTAAACATTTATAAACGAGCAAGGTACCTGGAGATTAATGAAATGCTGAAATTGTTTGTGGCTTAAAGCCTTACAGGTAGAGCATGAATCAAAAAAGGAACACAAAGATTTTAAAAATGCACTCTTTCAGATTTTTTAAAAATATCAGGGAAAATTTATAGTATTCTTACTAGATGTAACAGTGATGCAGCCAATTGCTTATGAAAAGCCATGCAAATTTTGGATTTATTACAAGGCACAGCAAAATTGCTTGAAATAACTCTGCAGACTGGGCTATAAAACTCTGAGCTCAGTGCTTAGTGTGATCATTAGAAAACTTTAAACATTATCTTTGTACAATACTTAGCTAAGTTAGGCTGCATTTGCTTTCTAACTGCATAAAAATGAAAAGAAAATCTAAGTAACATAAATACAATGACTTCAACAGGTTCAAAATGAAAGGCGTTTTCGGCATCTTTTTTAGCTTCACACTTAATGCGATCATCTGACAACTGTATATTAAATCTAAATTTTGTATACATAATATTTAATGTATATACCAAATGAAACTACTTTCACAATCTCAAACAAGTAAAGGTTGCACTGTGTGTTTCATAAAACGTCCTGAAACTATCAAGTTTACAGTTGCTGTGTCAGCTACTGCAAAGTAGGAGGGTTATGGGTGTGGCCTGTGAGTCATTTAGAAGAGACCCAATGTTATAATCATCAACATGTCATAAGTTAGATCATGATTTAATTGTCACATGCTCAATCATGTTTAATAAAGATTCCTTTTGAAGACTTTTCAAGTTTTTAAGAATGCAATTCATAAACAATCTTATTATGTTTTCATTGCTTTGATCATCGCTTTTAGGTATCAAACAAACATTTCAAAATTTTGCTGAAGTATATGAAAGATCTTAAAGGTAATTCAAGACAAGAAACACTGAATAAGGCAAGAGAAATAATGGAGAAAAATGAAGGTAAATAAAGTACAAAATTCTGAATCAGAACCTTGATGTCATTAAATATCATGTCATGTTTTTATTGGCTATCCTATACTGATTTGTTTGTTGACCCAAAAAACTGAAGATGCTATCAATAATTTGTTTGCAAGAAATGTAAAGGCCATGTTAGCAAACTGCTCAAAGGTCTTTAGTGTAATACTTGGGGCAAAAAGTTAATGAAATATTGAAAATTAGGAGTCACTGTAATGCACCAAAAATAAACAACAAGGAACAAAACTAAATTTTAGATAGCTTATTTTTCACCCCAGCATACAGGGTTTTCTCAGAGCAAAAGATCAGCTCCATATGATGGGGTGAAATATCAGCTATCTTAAATTCATTTGTGTTTGTTGATGTTGTTGTTGTTGTTGTTGTTGTTGTTGTTGTTGTTGTAATAACACATCCAGTGCATAGAACTTGCATGACTTTATTCATCATTTTATGTTTGACAGCTGTGCATCTGATTTGTTGCTTTTTTATTCCTGTAAGCTGTTGCTACTGTCAACCACGCATAAATTCCCACTTAGGTGAAGTCCAACATACACCTTAATCAGATATTTCAGATCCTTTCTCAAGGGAACCATTAGGATGACAATTTCTTGGTTTTGTTGCAAAAATCCTATTTATGCAATTCTTTTTCCACAAGAGACTTCAAAAATTGTTCCAAAAATGTAAATATCCCACTTATGCAATGAAAATTGGTAATCTTCATATGCGAAACAGATAGTGAAAAAGCATTTTTGCCCCAGTTATGGAATATCCAGCTTATTTGAGTCCAACTTATGTGAGTTTTACTATATTCCAATTTTTTGTGAGCTGACATCCTTACTTTATCTGATTATTTGAAAATATGGCAATGTGGTGTAGTTAGATTGAGAATAAGAACCTTGGAAATCTTGTATTAAATGCTCTTTTGGTGCCCCCTCCATTGTGCCCTATTTAAATTCCAATTGGTTGGACTACACAATAGACCTATTGTTACGTTTAAAATTGGCAACATAAGGCTAATCCACAATTTTTCCTTGATCATAAATGCACTCCAAATCCTACTGTTAACACTGAACAGTTGTTTTGTAAGACATAGTGCCTTTAAGCTAAGTAAAACTGATGCTCCCTCATTTCTGACGCACCTATTTATTAGGCAACCAAGGGATTCAATTGGCTTGAATATGAAAATCTGTGTAGAACCTTCAATTTTAAGATCTGTTTAATTTTTTAGGTATTTTCTTGTACTATATTTCCATAAGACAAAATATTTTCCAATAACATATAATGATATACCAAAAATGCAACAACTTTGGTCTTCAAAAAATTATGATTTGCATGATCCTGAAAGACACATCAAATGATCATTGTCAGAAATTGCCACATTGTACAAAAAAATATATTTTCTGTTCACAAAATTTGCAAAAAAGACTTTCAATCAAGTCATCTAATAATTTGAATTTGTTTAAGCGTGTGTAATGGCATGCAAAAATTCCTGGCTAACATTTACCATAAAGAAGGTATTTTGTAAGGGTTTCTGGTAAATCCAATTGTGGTATTTTGTTCTCCGCGAAAAGTTTTATTATTGCATTTCTGCAAAGGTTTTTCAAACTAATGTCACAATTCTCAAGAATCACCACTGAAATTGATGAAATGGTTTTGATAAACGATATTTCCATTCCATCCTTTGAAACCGCAAGACAAGAACAAACTGGGAAACTGAAGCCTTCATTAAAGTCAAAACCTCTCAGTAATGAGCCAGTCTCAATATCTGCAAATCTGATCCTGCCATGCATTTTGAACACACAGATAGAATATGCAGGGATAAACTTGAATCCAGCTATGCTGAGACCAGGTGTATCTCCAACCATTTTGGTACTAAAAATAATGTGTTTGATCTTTAGAGCTTTTGGATCAATAAGCAATTTTGTTAATTCCCCTGTTGAAGTGCAAATCAACAGCTCATAATCCTTTGCATTGCTGATAAATTCACTGAATGTTGCAAAATGGTCCATTGGCTCATCATAAGTCAGCTCTTGTAATGAAATTATTTTGCCAAATTTCTTCTCTTGAATACTACATAATACTAATTGCCAGTTTATTGTTGAAGATACCATAGCTAAAATTTTGCTATCTGCTGAAACTGCCATTGATGATACGTAGCCTTGAAATCTTGGGCATTCTTTGATTAGATTTAGTCTTATGACACTTTTGTTTAATTTTGTATTCCAAAGGTCTAAGTAATTTGTCTTTGTAACCGAGTGGAAGTCGTTACATATGGATGTTATAAGAAGTTCATCATTTGTTGGAAAGAATGTACTAGCAGTTACTCTAGCAAATAATATTTCACTTGAATCAAAAAGAAGTCTGGCCTTATGGGCAAGAGAAACGTCATCATTTTCACCATTGATAATTTCATATACATTGACTGCTGGTTTTCGAAGAAGATCGTTGTAAGAGAAACCGTGGATAGCAATTTGGGTTGTGTCTTTTGACATTGTCACGCAATAAACCTCAATTAACTTTAGGTTTTCGGATGCAACTACATAAAAATCATCCTCTAAGTCAGAATCGAAATGCACAGTTGACTCTTGATCATAAAAATCTTGCTGGGCTTTGTCAACAAACTTCAAAAGCATCAATTGGCTCACCGATGTCAAGGTTTTCCACGCGGCAAACTGCTTGACTTTTGGCATATGTCTAACCTGGACGCAAGCAAGATACCTGCCGTTGCAAGCAAATTCAACGTAACAGATAGAAGTCGAATCCTTTGGCTGGCTTTCGAAAGAAAACTCTTTTAATGGTTTATCAGTAGAGTTAGACTGGTCCACGGTTATCAATCTCTTGTAGGCATATGTACTTAGGCCATCTTTTCCTTTGCTCGTAGCCATTGCCGTTGTCTTTTGCATTCTTGTGAGTCGCTTCATTTAACAGCAATACAGCTTGAAAATCAGATCATGCCTTATAAAAACCTATATTGAAAGTTCCAAAAAGAAACAAGATCGGTTTTCATGTGTTTTGTCAGTTTCCATGCAAAGGTGGGTGAAGTGAAGCCCCAAACGCTGTTGTCATTCGCAAGCTGTTGTTGCTGTTGCTGCTTGGAAGTAATAGTAATGAAGAAGGGAAAGGGCGGCAAAAAGAATGAACACCACTGCACTTGCCCGTTCTTGCCAGTCTCAAAGAAGAAACTCCAGCATTTTTTCATATTCAATTTCTTTTTAGAGGTTTCCCTTAAGCAGAACTTATCAGGGGCTTTGTTTTTAGGCGGGACAACGGGAAGTTTCCCGGTGAGTCCCTTTCCAATTGGTTTTGTAAAACCATAGAAAACATTTCAAGTGTAGAAAATGTTGGCTTTTAGAAAACCCTCTTTACATGTAGATTCAACTTATTTGGAATGAGATACTTGGAGGTCAACATACTTTGTATCACGATTTTTGAGAAGCCACTGTCATTTTCTAGTGTGAAGATTCTCTTGGCGTCATTGGTGAAGAAAACGATGCAAAACTTGAACTATGCAGGGAAAATGTGGAAAGATACATGTTATCACTGCGCTTTTAAGGTGTTCTACGACAATGACTCTAGCAGCAAAACTTTCTGAGACGTTTTTGCAGCATACAATTTCTAATTGTGCAAAATTTTCGTACGCAATTTGAAGATAGCACGGAAACAGAGCACACCACAGTACTTTTCGTCATACACTCGTCAGAATACAAACGTAAACTAACGATAATGATGAGAGGTAAACATAAATTTATTTCCAGAAGCGGATGGAAAGTAACCGGAGAGAAAGGATTTTGTGCTTGATTGGTTCCTTGTTTTTGACCATCAGCTTCTGGACCGCTTTGTCTCACAGCTCGGTAGAACCATCAAAGTCATATCTTTCAAATTTCTTCACTTTGCCTACTACTCCATACCGTTTCCCGATCTCTTCATTTCTTTTTAATCGGCCGTTTTTTGAATCTTATTTATATGTTTATCTTTAAAAAAGGCTTTGTCACCAATGTGCATAGAAATTGTTACCGAGGTACTTTGCCATTGTCACTAAAGCACGTTGGCATTGTCACCGTGTTTCCTTGACTAGAAAGGCTATCTCGAGCAAAATGGGGGGAGGGGGTGTTGAAGGAGGAGCCACCTTAGAATTTGCTATTGGTTTGCTCCGGCCACGGAGACCCATTTATCAGCCTACCAACAAACTTTTCATATTCATAGTTTTGGTCCAGTTTGTTTTCATTCATTTTTGGCTATTTGAAAATTCTTACATTTGTTTTTTCTTTTACAGACGAAGATATAAACAGTGAGTTATCAACGACGATCCTTAGAGCAGAGAAAATAGTCAAACTCTTGTCGTAAACCTAACTGAATTTGTATTCATGAAGTTTCGGTAACAGGTTTTAAACGTAAATTAGAAATCTGAAATGCCAATCTAAATTTGACTGACACACAGCACATTGCAAAAGCTATGCTTACCGAAAGCCCTCGAATACGCCCCGGGGGCTTATTTCGCAAAGAAATTGAGGAGGGGGCTTTTTCGAAAGGGGGATTATTCGGAGGTGGGGGCTTATGCAATAGCCGCCTTGTCAGTATACTTAAAAATTGAAATGTATTTGGATATACCTATTGCTTTCGAGACATGTCTCAGCCAAAGGGTGCTTACTCGGGATGGGGCCTTATTTCACAGAAACTACTTTAGGATCGTGCTTATTCAAGGGGGGGGGGGGGTATTCCAAGGTGAAGTTTAAAGACTGCATGTAATTTCTCTAACAGAAGCAAGTACCTCTTTCTTATGTAACAGACACTTATTACATAACTTGGTACGCATTGCTCCGATCCCGATTCCTTTCAATAAATCATACGGTTCATTCAAAAACCAAATTACGTTTTAAAGCAAAATTGTTGCGTAAGTTGGTTTTGGCGAATTCGAGGTACGTGCGAGAAACACAGAGATCAAATATACGATGAACCTGCAGCAGGTGGCCATCGATGATATTCCCATAGAGTTTGTTGCTCAGAAAATCTACCACATTGCCGTTCATAACACTGATATGGAGAGAATGTTGATTTATACCCGAAAGAATTTTCTAAATCATAATTAGCAAGAATAGTGGACATTTGGGAGTCAAGGAGAATGTGTCAAAGCAATATAGAGTTGCTTAATTTTTTAACTCAAAGTTATGCTGTTTTTAAAAATGTTAAAATCTTTTGTTAGCTTGATGAGATTTTGTATTGATTGATTTACTTCGAACCAAGCCAATATAGAGTCTTCATGGTGTATTTTTGCAAAGTTTTATTAATGAAAATTTGAATAATGGCAATTCTTAATAACAGACGACTGACTTTAGTCAGCAAAGTGGTGAAAACTTAATCGGCTGAGATATCTCTGTTCCATTTTTCTCCAAAGGTATTGACCAATCAGCACGCGGGATTTTTAGCAACAAACCTGCTTTACAGGTAAAATCAGCTCGGTAAATGGGAAATCGATAAAATAAAAATTTAGCGTCTTCATGGGTAACTGAACATTAAACAAATGTTCAATTAAACAAAAGGCCTTTCCTGCAGTTTATTTTTGGATTAGAATAGTTTCTCAAGACCCTAAAGCATATAAAGTAATACTCATTATGTGCATTGACAAAACAGTTTTGTTAATTAATAAATGTAACCAAGTGCAGTGTTTATAAAACTGCCCTCTGATGATGTGTATATATGTTTCCCGATCATTACATTCTTAAAACACGTGATGATTACCTAAAGTAACGTAGAAATAGCCACTAATCTGTCTAATTGTATACACCCCTTTTTTATAAGAAACTGGCTATAAGAAACGAGTACTGGACAGTCAGAAAAAATTAAGAAACTTCAGTACTCGACGCATTTAATCGTGATAAAACTGAGAACAACGAAATTCTGTAAAAGCCAACAACCTAATTGCCCTTATGGCCTAGAAATTTAGACACAAGGGATAAAAATATACTTCCCACGTCTAAATACAACGTCAGAACGGAAGCGAATCTCTTGACGTGAAAAAAAAGGTTACGCACATTTCATAACATCATCTTTCATGACATCATAATTAAGAAACTCTTGAGAAACAACGAGTATTGAAACTTCCAGAACATTAAGAAACTGGAGTTCTCAACATCGACCTTTGTTTCTTATAAAAAATTAGTGTAGCCCTACTCACATTGAAAGTCGTTAGTTTTACTCATATTTTGGATTATTGTTACATCTTTCTTATTGAATTTACCGCAAATACAACTTAATTAATAGAAATGGAATTATCACACTGATAACCAATTTATATTGATGTTTTCATGAAAAATCACCAATGCCAACATACCCCTAAAAAGACATTGTTGGGTAGACGAACAGGAGTAAGTTTTGAATAAGCGAAGCAACCCTCCGTTCTGGAGTGAAGGAGCATTGAGTATGTGCCAGAGCCTGGTGCGGCGGGTCATCTAGCCACCCCCCCCCCCCATTCCTTCCTCGCATCTAGCTGCTGCCAAATCATGTGTGCAGATTCACACCAACTGCTCTAAAGTCTGTTGGTGAAACATTTTGTAATTGTCTTCTAGAAATCGACAAGTTTGTGAAGAAATTATCTGCAATCGCAGCAATTTGCCATTCTTTTGCAATATGTCGTTGTAGTGTGGAGAATAAATGAAAAACAAAACTCGCCTTACGACGCTTTCAAAAATGTTTTGAAGTTAGATAGGTAGAGGTTAAGGAAAGTGATTGTTGAATGTATACGTATCATTGTTTTATTTCTAGACAAAGCAAGCCAATTTCAAAATTGACAGCTTTTAAAGAAATATTCTATAGTTGGTTAGGAAGAACAGGGGTGGCAGCAAGAATGGGATCTATGAGAACTTGCCCCTCTTATCGGCCAATTACTCGAAGCTTTCCACAATATTGCTGATGTTCAACTTCACAGAATTCTAATATACAAAAAATCTTTTCGTGGTACAAAAGTTGAAAATGTCTTTGAAAAAAGCAAAAATTTTGAGTCATACTTTCTACTTTTGCACCTTGCAAAGAAGATTTGTAAGAACATTCAATAATTAAAAATCTTAGAGCACCAGTTCTCATTTAGGGAAACCTGGCCTCAAATCCCCCTCTAAGTGCTTTGGCTTTTGTATATTTTTTTGGCAGCTTTATACATAGTTTGTGGATAGTTTTGTAGAAAATATATGTAGACACCATTCATATTTGTGTCTAATGTCACCTGTGGTAAAGATGATGAAATTTCAGTACATTTTGGTACAGAGTTTAGGAAGAAGACAGATTTTTGGATTTCTGATAGATTCTTTGATTTCTGATAGATTCTTGGATTTCTGATAGATTTCTGATGCATAGCTGGCTTTCTTAAGTATACTTGGTCTTCTGATAGGATCTTAGATTTCTGACCATTGCTTGGGTTTTCGATAGGGTCTTTCATTTCTGACAGGTGCAATGGTTCCTGATACGTACGTAATGGTATTTCTGATAAGTTTTAGAACCTTATGGATGGCTTTTTTAGGGAAGTTGAAATTAAATTTTTTCCACGTTTTTCTCTTTCTGTAGACTGCCCTTCCAAGTAGCGCTATGAATTAACAGTTTATAATTTTCTTATATGAAAAAGTGCGACAATTAGACAGGAAGAGCAGCAACTGGAAATTTAAAGAAGATTGTGATGAGACATAAGCTGAGTTCAGTTCCTCTTGCGAGTGTTTTAAGTTTGAATAAGGGTATTCCAATTCTCAAATTAGTTGCAAAATACTTTTGGCCAGAGTTCCTTTTTTTCAAAAAAATTGGGGGGAGGGGCGGTCTTTCTTTCATTAAACTCCCTTGAAGTCGGAGGCAATATTTCATAAATATTATCTGTCTGATATTTGAAACTAACTAACACCCAATCTGAAAGACACTGAAGGACCTCGAGCAGTATGAAAGTAGTTTTGCACAAACTCGATTGCTTTCCTTGACCTCATTTCGTCGCCTTCAGAAGCTGGCTGACCTAGTAAATTTTGAACATACAACAGCAGTGCAAGCTTTCCTTGATCAACCCGTTGCAGCTGCTGCCACTATTTATTCGCGCAAAATCGCTTCGAGAACCAGCAGCTGTCACTCGCATAAATTTGCATAACTTCCACGAACAGGACTAAATATCTTTACCAGTTTTAGATATCCAGTTTTCAATACTTGTTTCGATATGAAGCACGAATAACCAAAATACAGAACTATAAAAATTTGTCAAATATTCTTGTTTATCTTTATTTCGTGGCAAACAGTTATTGTAAATGTGTTCTTCTGAAGATCGCTTTCCACGTTGTAATGTTTTATCGGAAATATGGGCATGTGTTAAGAATAAGGATACTAACTTAAGGAAATAATAACTTGATTTTAAGAACTTTACAAAGTCCCTTTTCTTAATCTATGGTTATTTTCATAAGATATATTTATTTATAAATAGTATATGATATATATGCCAATGTTGTGAAAGATTATAAATGCTTTATTTTTATCAAGGAAGCAGGGCTTCTCCCACACGTAATACCTCCTTTTTGTTGCAAAACTTGCCTTGTCTCTGGCAATCCAAATGTTATCATCGATACTACAATAGTACTCCATTTAAAACGAAATTAGTTTAATACACTTTCAAATTTTCCAAACTCTGCAATAGAGAGGTAAAGGGCAGGAATAGTTATCCTGTTCCCTATAGCTCGTCAATAGCAGATCTGGTGAGAAAGGGGAACTAACAGAGCCTAAGAGAATTTCTGTAATCTCCCAAAAATGTAAATAACAGAGTCGTAAAGAGTGAAGAAGCCCCCATTATTTCCACATCCCTTCCTCTTTTTAAAAATTTCGTCTTCACAGCCTTATTTGGTTATTTTTATGCTATTTCAAAGAAATTGTTAAACTTTTAAGAGTTTTGTTATAATTTTTAGGGGTAACTTTGCCCCTTTGATCGCCTTCTCTGACCATTTGGGCAAAAAAATTCGTGAAGGAGCTGTCGGCGTGTTTGAAATGTAGATATAGCGGATAATTTAACATAAATTAGCATCAATTAGAAATTTTCTCACATCCAGCAACTTGAGTGTTGAAAATGGCTTCAGACTCGCAAACAGCCGAAAATGATGCTGAAATGATACGGGAGTGCGAGCAGTACGTGGAACAGAAAAACATTCAAAGTATTCTAAAGGATGCAATAGTTCAACTTTGCGTTGCTAGACCTGATAACCCATTCAGGTATTTGCGCGAACACTTCGAGAAGCTGGAGAAGGTGAGCCCGTCGCCATATTCTGGCCTAACTTTTTTGAATGATAACTCTAAATAGTGTCATTATAGAAACGGAGCAATGATTTCAGCAAGAATTTTTAGTGTCCTAGTAGAGTAGTTTAGCTTTAGGTATACAGTATATGGAATTTAGGGAATGGATTTGTTGCAAATGGGTAATGAGTTATTGCGAGCCCAGAAAGAACCAAGTTTGGTTTGGATTACAGAAGGCCACCTACGTTGTCTGTCTTTCACTTGAATGATGACTTCGATGTTACTCAAACTTCTTAAAAATGATCCTAAATGTGATTATTGAAACGAATTGCCTAAAATTCTTCTGTACTTATATAAATATGTTTAGATAGCCAATTTTCTTGAGCAAGGGGTAGTTTTGTTGCGAATGTTGTGTAGAGGTACAAGTATACGCGACATTGTGCAATGCACACATTTTTACTAGGGAAGCCTTCCAGCTGTACATTAAAACGCCAAGAAAAGATTTCCACTTGCTCTATTCTCTTTTGACCAGCATTAAAATTGATTGTTCTAGCATCACAACATCTAATTATCAAGTTTTATTTACATTGTTTTTTGTTGCTAGAGGACACGTTGTATATATTTGAGCATATTTTCTGTCTGCTTGCATATATCATCCCATGTAGGGATGATTACCTTGAGATAGAGAATCAAAACCTTAGATGGTTTATTCAAAAATAACTTTAAACGTCAAATAAATCGTATACTTTATTTTTCTTATAGTGATTTTAGCTGTTACACTGAATAGTTGTATGTTCCAGTCTTCTTTCTTTCACTAACTGAAAGCTCAGTGATTCGCAGTGTCAGAATTGTTCAAACTCTAGAAATTTGTCATGGTTTCTAACATTAGAAAAATCAATTCAAATAAGACATAAAAGTCAATTCAAATAAGACATAAAAGTAAGATGTAAAAATTGACCAATAATAGATAAACCTTGATATTATATAATCAGACAGTTGAATATTAATGTGTTTATTTGCAGTCAATTTATATATTATCATTGAGTGTATCTGTTATTCCAAGCCTATATTATATAACCTCTGTTGACAAAATTGAAAAGTGGAGAAAAAGTAGAGTCTGTGCAACCGAGCCGCTTTTCTTGTTCGCAGGTTCCTCAAAATCAAGGAACTGAATTTGATTCGTTAGGGGAATTTCAATTGTTTTTTAGTTTTCAAAGAGGCACCTTCGAGCAGAGGTATAAATAAATGGTGTCAGGATAATAGAATAGGCCTGTTTGTTCTTTTGAACAACTAAAATTATCTGAATTGTCTTTCAAATACTATGGTTTCAAATGCTTTCGAATTTAGAAGTAATGGCTAGTTTTTTTTCAAGCTCTTGGACTCTTGCGCTTAGAATAAAATGTTGATGTCAGCAAACAAGAAAAAAGCTAGGTTGCGCAGAGTCTACTTTTTCTCCCCTTTTTAATTTCCAAGTCTGCTAACATTATTATTATTGTGAGAAAGCTTATTGCTAATTGCAGCCCAAATTATTTCATTATAAGCAAAGTACCTGCATAGCTCAGATTCATTCTCCAGCAATTTGTTTTAAAAGTCCTCTAAAAATGTGCTGGACAGATGTTTTTATTATGAGAGTAAAGATTCACAAGTGGTTATTGTTATGCTTAACTATATTCTTCTTAAATTTTGTTGATATTGTTGCATTTTAAGATTTAAAGCTACTGGTAAAAGATACAAAGTTAGCTGAAACAAAGTCTTTTAATCAAACCATCCTTGTTTTTCATATCCGTATTTGTTTGTTCACAAAAAATTTTTTAAAAGAAATCATATTCTGTATGGTTTTGAAATCACGCTATTTGGGGTATAGAAAAGGACACTTCTAAGCTGCTACTCAAATAAGTGTCATGTTTAATGCAATCATCAGGCAACTGTTGTAGTTATTAGAATGCTACGAAGAATATCTTGAAAGATAAACTACAGTTGAATGAACATAATAAAACAACTTATACGGTCAGGATATAATACTAGGCCATGTTATGTATTCAGCGTAAGAGTAGTAAAAACGTGTTCACAGCATGACTAAGCAAGGCTTAACTTAAAGTGTCAATCAATGATACTATGAGTCAATACATGATAATAAAAAAAGTCTTGTCAACAACCCCCCCTCCCCCCCAATCATTGTTGCTTAGATCCGCTCCTTTACATTTGTATTTGGTATCTATTCTTTCTTGGAGTGCATAAAAGGTCATCATAACCGTTTGTTTTCATTTGATGTTACTGCAAACTAACATTTCTCTTGCGCGAGCTATCACTATTAGAACGATCGCTCGCGCAAGAGAAATCATACGAGCGATGGGCAACTCGCGTGGGTTATTTCTTGCGAAAAGACTGACAGATGTATTAGAGAAACACAGTGGAACACAACAAAAAACATGATAAGTACTGTGTAATCGATCCATAATTGCTTTGGCTTGTGACACGTCTTGTCAGTAACTACTCTCTCTCTCTATGGTTGTTATTTTAGCCTGGAGGTGTTTGGAATTTTGATTTTGAAACTTAGGTTATTGATCTGTAGTTTTTCGAGCGATAAGATAACAATCAATAACACTTCATCTTTCAACAAGCCTTGTTTGACTCATTCATATCTGGTATTGTCTGGGACCTCACAGACAGATGATTGAAAACAAAGTTTATTTTGAAGGTCTACTGGCAAAACTTTCGTTATCAATTTAATTGTTTTTAACTCATTTTATGGTCTTTACATAATATGCTTTATTGGAGGACATGGAAGCAACTTGAAAATGCAGAGCTATCTCCATTACATTTTTTTTGAAGAAGTTGTGGAAGGTGTCCTCAGAAAAGCTGTAACAGTCATAATGATTCTGAGGGATGTAATTTGACACAGATAAATTAGAAAAGATATTAACTATAAAAAATTTTGGCTGTTGTAGAAATGCAAAAAAGATGTCTCAATGTATTTCCTCACCTTCCAGTTCTTAAAATCATCATCCAGAGTTTCATTATGAAGTTTCTCGCACATCTATGAGAAAAATTATTAACTATAAGCAAGGATGCTTTGCAGAGCAACCTGATTTAACAAGTTACATAAAATTATTTTTTGAAATATAAAATAGGTTGTTAAGATACTGCTTGATATGGAGCCTTCAAATGATATCAGTACAAGTAATAAAATTGTTTGCCTGCAAATTGACAAAGCATTATCAGTTCAGTTCATATATAATTTTAAATTCCACTACATACAAATTTTGTCAAAACATTGAAATAAACTACAGGCTACAAGTTACAATACAAGTTTAAAGACTAAACACAACTACAGAAAATTTAGAAAATTTGCATGAAGAGGAATTTTTGAGGAGGTCTCTTAGTAGCAAAGCTAATCGAGGAGAGGCCACCCCCTTATAGGAAAATTTTGATTGATGAATATAACTAAGAAACGTTATCTAAATGGTTAGGCTAACATAAATCAATGAAGCTTCTAGTTAGTTAATGTGCTATAATAAAATGGTTAATATGATTTTGTTAGATTGTCCAGTTAACTTCTATTGTAGTATTTTATTCCCCACAACAAGATGTGAAAGTACTCCGAGTATATTCCAGTGTGAGCCAATGATGCTTTATTTTTTCAACTGATGCAAATGTTTGATGTACCTGCTTTGTGCATGAATTTTTCTCATGTGAAACTGACAATTTTGTCATTTGATGCATGTATTTTCCAAGAAACATTCCCTACTGTTGGTCCTTGCCTCATAAAATTAATCAAATAATTTACAGGGCTCTAAAAAGAGGCTTGGTTGAGTGGCTCTAAAGAAGGCTCATAAAGAAATAAAGATATATTTGGCACTTTTTTTAAAAGTAATAAATAAAATAAAGATCAATAAAGATGTCCATATACAAGATATCCTGGATTTGTATTTGGGATAATGAAATAAGGTGTATATAATGTCCTTGTATATAATGGCCACAAGCTATCATCAGACAAAGTGAATATATCCATGGAAAATTGTAGTCCCGTTTGTTGCTTGATTTGATGCAAATTTGAATTCAGTATCTCTGGTAGTTTGTTTGGTATTTTTGCTTACATGGTAACCAAACTGTAGGCCATATACACAATCAGTTTAAACTGGCACTTTTTTATTCAGTCTTCACTAGAGAGTAGTATTTAGTTACTCTGTCAGTTTCAGGTTTCAGTTTCTTGTTTTCCCTCTTATGATAATATACAGTGACACTGAATGTGCTATCAATGCTGCAGTATGATCTTTGATTTGAAATGAAGAAAGACAGAAATTTTTGAGGGAGAACCATCTTGGCATATCCATAGCTTTTTATGTGACATAGTGTTGAGGTCTCAAATTCTAAGAAGACAAACCTCAAAAACGTCCTTTAAACTAGAAATTTTCACTAAATTTCCCCAAAAAATTTCACTATCCTTTTTGGATCGCAAATTCTTTATCAAATCAAACACTTCACATGAATGAAAAATTCTACAGTGAAGCAAAATTTTCCTATCATTCATCATAATGTGAACTTAAAGATTTTAACTTAAGTATGAAAGATGTTGTGAAGGTATGGTTAAGTGAAATAAACAATACCATTGTATAAAAGCCAAATGTCTGGTTCCATAGACAGGTACAAGAAAGCATATATTGCCATAATTAGTCAGCAATCTTATTGTCAAGAATGTGCAAATTTTTAGCAGCTCATGTTCTATAAGCCATAGATGGATGAAAAAACCTTACAGCGAACCTAGTAATTGTTCCATAATCTATATAAAAAATTTTTAACCTTATGAAGAATTTTCACTTGATACTTTTTTAGTGGATTTTCATATTTATAACACTGTACTGTTCCTTATACTCATACTTGCATTTATATATTCATTTCAGTTTAGGAAGTGGGCTAGGCCTTATTGCCAAATACTGCCAATATTGCCAAATTCTCCCAGGCCAATTCTAACATGCTTTGTAGTCATGGTTTACTAGCAATTCATCTTGTTTTATTATGTTGAATTTAATTCAGGAACATGATAAGAAGAGCAATGAGGAGGCTAGTTTTGAGGTTGCTGAAGATCAGCCTCCTCCAAAGGCCAGCATTTCAAGAAGGAGAAGAGGGGCTGTCAGTGCAGCTGTAATGACAGAAGAGGATGCTGCTTCATATGTCAAAAAGGTATGGGAGGAAGAACTGATGAATTTTTGTGCTGTTATCAAGCTCATGTCATTTATGTGAAGTTTATACATAGCTCAATTTTTTTCTTATGCTATTCCTATGAACGCTCTTTGCTTTCTTATTATAATGATCAAATCCATTGCAATTTTCAGGCTATGGTTACTTTTTAATGCAGCTGAGATTTAATGCTACTAGTATTTTTATTTGTCAAAACCTCATTTGTCCCAGGTAATTCCAAAAGACTACAAGACAATGGCTTCTCTGTCCAAAGCCATAGAAAAGAATATTCTGTTTACACACTTGGATGACAATGAAAGAAGGTTAGATAATCTAGTTTAAAAAAAAGCCAGATATGATATGATATTACAAACAAATTGCAGTCTTCAATTACTGATGAAATCATGCTTAGTGTTGAAATCAGTTTTAAAAAGCATTTTTAGAAATTGTTTGTATAGTTCAACACAGAAACAAAATCGTCTCTCAAAATACGAGAATTTCCATTTTATAAAGCTATTATTCCAAAACCTTTTATTAGAAAAAGAAAACTTATTGCCCTTAGTTTTGTCCAAACAGTGGCTACTAGACAGTACTAGTTGCATATTTTTTATGTATTTATTAAGTTGTTGCTCAATCATGAGAAGCTCTATATGCAATTCTTGCCATCCATGGTCGTCTTCATTTCTATGTTATGTCAAAAGTTTTAAGACAGGTATGCTTCTATAGAAGTCCCTCCCTGAACAATTATTTGCCAATTATTAAAGGGTGCAAAGCTTTGCTTGCCAAATTGATACATAACTTTTATGTTGCTTTGAAGTGTGAATCTGGTGGCGTTCTTTTTTTTATCTTCATTCCTGCCATAAGTTTGAACTACACTCTTTTTCAGTGACATCTTTGACGCCATGTTTCAAGTGAAGCACGGTGCTGGTGAAGTGATTATCATGCAGGGTGATGAGGGTGATAACTTTTACATTGTTGACAGCGGTGAAGTTGATGTAAGTCTGAAGACATGTTTGAATTGTATACACTTGGTAGCTATCAGGACTCACATTAATGACTAATTGTTCATACTCATGTGTTGTAATCACCAAGCAACTGTTGCAATTATTTTCAGCATACTAAAGGGCAGGGGTGCTGTCCTATAAACTTAGAAGGGGAGGTTTAGCTTTAGGCAGCTTTTATAGGCCACATCTGTGATCACACCCACAACAGCGGAATATCTATAGCATAATGAAGGGTTGCTAACACTGAATTTGTCAGTGTCGCTTGTTAAGAGGGCTGGACCCCCCACAAAGTTTTTCTTATTTTTTTTATAGGGAGCTGAGCCCCCAAACCCTCTTCCATGGCACCCCTGCCTAAGGGTCTGTATGGTATTTAGAACTGTGTGATGGACTAGTAAACAGAGTAAACATTACCTGAATTCTGCCTTTTTTAATGTCAAGTTATTTATTATGATAATGTTAATAGTTGCCATTGGGAGGCAAGAGTTGTGTGTTGGAGAATTGGCTATTGATAATTAAGATGTACTAAAATAATCACAATAATCTATTTTTTAGTTTTTTTTATCTAACTTGACAGGTCTTTGTAGCTGATGAGCTTGTCACTTCAATTACTGACGGTGGAAGTTTTGGAGAGCTTGCATTGATCTATGGCACTCCAAGAGCTGCTACTGTAAAGGTGCGTTGTTCTTTCAGTTTTTATGGTATATGTATATGATTCAAGAAGTAAGAAATTATTTATAAATTCATGTTTTGAGAGACTATTTATATCATACTGATGAAAGGGGAAATTATTATATTTTTTCTGAAACGTTAGAAAGCTACCTGTAATTTGTTCTTTCCTGGAAGTAGAAGGGCAATAATTTAAGCGATATCCAGGATTCACCACTAAGATTTGCTTAGCATTAGGAGAATCTATCTATCATTTCCATCACCTTGAGGCTTTACCAGCTGAGTTTTCAATTAAAAGAAAAAATTTGTAAAAATATGGAAAATTTGCTTGCAACAAGACAAAACACAAGTTATGAAGACTCATAGATGCTTCGGAGATATTTTTATTCGCCGGACTCATTTTTTGTTTTTCAGTATTTTCAGAGTTCTAGTTTCAAATTGCTTTTTTTAGATGTAAATATAAAGGTATTGATTAGAATGTGAGTGTATTTCAACAGTTTGCAAGTATGCTTCCTTTTACAGGCAAAGACAGATGTAAAACTGTGGGCCATTGATCGTATCTCGTACCGAAGGATTCTAATGGGCAGCCAGATAAGGAAGAGGAAACTGTACGAATCTTTCTTGGGTAAAGTAAGCATTCTGGAGTCCTTGGACAGCTGGGAGAGGTTGACGATTTGTGATTCGCTTGAGCCATGCACATTTCAGGATGCAGAAGAAATTGTCAGGCAAGGGGAACCTGGAGATGAATTCTTCATCATTGTTGAGGTATTTTTATTTGTTTTGCTTTGTTTAGGTATTAAGAAGCATTATGATATTATGTTAAACGAACAAAGTGACTTTAAAGTATGGATGGAAAATTTGTATTAACATGATTCGAATTTATTTTGAATGTACCTTCAATGCATCGTGCGAATCATCTTAACAACGATAAGCCTAGAAATAGAATAGACTAATACGTTTTACTGTCCAATTTTCTCGATTATTGTTTTCCACAAATACTCACAAACTAAGTTCAGTTCAAAAACCCCATATTACAGTTTTATTTTGTAAGTAGAGTCATCTAAAATCGAGGTGAAATTTTTCTAAGCACCTATGATTGACCACTTTCATTGTTAAAAATAATCTTCAACATAGACCTTCAAATTTTAATTTGCTTATAAATACCTGAAGCAATGTTTTATTGATACTGTCGTAAGAGAGTAATTGATATGACAATTCTTTATCATCTCGATCGTCCTTCCATCTAGCAGCCTTGGAATCTATCTACATAAACACGAAAAAACCGCTTTCGTGTCGACAGAAGGTGTTCGTTTTCACCTTAGGACTCCATTGGTAACATATTCAATAGGCAAGCGGTACTGATTGGGCAACCTCAACAGTCATATGCTCGCGTTTCTGATCGGCCTATTTCGATCCACAACTGGGTATATATATTTCCTAGCGTAGAGTTTTCGGTCTATGTTCTGACGTTTTATAATATAAAGAGTGTCAGACGAAAAGCTTCAGTATACTCAAATGTTTGCTTTTTTCAAAGCCAATTCTTTATCTATTGCCTTATCTAGGGACAAGCTGCGGTTTATCAAAGAAGAGGTCCAAATGAAGATCCGATTGAAGTCAGTAAACTGGGTGCCTCCGACTATTTTGGTACGTTTCCTACTTTCAATTTATTTTGATTTTAGTCCGCATGTTTATTTTGTAATTGGTAGGGAATCCTTAAAATAAAACAACTTTAGATGTGAAGCAGTCTGAAGGGAGGATAAAATCATGCTTTTACATGGGTTATTCGAACACGATAATGCCATTATTACTTTATTTGATAATTATGGCTTGAAGTCTTTGACCCAAGGTAGGCGAACTTTTTACCTGTTTCCGTGTATATTTTCTATGCAAATATACCGAGGCATGTCTGAATACCCGCAAGACCAAAAAAGTGAATACCCGATACATCAGGCCTACAATCATGAACACAGCTGTCGGTGAAAAGTTCTAAATAGCTGCAAATATAGTTCATCCTCCCAAATCTCCCCCGTTCAATCTTTGGGTGTATGTACCTTAATGGCATGAAACTTGTGAGAAAAAGGGGGATGTTAAATCACAACACGGCCTGCTCTGGATTGCAGAAGGGGGATTTGAAGACTCTTCTTAATAAAGATCGATAGTGAAAACCTCTAACTATAATAACTTAATACACACCTCTAGTGGGATGTTTTATTGCTTTGTTCCATACTGTTACATTGCTTTGTAACATAAAACTTCAAAGATCTCAATAGCTATCTTTCAATATTACTTATGTGTAGCGATGCTTCATTTCTTGATAATTGACTTGGAATCTATAAAAAATCTTTCATTCCCTTTTGTTTATGACCCATAATAATAGGCTCGTTTTTGTTCGTAGGGGAAATCGCTCTTGTGCTGAACAGACCACGTGCTGCAACTGTAATTGCACGTGGGCCTCTCAAGTGTGTCAAGCTTGATCGCGCACGTTTCGAACGTGTCTTAGGCCCATGCATTGACATATTGAAGAGGAACATACAGCAATACAACAGTTTTGTGTCGCTGGTTGTTTAAAGACCTTTCGTAGCTTTAAATGTTACGTCGAAATTGTACGTAAAGGACATTAAACATGCAGATCTGTAGTTCTTCAATTAGCTATTCCGCAGTTGTAAGTGAGGACTTAATTCTCGGGTGCTGGGACCTTATTTTTTGTTTAGTGACCCTGATTTGATGTAATAAAAAGGACAATTACGTTCTTAATTTTTTTTATCAAATGGGATATCGTGGGATAGAAGGTTTTAAAGCATATGATAAAAGCTTAACGACATCTTACAAGAATACGGATAACTGCTTGCTACTTTCACCATAATTCACCTGTTAAGGAGATCTGTTTTAACAAAGCGTCTCTGCTGTCTCCGTACCTTAGACTATGGTTTTGTTTTGGAGAAGAGAGTTTTTGCTTATTCATCCTCTGTCACGATATGATAAATGATAAATTTTTTAACTGAATTTCAAAGAACAAGAATTGGTCGTTTGGCTCCAGTATCGCCAGGCTAACAACTCACTTGTTAGTGCCTTGTGTCAGCTTGGCTTTTGATAAACGGCTAATGTCATCGAAAATATGTTGAAATACTGAAAGAAAACTTTTCTTCAGGCATTTTCGTGTAGTGTCCCAAAAATATTTAGGCTTTCATGAAAAAGATTATTAAGAATCAGATATTTAGAAGGCTGGAAATCAAATTTAAAGTTCTTAGGCGACTTTTCATTTCTATTTCACTTCGAGACTCCTATTCACCATACCAGGTTTTTGTCCCCTCCCCACCTACCCCGAGTTTCTAGTCCAAACTCTCCATTAAAATGGTACTATATAAGTATTTTGGTAACAGTGTGCCCTGTGTTAGATTTAAATAAAGCGGTGCTGGTGTGCAGTCTGATTGTGCAAACCATCGATCAATAATCGCTCTTTGCAAAGTTTAGAAATTCTACATTGGGGTGACCCCAAAAATGATTCCTTGATTTCTAGGAATCCTTCCCCGGTAAAGATTCCTAGAAGAACTTTGCTTTATGGACATCAAGAGACTTAGACATATGAACAATTCAAACTTGTCTGTTTTGCCTCTCTTTCTTTTTACCATTTTGTTTATTCAAAGTTCCAGTGGGTTGATGATTGTTTAAATGGTTGGTCGCAATCGACACTGTCATTAGATGTGTTATATAAATCATTTTTAGTTGTTATTGTGTTATATAGTAGTATAAATAGCACTGTACATCTGTTATTTGATCCCTTAACTGTGTTTCTGACCTGCAAGTAATGTTTATCTGACGTAGCTGCAGTGAATCGTATTTATTATCTAGTTAAAAAGCTTGATATACTCTCTCTTTATTTGTTTTATCTCTGGGTCAAATCTAAAAAGGATTTTCGAGATCAGTATTTTGACATCCCTTTGCATTGTCACTAGACAGTTCTTTTCAGCCCTATCCATGATAAGATAACGATAACCCTTTCCATAGTGATATCAATCGTAGCCCAAAACCATTACATCGAGTTTGCAAAGTTAAGCAGATCCATTCCAAAACCCCTTAGTGAGTTGATCGGGGTGGGGGCAAAGGTGAGTTGAGCGAGGGAAAAGTGGGGTCCGCACCTTTTTGAAAACCGGACAATGCCCCTTTTCAAAGAAATTATTTTCATTTGGGGTGGGGAAGGCGTCCGCCCTCCTTATATACCCCCCTCACTACGCTACTGCCTATACAGTTGTGTTCTGAAATCGCATTTCCTATGACCGGCTTTCTAGCCATGTTGTTAAATGGTTATATATGATTTATAATCATTAAACACCGTGGCTAGCAATATGTCATCTTTGTTAACCTTGTTGAAGTTAACGAGAAGCATCTTACTTTTTCAAATAGCGTACATGATGTATGGGGTTCCCCAAACACAAGATCCTGGATTTACGGATTTTCTAAACGATTTTTAAAGGATTTCTGAATTTTGTGTAGGTTTCCATGAAATTCTGTAGTGGATTTCTTAAATTTTCAATGGTGATATCAAATCCTTTGAAACTTTCCGAATGTCGCCCAATAATTGTCATATGCATATGCATTACGATACATTTAAACACAAATGAGCTTTTTAATCGTTATTATGTGATAGATGCTCATGACTTGTGAATTTTAAAACTTATTACAAACCGAAGAACAACATGAATTTTTCGGCACAGATTAATTTCAATATGCAAGTTCTGAATCGATGATCCATTTTTGGCAATTACGTAGATGAGAAATTGACAATGTCAACTTGGAGCCATGAATAGAATTTATCGGTTTCTTTTCTTGCACTCTGTTACATTCACCATAGTTCCATAAATCCTCGAATAAGCCCCCACGCTCGAATAAGCCCCCACCTGAAAAATTGCTTTCGCAAATAAGCCCCCCTTCAAATAAGCCCCCATGGGGGCTTATTCGAGGAAAGCATAATTGCAGAATAATATCTTATTTCAAGAAAGCCCCCACAGGACAATAGCTATACAGTATTACTTCTTTGACTGGAGACCAAAAAACAAAAAAGCGACTTTTGGGATGACAAGGAATTATAATATTTGTTAGATCTTCACACAGCACTTTGTAACTCTTTTAATGGTGTCAGTTGTTGTAATTAGAAGCTCAAAATGCTCATGTTTATCTTTATTTACCATTCAATCAGTCAGTTTTTCATTGAGAAAATTACGTCGTTCATATTTCGACCTTTGAGCAAAATACTAAACTTTGAAACAAGCCCCCTCCCTCGAATAATCCCCCTTGAATAAGCCCCCACCCAAAAATTCATTTTGACAAATAAGCCCCTAGCCTGTGCCCCCGGACCTTTTTCGAGGATTTACGATCAGCTCTTATCCTCGTTTTCCTTATTTGGGTGCCTCATATTGAAATGTCCCACATGCTTGTTGCTTTTGAAAATGGCGGAACTCACGGAGGTCTTCGAGTTAGCAAAGCTAACAATTTCTCGTAATACGACCATCCAGCCAATTGAAAATGAAAGATGCACCATAGTATCGTCAAAAGAAAATGGTTTCTTAAAGCTTGATGTAAGATTCTATATATACTTTATCTATAATAGATTTATTTGTTTGTGGTGAACTAAGAGAGGAGGAAGAGGACACTATATTCTATAGTTTGCATGCCTTCATCGATTCCTACTCGGGGAAGTACACCACACAGTAAATTCTTAGGCATTTGAGGGATTGGTTAGGAGATGTATTTTTTGCAAAAGAAGTTATAAAAATTCTCTGTTCCGGGCAATTTTTATCTTCGTACTTGCCAAAAATGGATCATAGAATCGGAATCTTCATGTTCAAATTAGTCTGTGCTGAAAGTTTCATGTTGTTTGGGCCGTCAGTCAGCGAATTAAGCCATCTTCAAAATTTAGCTTTTCATATATACATACATTTCAATGGAATTTGTTGCTGTAGTGAATTTTGTTCACTGCAGCAGCAAATTCCGGTCAAATCCAAAGAAATATCTAAATATTCAAAAATAAGTAACTCCCTCCAAACAACATGAAGTTCTGAATATAAACTAATTTCAACATGAAGATTTTCAAATCTGAAGTCTATTTTTGAGAAAGGTCTGTAGATAGCGAGATGCAGAATCGATGATATCAACCTTGAACGATGAATTCATATTTTTTCTTAATTATGATATCTTTCTTTTTCAAAGCTTGACAGTAGAAAAGCCACCCAGAGTTGGGCAATCAGTAAAGGACAAAATCTCTCAGCTCCTGCAGTGTTTAACTGTAATTTACAAGAATACTTTGCCGTTATGAATGATAAGGTGAGTTCCTTTGCTGAGATTATGAAAGAATAAAATTCTATATATGTATATATATGTATACCATGTTTCTTTTAAGCTCTTTTTGAAAATGACAGTCAGTATTATATGCTAGAGAGAAAAAATGTCTGATAGGATAAAGTGTTTATTTACAAAGAGATCATTAAAAAATTTTCAAGTGATTATGTGCATTTAAAATATGGAATGTTGAGATGTGTTTAGCTGCAAATGTTGTGATACCATCATTTGTTCCAGGAATGGTTTTCATGGAACCATGAGCATTACAGTTTGTCAGTGGCAAAAATGGAATTGCTGCAAATAGGCAACCCTATTGTCCAAATGCATCTGATATCAGAAGATGGGTTACAAGATGTAATTCTACTAGATAAAACTGGAAAATCATATTTGAAGTCAAAGCTTGGTGACAGTACAGCCAAAGAATCAAATACCGAGGATACTGCAGCAATCTGCAAAAGAAGGTTTGTCGCAAATTACTGTTTCTCTTGTAGTGGTTTTGTTTCTCTTGATGGAAAACTGTCTATTAGCTAAAATGGCCACCAAAATAAGTTAAAAAAGAGCAACTTTTCTTGTAATGAATGCATATTTACTTTTGTAAGAGTTGGGAATGAAGATGAACATTTTACTGAAAATTGGTTAACTGTTTCCAATCCCACCCACATTCATCATCATTCTCTAAATGGAATCCAAAATTATATAAGGGGTGGATATGAGCCATTGAGTTAGAAAGATCACTAGAGTCAGTGGAGTCATCACAGGGTGGACTAGGGTGTACATGTTTTTCCACCCTAGATTTCCCAGGGGTTGATTGGGGGAAGGGGGGTTGGTGGATCAGATCAATTTCAATTTTTATTCTTGCAAAGAAGCCCTTGTTACAAAAAAATTGAAATAGATAAAAAATACTAAAAAGGATGTTTCACACATTTTCCATAAGTCTGATGGGCGTGATCAAGAAAATTGTTTTTGTCCATCCCAGTTTCTTCAGGCTGACAATGCCACTAACAAGAGTGCTCAAACAATTTTAAGAGGCATTGTCTCTCTGCATTCTTCAAACATAGGGGAGATCAACTTGTTGAAGATTACTACTCAAGGGTTTTCAAAGATCTGTGCAGCATGCATATGAGATGTGAAAATTGCTTCATGTTCAATATTCTGTTTATTTTTCCAAGCCATTAATATTTTTTGTAAAGATTTTTATCCATTCAAGTTATTATAAACATCACCAATATTTTTGTTCTGCATATTACAGCTTTTGAACATGATATATAATCTTAGCTTATAATCCATTAGATGGACTGGCCCCTTTTCTAGCTAACCCCCAATTGGCCTCTTTTGTAATTAGAAAAGACATTTAGCCAAAGAGGGCCTAATTTTCTTAATCACATATTTGATTTTAGGTACTTATGGAGCACTACCGTTGATGCTGAGAGGTCAAATGATATGATGCTTTTTACAGTAACAGAAGAGGTATTATCACAAATTATATGGAAAATATATTGACAAATTTATTTTTTTCTTCATTTTTGGAAAACTCCATTTAATAGGTTCTAAGTTATTCATTCATGTGAAAATGAAATTAAATCATATTTTGAATTAGGACTAGCTTTAATGAAAAATATTTCTTAGATTTATTTTTTCTCATTTCATTTATTAAGTCCATTTAATAGTGTAATTTAAGATACATATTGATGTCACAATTTAATTTTTGCAATTTGAGATAAAATTGTTATCAAACTTTGAATCCAAATAGCTGCAACAATTTTTTGATAGCTCAACAATGGCTTAAAAGAGGCAAATATTTTAGGACATCATAAAACTTTCTGTCGTCAGACATTCTTTAAAGCAAAAACATCAGGATGTTGATTGAAAACATTGATCAAAAACTCTTCATTACTAATTTTGTATCTGTTTTAGTCCCAAACATATAAATTATCAAGTTTGCTTATTGGAAAAGTGACAGAGGGTTTTGGATTTCAAGAATCCCATGAATTCATCTTGGAGCCAATGTTCAAGGTTTGTGTCCCTAGCAGCATTTTAAACATGAGATTTCCAAATCGTAAATGCATTTATAAAGTTAAAGGCAGTATATGCCCAAGTATTCTCCTATACCTGAGCGACTTTAAGAAAATTTGCCTTACCATGTTGACCCACCAACAATGATTCAGTTATTATAGATATAGTAAAAAACATCAGAATAATCCAATTCAAGAAATATCACAAATTATCTTCCATTTAACAAAATGGTACCAACTGGATGCAGCATTGCCATTGCTCAAACATTTCTGAGAAAAACATGGAGGGATATTTGGTGTAGAAAAAGGGTTGATCAAGCTTAACCCCAGGAAAAGCTGTAAGCACCAAGCCTTTTCCATGTCTAAAAATACACTTTCTTGTAAACGTGTAATGACATGAGTGTGAAACTAGCTAGAAAATCATGGAAAACAAAATGTTCACCTTTTTTGTCAGGCGGAATCCTTTGACACAAGCAGGAAACACGTGCACAGTCAAGATGCACTTGCATGCAATTTCAAGATGCTCTTCTATATTTTCAGAAAAAAGTGTTTTATTGTTGGTAACTGAGGCAATAACTCTCTATATACTTGTTTGTCAAAAATAAGATTTTTCTGAACCATTACAAAATTTACAAGTTAATATCGTCGGTATTTGCCTTGTAGCTCCTTTTTATCTTTTTTTGTGCTAATTTTGTATTATTTGTTGAATTTTACTGTGCAAGATACATAAATTTATATTATACAAGATACAAATCTCTAAAAATTGTTAGAGTAGCATGCTAAGTTATCAAACGTTTTCATTTTGCTTTCTTTAGGGGTCCCACATCCTTGCTTGCACTCTTCAGGGTAGAAGGCTTATTGTTTTATGTAAGTATTGTTTTAACTTTTGTGGATTAGAATGAATATTTGCATGTAGACAATTAATGTTAGAATCCAACTTTTTGTGAACACTTGATACTGTCACAGAAGTTTAACTTTAAATTGAATGTTGTCAAATGTTTTCAAAGGTTTTAACAAAATTCTTAAGCCACTTAAATCAGACATGGGAAATATAGAGTGGATTTTCTTAACGCTGTTTGAAGTTAGCTGAAGTGAGTCTAATCTATGCTTGATTGATGGTGCCTTGAATTTGAGGAGTGGCCTTAAATATCAGTTAAGCTATACATTCAAGACACAATAAAGTTATTTTGGATCCCAAGTTGACAGTATCATTCTTACATATTCTTGTGAATTTACAAGAACTTGTGAAATCTTTGTATTATCTTTAGGCAAATATGAAACTTATACTAAAATGTTATCAGAAATAATTTATGATATGGTGCTTAAGAGATTTTATGTGCTATTTTTCAAGTAAGGCCCACAGGAAAACTATCTATCTGATTTTCATCCAACAGGGTCTGACAATTCACTGTGTGCCTACTCAGTTCCACTCCATCAAAATGAATCGCACCAGACCATGTTCAATAGAACTCTAATTCGGAAGTTACCACAAGAATTCAAAATTTCAGGAAAAGGAAACCCAAAGGTATTTGTTTCAAAGAATTATTTTACCTGAGTTTATCTGGCTTATTTCGTATAATTTTTTATCGTTGTTTCTAGTTTCACCATTTGCCAACATTCATTCACTTTTAGAAAAATTTATGTTCATCTTTTCTCTTTCACACCCTTGCAACTTTTTGCATACAAAATGAGCTCCTTCAATTAGCTGCATGTTCAGTTTTTGAAACAATGCATGGCCAGACTTTTGTAGACATCTTGAATGGATATTACACGAAGGGGACACATTCAGTTCAATTCAGTTCAGTATGAGTATTCTGATAATGATAATAATGATAACAAATTAGTATATGTAGATTAATTAAATAGCGCAGGGCTTGAATTCTTTAGGCCAGAACTAAAAGTATGAAAATTACCCCATCTAGATTTGCAAATAGCATCAAATTTTTTTCTTTTCGTGATATTTTTAAGTCTTGCGGTACCTGAGGCCTATTTTCGCCATAAATAATCACCCAATAGCTCTTGTAAATGTTTTGCGATCAAATTAGTTTGTTTTTTTCTTTATAAAAAATATATTTTTCCTCTTACAGCCGAAAATTGGCACCATTGACAAAGGACATATTTTCCTTGTGGCAAAAGTTGAAGTCGGCGAAAAGAAGCAAGGTAATTGTGTAGCTATTACCCATAGCCATATTGTCTTAAAACAAATTTTGAAGGGCTTATTTTGTTTTTAACTGCTATAAATCTGAGCGAATTGAAAATTTTAAGCAAGTAAGAATAGCAGCTTCATATAGGCCATTGGTAGATGGATTTGTGTGGCTATAAAAAGGAAAACGTTAGTGAAAACCAAGGTCTGTGAAATGATCTCTTACCATGTTAGTCAAAAAGAATACCTTGACTTAATTTTTTTGAATATCCTAAAATGTTTGTACCGTACGTGCTCGAATTAGTCCCAATCCCTGAGTAAGCCCGCTGCCCTTAAAAAGGTCAGTTTTTCTGATGCAAATTGCACCCCCCTGAATTGTCTTCCAAAAGGGTCCCACGGAAGGGTCAATTCTCTTTCAAAAGAGTGCCTTCAATTATCTCCCAAAACGGTCCCCCGGAAAACCTTTCTGATGCAAATTAACCTTCTTCTTCGAATAAACTGCCCCCACTGGGCTTGATATTGTCTCTTATAGCGTGCAGAAATACTGATTACACCTGCAAAAAAACCTCCGAAGTGGGGTTTCCTTCAAACGGAAACAAGTATTTTTCCAGATGAGTTGAAACAGCAGAATTTTATAATAGAATCCATCTGCTTTTGATAATAGAATCCATCAGCTTAAAAATTCCGCTTCTTATTCTTAATGTTGCAAATTTCCTCGTGAAACTTCTTGACTTCTTGACATTAAAGTTACATAACGAGTTTAATGCAATGTGAAGTTTAATGCGTTGTATTTCAGAAAGTTAGGTTGAGGATAATAATAACTGTCATTCGGAAATTTACGTTCCGGATGATATTATACATATTTGAATGGTCGAAATTCTATTCACGTCTAACAAGGAATTTTGTGTGAGAAGGCTTTGTTGATACTGATTTCATTGTATTCTAACTTGCCAGGCGTTGTCAGTATTCTGAATACAAAATATGGCACAGAGCAAGCAAGGACATCTTTTTCGCTTCACTACAATCCGGAATCTTCAAAGGAACAAGAGATCTTGTCTGCCATTTTTCAGTCTGGTCATGTTGTTGTTGCACTCTCCACTTCCGTTATTGCCTGTTCGTGTACTATTGTCTCATCAAGCCTTGCTGCGGTGATGGGTAAAATAAAAAGGTCAGTTGTATCCTAGTATTTTCTTGTTTCTCTTTTAACTATTGCGTAGAAAAAGTACTGTAGGAGCGAAGTTCATATTGGTAGGGGGAGGGGGGCTGCCCATTGCATTGCTTCCCGGTCAGTGCACTGTTATAAAGAAAATATAGCACAGTTTGAAAATTATTGGGGGCTTCCCCCCCCCCCGCTTCCGACGGCCCTGTGAAGTTCTCATTACACAGACCTTACATTCTAACCCACCCAATGCAGTGGTTGTACAATTGTGTAAACTTCATTGAAACCTCAAACCTTGAACTTTTAAAAAATATTTTCTGCTGATTCTATTGAAGCGCCATGCTATTAAATTGTTTATCAAGCATATTGGTTACGCTTTGAATTTATGGGGGGGGGGGGGGTTGAATTCATAGGCAAATTGGAAGTGTCAAAGGCAAATTGGGTTTGTGGGCACTAAGTGGTCCGAAGAAGGAGCACGTCAAAAGCCTCATTTCAACTATTATAGTCCCCCCTTGATGTAACTGTATAATTCATATAGACAAAATTTTGTTAGAAAATGCTGTGGGTTTCAGTAGGGATAATCTTAATTACAGTTTTCGATAAAAGAAACTCAAGATACCTATTCATCTTTGTTTTTTTTGGCGGAGAGATTAGCAAGGCATGCCTAAATGACTTATAAAGCAATTAAGTGCTCAACTAAAACAGCAACCAGCCTTTTCTATCAAGTGTGCCAAAACAGATTCAGTTTTAAACATCGTGAAAACATTTTCATCGTTTGAAAGAAACGCCTTGTTTACTGCAGGAAGAGCTGAAAATCCTGTTTAATGTTGAATTCAGCTTTTTATGATTAACCATATGCTTTTATGATTTAGCTAAACAGAAATGCTGATATAACAATGCACCAAAACATGCATAAAACGTCCCATTTACCTCCAGCTTTCACCTCTAGTCCATTACACTATTTCATAACGACCGGTCTTACATGATTAATATTGGTAACTAAAGTATCTATCTTCTGTAATTGAAAGATATGTGTTTGTTTGTGACAGGTCTGAAACAGTTATACAATACGCAGATGAAAAACCGATAGTTGCTTCGAACAAGCTGAAAAGAAACAAGAAAGTAAGTCACAGAAGTTTGAACAGATTATTCATCAAATTGAAATAAACTAACCTTGAGCCACGTCTTAAGATTACCTCTGCAAGAAGTGGCCTTTCTTTACATTGTACGACGAAAAAGTTTTTGTTACATTAAGTATTGTCTCCGGTGTGAAAAAAATTTGCAGTACTTTTATCAAAGGAAACGTGTAATTATTTCGTTCCATTTATGGACGGTGGTGTGGATCGTGCAATTATATCAAGCATACAACTAGCAATATAGTCCTGACACTAAGTGAAGCTCTAAGTCATCTTAATATTGCATCGCGTTTAGATATTACCGCACAGATTTTCTATAGTTAAGACATTTTGCCGTAGAATATAGAAATTAACTTCCATCACAGAAAGCTGAAATTAATACATATCTTTTGTTGAAGCTGTAGGTATTTTTCAATGGCTTAAAGATCCACAGTATTTTTTTTATTATTTTTCTCATTTCGCTCTATTTTTTCAAAAGGTAACTTTTTTATACTTTATTACATACTTTCTTTCCAAAGGGAGATGATGGCAAGCATTCAATAGAAACAGAACAAATGAAATGTCTTGAAAAACTTGCTGATGCCTCAAAAGTACGTCATTTTCCAAGAAAATGTTTTGTTGTATTGTATTATGTTATAAATTATAATGATTTTAACAACAAGCCTATCGCCCTATTTAAGATTCAAAAACAACAGAAAGATGCAAGCCGATGCCTATCTAGAAACGCTCACATCATTCCTATGGATGCGGCCGCATCACGTGATTTTTATTGACAAAGGGTTAGGAAATCTCTTTTGGCGCCGAATGATCCAATAGAGTTCTCAAGTGTGTCGTCACAGAAAAACTATTTTTAGAATTTTCGGATTTTGACCACATTACATGAAAGAACATCATAAAATACTCACATATATGCAAAATCAGCTAAATTTGTCAAAAGCCAGGTGAGCTATAGCCAATAGAAGGTTTGAAGTTTGCTAACGGATTACTGTTATTTTGGCTCAGTTCATAAAGTTGTGAACTGAGACCACATCATCGAGGTTTGATGGGGCCAGAGCTTATGCTCATCTGGTCATATCTCAGCCAATTCGTAATACCTTTAACTGATTTTGCAAATTTAGAGGTATTTCACGATGCTCTTTCAGGTTATTGGAAAAAATTTCAAAAATTCTAAAAATAAATTTTTATGACGTCATCTCTTGACAACTATGTCCTTCTAGTCCATCTTTTATTTGAATACTGTTTGTTTGTAGTTTTGTTTCACCCATTTTAGACAGTCTCCACTTTTTTTCTCTACAGACACCAACTGTTGAAGACTTCAATAGAGAGCTCAACGCGTTTTTGAAGAGGCTTCATCTAAACGGTTTGTTTTTTATTCAGATGATGTTTCCTTTTTCACAGTATATTAAAACTTTTTTGAATCAAATGTTTTGTGCCTCTTTTGTTATCGAGGAATTTCTCAGGATAAAGAGAGGCTGGATAAATAATTCGCGTTTAAATTTTGTTAACTGAATGCCCTAAGATTGGTCTTTCTCAATTCCATAAATTAATTTTGAACAAACTATGATAAGATTCTTGTATCTTTCATATACCCTCCTAAAATAAACGTCCAGAAAATGCAACGAGACTTCTGGGCAGGATGATGTCTCTTGACATCTGATAGAAAGTGTCATCTGTTCGTTAGTTAACCGCCTTCGTTAAAAGAGTTCATTTCTTCAATTTAACTCTACAATACATAAGGAGATTTTGATAAGTTTAAGCAAAGCCACGAAATAAAGTGACACTTCGTGGTCCGGTATCTTGCCAAAGGGTGTGTACCTTTTTTGACAGTGTGTCATTTCTCTAAAAACCGTAGACCAATTTCAAGGGAGATTTTCTTGTTGATGCACTGGCTAAATATGCAGCTGCTAAACTTCTGCTAGTATAAGATCTAAACATTTCTAATAAACCTTTTGTCGGCAATGTGTGCTGGAAATATTTTGTTTTTAAACGATTCAGTGAACAGGTTTTCAAATATTTTGGTGATGTGAAAATGGTTTCATGATTATTTGCCAGTTCACCAGTGGTTTGCTAAAATCGTACCTTTTAGTTTGGGTATAGACATTTCTATATTATCTATTTAAAGGTTTGTTTTCTTCAACAGTTGTTCCAGATGAACCGCACAGAAAAAAGAAAAAGAAAGAAAAATCGGTAATCTCTTCAATTCAAATTTTTCATGCATAAAGAGTTTCCCTTTTGAAAACAGTGCTTTTTCTTCTCATAAATTTTAGAGGAAGAAGTCAATGAAATTTGTAATGTATTTTCACTTGAACTGCATCTGCAAGAAGCCCGCTATTACCCAGTGATTCCTATGATTATTGCCTTTGGGAAACGCCCCCTATATGCCATTATTCACGTAAATATCCTTTTGTCTTTGAGATCCCCAGTAGAATTTCGCACTCTACCCTTGGGGGTCTTCGCCTCAATATTCAAGCTGTTTTTATGTTCAAACTGAATCTTTTTTAAAATCTTTGGGGAAGTTTAGAATCATCCTCTTGCGAATCCAATTTTTTATGTACGAAGATCCTCAACATTTCCTTAAAACTTTCTCATCGGGGAAGGGTCTTTCCAAAATGAAATACTTTGTTTTAAGCATTTCTTTATTTTCTTTTCACAAAAAATTTATTGCGTTCTACAAAATCCAAAGTTTTCTGCTATTTCTTGCATCGTTAGAAGAACTTCTCTTGGCGTTTTTTCTTCTTGCACTCTTATAAGATTCTTGCATAATGTGTGATTTAGAAAAGAAAATATTTGGTACCTGAAGTCTTTGTGCAAACAGTAATCAAAAGATGCAAAGAAGACGACAGTATTTGGTCGACAAGAGTTCCAGTTCACCTCTTAGAGCTGCAATGTGTACCTCCAAGGTATTCCTTACAATATTTTTCAATCGCAAAGAACTAAATAGTTTTATGCGGCGCATTTGTTCAAAATTTACGCGTGTTCAGTACAATGTCGCAGTTCCTTGTGTTTTGCCTGCATCTCAACAATCTATTTGAGAATTACTGTATATGGTTCGTGTAGCAATTGGAAAATTACACTTATTCATTTTGCGCTATTTTTTGCAGTTTGTGCGCTGATCTGATAGCAGAAGCAACGAAGAAACAATCATTGGTGAGTTGCAATTTATTTTCGTTTTTATAAACAATTTTGCCATGCACTTTACTATGGCTATCAGTATTAGAACCTGCATTTAAGAAGATCAAGAGATAGTAGTTACCTAATGGTCGCATTAAAGGTGTCTCACTTAGAACCCCCAGTTCAATATACCAAAATGCGTTCAGCTTGGCCTGTACGGCATCGAACAAAGCACGTCACAACATCCGGATAAACAATCATTTTCATTGCATGTTGGTTCACAATTGTTTATGTAATCACATTAAAGGCAATCTTTCACGACGTTGATTGGTTATAAGAATAAAGGGATTTTTATTGTTTCCACTTCCCCTTTAATTTTTCGCATTGTAAAAAATGTGGCGGAGCGCTGGAATCGTGTTTAGGCTATTGTTCCAGCTATTGTTCTCGTTAACCAATCCACAACGAGACAGATTGCCTTTAAAATGCTCAGCTTAACATTTTCAGATTAAATTGACAATTTCTCGTTCATTCAAGTTCGTATATCTTCTTCCCTTTTTTCTTGAAGGATGTACTGGCAAAATGTTTCGATTGTATTGATGGTATAAATGAAAAAGATATAGTCAAGAGTATTCAATATCTACTAAGGTATTATTTCATCTTAAGGATCACATATTTTTCATTTTCTTATTCTTTACAGCTATCTTTTTGTTTTGCCGTTCTTTTAAATGATGTCTAGCATAATTATTTCCTATATTATTTTCTAACCTACTGATATTTGAGACTGATATCAATTGAAATCATTGTCTTGGTCAAATCGCGAAGTTTTCCCCTTATGAAAAGAATGGTTTTTAAGGCATTGAGTCATGATGAAAGGAGAGGATATACCCAAATACGCCAATTCGTGATTTATTTTGCTATTGGTGAGCCTTAAACTGATAATTTGGACTCAACTCGTAGTGATTTACAAAACAGATTTCGTCAAAAGCATTTTGTCACAAACGGATGCCAATATCACATGAAACTATGGCCATGACTCCGAATGCAAATGGCCCTTCTTATAAAAATCTATCTACCATGACTCAACTCCTTAAAAATATTGTGTCAAACTAAGTAAAATCCACTGATTTTCTTCTTCTGTGAAATGAACTTTTCGAAAATTTTGTTTGAAGCAACCAGGGCTGATTAAACCAAACAAAGATCGGAAGCTTAAGAATTTAGCTTAGTGGGGTTGTGTTCATATTCATTGGAAAATAAAAAACGAAGATTTTTGTGACAGATTTAAGTTAAGCGTATTTTTATGTTAAGGTAGTTTTCGTGCATTGTTTTGAAAAGGCTAATTTCAATTTCCTTTGCAATTCACCCTACTACTTGTTTCTCATAGTACGAAGGCCACCTCTGAGGACTGGAAGAAACCAAATTTATTGACAGGAGAGTTGGTCGACGACTTTGTAAGAATCAACGAAGAAGCTTTTCAAATTCTGTATCTTTTCATCTGGGTTTTTTTTGTTCATAAAATTATTTTGTCATGTTAGGTTTATTCCTACTTTTAAGGTAAAAAGAACAAGGCTGATTTCTCACATGTTCAATGCAACATGAAAGTATAGCAACTTTCTTAGCTTTCTTACCTCTACATCATATAAGAATCTCAACGTAATAGCATAGTATGACGTCATTCCTAAACGCTACCCATCTCTGTGAAAAAAATTCACTTTTTCACTTTTTCACTTTTTTTGTCTCCAAAAACTAAGTAAAAAGAAAGCTTTCACAAATTTATCATTAGAACTTATATCTTTCATTTTTTTTACTTTTTAATTTGTGACCACTATGTTACAATTGCAATATCTTGATTTTAAATCACTGCCAGGTTGTCATGCGATTTCCAGGTATCCTTATGTAATGTCTGGTGATGGGTGTCAAGAAAGATCAATTAAATCTGCCTTTGTAATTAAACATAATCTAAATTGAACTGAAGCTTTTATCGTTTGTATTGTGGGCCTTTCTGTGGTTTTTGTAAGGAATTATTCGGCGATCTTGTGAGTTCAACCACTTTCCTTGACTTTTCAGTATCCAAATTCTGAATTACAGTTACAATGAATATGCACTTCAAGATATGTTAAGAATGCTCTCCATTCAAGAAACAAAGGTAGTGATTATGATTTTTTGTTATTATATACCTGAAACGACACTTTGCACGACTTTTCAACTTACTAACATTCTGATGTTGAAAATAATCAGGACGTGAAACTGACAATAATTCAGATGACGTCATCGACATAGACCTGAAAAGTAACATTCGACTAGAGATTGTGTACTATGTTCTTATATGCTTAAGGGGAGATGCGTTCTGTTTGAGGCGAGAATAGTCTTGTATGGTATAGGTAGAGAGAGTAGAGAGTTAAAGTTGTTATAGAGGTGTAATAGAGTTGTACACGAGGTAGAGAGTTGTAAAGCTCTGGAGTGGAAATTAATAGCCATTTATTAACGGTAGAACGTTTTATCCTTTTCTATCAAAGCATGGTCAATGTTTTCTAGACTAGAAAGCATACAGTAAAAGCTGCGCAATTTGTAATTTTCAATCGTGCATTACAGGCAGAAAACGTACAGCATGCTCACAGATTTGTTTTCGTAGAGCTCCTGCGCAGAGACATTCAATGAAAGTTTATCACGTAGCAACCATTAGTAGATTCAGTTGTCAATTCAGAGTTTGATTTATGCTTTCCAGACTTTCCATGTGCTTATGATAAATAAAGTGTTTTGTCTACTTGTATATATGGGCATAATGTGTTTTCTTTCAAAAGTAATTTTTAGGACGGCCCTCGGAAAGCAACCTTAACAGATTAAAGTGGCTATTGTGCCTAAATGATGAAAAATGATATGAAAAATTCATCAGAGCATGCAGCTGTGGTTGTACTTTTCTTAAACTCCAGATTTTTTTCTTTCAGGAACTCCTGCAAATCTTATTCGAACTTCTATCGCGCCATAAACTAGGCTCTTGTGTCCCTGTGTCTCACGACAAGGTGAGTTTGCAATGATATCAGATGTTTGTGTGTAGGCACTTGCAATTCCAATTAGTCCGAGTAGTGCAAGGGAGTGAGTCAAAATAAACTATGTTGTGTTTCATTTAAAGATATTATAGAAAGGAGAGTTCCTGATACGGTTATTAAGCCAGCCTTTGAAGTTCTGTGACGTCATTATTGTTGAGCCAACGTCACTCGAATTACATCACTACCGTATTTTCTTGCCTATAGGTTGTTGACTGGCTATCGATGGTTATAAATGCCCAGTTTACCTCAATCTTGCTGGCTGAAGACATACCACCACTCGTTAAACAAATTTATCAGACAGTCAGTTACCAGGTTTGTGTTTAAATCATGTTATTAAAGGTGTGTCTTATATAGCGATAAATATACAACTCAGTATAATTTTATGCAATTAGATATAGCACGCTGTGGCACAAATTTGACAGTAGGACCAAGTTTACCAAGGACCAAGTCCAACGTTTCCTACATTGGAAGGGTGGGTCAGACCAGCAGGGGCTGAGCAAAACTAAATGCAGCTTTTAGTGTATAACTATCGACGGATATAAACTAGAACTGCAACCATTGGATTAGATCAGGGGTTGGCAATTATTTTTACGAGGGCCGAACTAATACTGCTAGAAAAAATACTGTAAGAAATACTTCTCCAAAAATTTTTAAAAAATTACGAGTTTTTCAAAATAAAAGTAGCAGAATTTTGTAGCATGAACATTATCACATAAATGTTATAATATTTTTCATTCATGTTCTAATTAACCACACATTGATTTGGACCGGAAAGAACACCTAAATGGCCGGATGTAGACCGCGGTCCGTAGGTTGCCCGGGTCTGATTTAGATTACTCTTCCCGATCAGAAATAAAGTTCTCCAAGTGTTCTCTCATGTTTTCAACGAGAATTTGCAGGGAACATGAACTTCATAACAATCTGATTCAATTTATATTTGCCTGTGCAGGCTCCAGTGATTGACCTATGGAAACTTGCTTACTCACCATACTTAATTTAAGAAGAAAACCTCCCTGTGAAAAAAATTTTAAGGTAGAAAGCGCTGTCAACAATATGCTACCGGTTTTAAGAATTGATTACAAAAATCAGGGTCAAACGCACTACACTACAAAAAAACACATAGCACATATAACATAATGGCATGGTCATAAAATATAACATCTATAGCATGAAATATACCATAACATTTGACATAAAATACATTCCCTAATGCATAGCAAATACTGGCTTACCACAATAACAGCATTTTTTCCTCTTTTGCAGATGGACACTTTTCGTGACTTCGAAGCCCTGGAACCATTCCTGACGTATTTAAAGCACACTTATAAACTACCAATGATAGAGAATGCGCCTGGAGCATATTGTGTCGAAAAGATTCTTATTTAGTTAATGGTAAACTATAATTAGTTAACTGTAAAAATATCAGTTTTCAAATATATTTGTTAGTGAAGATTATACTGAAGAATTGTTCTGTCAATTAAAGTACACACTGGCCATCTGAAGCGGGGGGGGGGGGGGGTTGTTTGGTATATGTTTGGTATGCTGTTTTTTTTTGGTATACTTCTCTAGGATGCTTTTAGACTTTTTCGAAATTACCTACTTTTGGTTTAAAGAGAACACTATCGTAATGCCTCGAAAAAGCGGCCCCCTCAAATAAGCGCCCCCTCAAATAAGTGCCCATCCTAGAGGCGAAGTTATTGAATAAGCGCCCCCCTCTCGAATAAGTGCCCGACCCTCGAATAAGCGCCCATCCTTCAACCTTCAGAAATGGGCGCTTATTCGAATTTTCAACGAAAACATAATTGGAAAGCAATTCAACAAGAAGGATTAATGAACAACACAATTTGCACCGAAATCTACTTTCTAAATAAGCGCCCCCTCGATTAAGCGCCTCACTCGAAAAATCGTCCACCCTGAAGCCTCAAGAATTAAATAAGCGCTCGGACGCTTACATGTTCGAGGCATTACGGTATTTTAAGAATGCTTGTTTATAAGACTCCACGTCTTATTTTTCAAAATATCACCGTTGTTTGTTTTGTCATTTGCCATTTGCCTTTATGGCCTCAGAGATAGGGTAGTTGAGATGGCTACTAGGTTCTACTGAAGTAAAAAAGACCTCAAAATCGTATAACTTGTAAACAAAAACTACTACTTCTCTTCCCAAAAACTGCATAAGAAAAGATTTATTTAAGGAAAGTTTAATTTTTCCTTTTTCCAATCGTTCATTCATTTGTATTCAATTAAATTTTTTTAACCATGGTTGCCCCATCAGTAGAGCGGGTTTGCTTCTCAGGGGCCGTGCATAAAATCTTAAAGATATCTCTCAGGTATTAGGCAGGGCAATCTACACTTAAGAAAGTCATGGCTATCAAAGATATTCTATATTCGAATTGGGGGGCTAAAATCGATATACGAGGATTAAGATTGGCAGAGTAATTTTTAGCGGAAAACGTTTACCATGCTCTGTGAAAGTTTGCTAAACTAGATACCTCACAATTACAAAGCCGTGCTACTTTAAATTTTTTATATGATATCTCGTAGCAAAAACATGCGTACCGCAAAAACGGTATAGGGTTTGGAATATATCACCCTTTGAGGCACCCAAATAGGATATCAGGCCACGGATCTGGTTTCTATCCATTTATGAAAGTAAAATATGCTTGTCCTAAAAGAATTCAAAGAACATAGACGTATATTTACTGGATAGGTGTCTGCGTTCTCTTTGCTGGAAGGGGCATCAATTTACCAGAGGTTTCAGGTTTATTTCTTTGAACATCAGGAGGTTGTCTTGTTTGTGTGCAATTGTGGGGCTATTACGAACTTCGTTGCATTTTTAGAAAAATCCTACCATCTTGATATCACAGAAATATTAAGTTTATCCCAGAATTAGATAGTTAAAGTGATAGAAAATACAAATATTTCTCAATTTTAGCACACAGTTTTTTTAAAGCAGATTTAGAAGCTAAGTATGAAAGTAATTGTGATGGACGAACAAATAATTTTGTTCAAATTTCTTCCAATCAAATTTATTTCATACAAATCTACATCTGTGTTATAACTGATGATCCTGGTAACTTTGAACTGTCCATTTGTTTTCGAGAAAAAATATTTTGTCACATACGGACAGTCTCATTTCCCTCCGGTCTGTCCATCCGTCACGCAATTTAGTCAAAATTGTTTCATCCCGCACATGAAAAAAATAAATCGTATCACTTTTTTGCTTTTAACTATCTCATTTCGATAAACCGAGCATGTTTATTGCATTTTATCAGTGCTCAATAATGTAGTTCGTCTGAAATTTAACAGTTTAACCTTGTCCGTCCGCCACAAAAAGTGTACATTCACACTTGGGTCCCTGTGTTTCATCCGCGTTTCATTTCCCGCCTTTTTTCAAAGTTGTACGTGCATTTGTATTGTGGTTTCATAAGAAATGCTTCTTTGAGTGATTAAAAGGTTCGAAATTATTACTTCAAGAGACAAAGTTAACCTCAATAGACACATATTGTTTTTATTATTGTTTAAGACTTTTTCATCATATCTTTGCCTCATATACATGTTCACCGCAATTTCGTGACGGACGGACAATCGTAAATTCCCTTAAAAGGAAAAAATCGTTTTTTCTGCTCGTATCATCAACATAATACTGATTTAGGTACCAGATCATAGGTAAAGCAAAAGAACAATTTTTTATCGTTATTTATAGGGAGGAAATTATTTCTAAAAAATTTGTGACGGATGGACAATTCGTAACTTGTCCAATAACTGCACATATGGGGTTTGAGCTACCAAATAAACGATTGACACCAACCATTATTCACCTCTACTAATTGTTGATGACAAAGAATGTGCATTTTAATAATATTAATCTAGAGCGACATTTTCCAGTCCGTCTGTCACGTCCGTCCGTCACGGTGATCCATTGGTACTTTCGACCTTAAAAGTTGCAAATGTTGAGAAGAAATTTGTTTGAATTGTTTGATGATGTTTCTTACTGGCGTTTAATTGTTAAAAATATTTCAAATTTATCTCAAGTTTGTTGGCTTAGATAGAATATTTGAACGTGGTAAATTAGTTTTTTCAGTGATTTTATTCCGTCCGTCCGTCACCACAGACATTTGTATCCTTCTGAGGCGATGTGCTTATCCCAGAAGTGATTGCTTCAACTCATCTACACCTCCTTCTGGGTTCTTTTTCTGACCCAAAAGGAGAAAATAATAGTAATAGCCCTTTGTACAGTTACAATAACATATGCATGTATGTAGTCTGTCCTAGGAAAAGTTGACTTGATAACGGGCTATGCTCGAATCGTCGTTAATTGTTTTAAAAAAATTTTCCTGGTACAAGTTACCTACATTGTAATACATCAGTCCACACACTGCAGAAACCATAACAAAGTGATGATCAGGGGCGCAGTGGCTGGGGGGCAGGGGGGCAGCCGCCCCCCCTGGCAAAAATTTGTCGGATTGTCGGAAAATCCAACCTTTGTCGGAAAATTTGAAATATTAGAAAGAATGTAAGGTTTTCATCGATCCTGTCCAAAAGGTCGCATATTTTTTCAAACCTGTCGTAAAATAGGGCATGCTCAACCCTTCTTACTTATTTTCATTAGAGTATTTATCGGAATCATCGCATTGCTGAAATTTGTAAAGGAAATTAACGCTCTGGTCTCAGTTATTTTATAAACTCCCATTTCCGAAAGTTAAAATTCAACTCAGTTCATTTCGAAATGAATTCGCTGGTGTTGGAGAAGACGCAAAAAGTTATTATTTTCGCCATGACTTAGAAGAGGAAAATTTTGTCGAGCGACGAATACGCAGAAATAAAAAGATGCCAGGGGAAAATTGCATAGATGAATTAGAGGGAAATAGGGAATCCGTATATCATCGTGATTGTAGATACAGCTATCAGCTCAATGAATACAAGATTCACGTCTCATAAGTCTATTTTGACAGATTTTGCCTTGCTCAACCCTGAATGTTTTCAAAAAACAATTGAAAGGCAGTTGTGTGCAGTGTAATTCAAAAAGGTTGCGAAGAATTACGGCCTGGATGACGAAAAATTAAGAGATGAGTACAGCTCTTTCGTCAATAATTACCGTGAATTTTGGAAAGTTAGAGAAAAAAGCAACCCTCTCCCGGCTGCAGGAGAAAAAGAAAACTTTTCAGTTCCATTCAGTTCTTCAGTTGATGATAAGTATTACCTGCAAAGTGCCTTTCCACAGCTGGTCCTTCTTTACAAGGTTCTCGTTACTTTGCCAATAGGTTCAACAAACTATGAAAGAGCTTTTTCAAAGCTGAGGATTGTAAAAAAATCGGCTACGGTCAACGATGGGACAAGACCGCCTTTCCTCTCTGATAACAATCAACGTCGAAAGTGATATTTTACAGTCGATAGACTATGGTGACATCATCGATTTGTATGCTGCCACATCTCTTTTGAGAAAGATGCTGCTTGAGTAACAGTTTATATAAATTTCAGTTAAAAGAAAACTATTCTTTTGGACGCGTTATATCTATTTAAGGTTTAGCATAAATAAATGCAAAGTAATTATGATGGGATTTAAAATTTGCCAAAAAAACGTTTTGCTATAAACAGCTATAAACACTAACTTGACAGTTTATTGTCTAGTATAGCGAAAGGACTTGTAGGGTGTAAATTCATAACTAGTTGCAGTTTTGTTTATAGCGATTTATTTTTGCAAGTTTTCTTAGAATAAAGGCTATTATTGAACTTGAAGGTGTATAACGAACGATCCATTCGTTAACGATTTCCAGATCCATTCGTGATATTGTACTATCAAGTGTTGCAGTATATGCAGCAAGGGTAATCTTCAGGGAATGTATTGAGAAAAAATTTGTCGGAAAAATCATAGTCTTATCGGAAAATTTTCAACTTTGCCCCCCCAAAAAGTTAACTCCCACTGCGCCCCTGATATAGAGAGTCATTGGCCTTGAAGAGCAGCCGCTTTGCAATGCTTTATCCGTTGCACACAACACAAACTGTTTTGTGGGAAAATGAAAACTGGCTTGATAGAAGGCCTTATCAGAAAGTAGGAGAGATCCAATTCAAGCTTTCAAGAACCTATGTGTAGGCGTAGCTACACTTCTAGGATGAAGACCCAACTTTAAAAAAGACCCCAAATCATGGCTCTCAAGTCAGTCTGAAAATTAGATAGAAGGCAAGGATAGAGGCTCAGTCTGAAAAATTGTCACTAAAAGA